GCTTTTATTTCCTGTGGGAGAAGTGGCCTCTAGAGGCAAGAAAATGTATGGCTATTACAGGTATAGAAAAAGAGAATTCTGGAGTCCAATATGTGCCACAGGGACTCAGTCTGCATGTCAAACCAAGGTTTCCAACTCTGGCACAGAGAGCAAGCATACACCATGGTTTGTCCGTCTTGACATAATGATAAGCTATGATTTCCTCTAATCTAGGCAGAAATGAAGTTAATTACTTTGTGCAAGGGACGAAAGGAGCAAGAAAGTGATTCCATGCATTGCTCATGTAATAGCAAATAGTGATTTGTCATTTTGTGTGAACCAACCCAGAGTCTCAAGCTAAAGTCTGTATATGCAGTGAAAGCCTATGCATATTTGCCTTGTGTTCTGTTGTGCTTACTCCGCAGTAGGGCTGAACCAAAACTTCTCAGTTTTTGGTCATGCTGACAGGGGTGAGTTCAACATCTGGAGGACCATAGAGTCACCATACTCTAATTAAGTGGAAGTGGAATTAGAAGAGGCCTGTTGGATCAGACTAAATGCTGATTTAGGCCAGTATCTCATTTCCCACAGTGGTCAGATGCCTCTTGAGAGTCTACAAAGAGGCCATGTAAGTAGCAACTATCCCTTGCAATTTCATATTTAAGGGTTCAGTGCCTCTGAACATGGAGGCTGTTTAGCTGTCATGGATATTAGCTACCAATAACTAATCTGGAGTGGGTTTGTCAAACCCAGTTTTTACCATGAAGCCTGTCTTCCATATCCCAGAAGTGTGAGTTAGCGATGAGAATGAATTAACTCTGCACATGCCCAGTGGCCTTTTTTGTTTCCACTTATGGGCACTGAACACACCTCCCCAAGCTGAGTTATAGAGAACCCTGGCTCAAAATTGGACAAGCTAAGTAGAGCATTGTCAGTACATTAAGGGGATGGGAAGGACAAATTCAGATCATGAGCAGGAACTTCCATCAAAGGTAAATGTTGAAATTGAGAAGGAACGAGATTCACATGAGGGATGCTAATTCAATTCCTTCCGCTTTCTTTCTTTCTTTCTTTCTTTCTTTCTTTCTTTCTTGCAGGAAACATTTATTTTGCTCTTTATATGCTATGAATCTTCTGGGGAGTGTCAATTGATCCTTCTGTTGCCAATAATAATTAATATACAGTAGTCTGGAACAGCAGTCACTCTCCTTCTACGGATGGGTCATGGACTGCATATTTTGCTGGTATTCCAAGGTCTTCATTGGCTGCTTTCAATCTACAAAGCTCTTGCATATGCACTAGGGCACCTCCTGGCCTTTCTTTGGACTGTGGTTTCTAAGACTTTGGACTGTGGTTTCTAAGATCAGCTGAGGATGAGCCCTTTTGAAGGCACTTTGGGTAGTGTACATCTTGCATGTCTGCGAGCTCACAGTGCAATGGCAGAATTTTGCTTCTGGTATGAGATTCTGAGAGGAAAAACAGATTTCCCTCTCCCCCCTAATAAAACCGAAGTAGCTAGTCCTCAAGTTTCTTGAAGAAAACATACAAAACATTATACCTTTACCTTTTTACATTTTACTTTTACCGTTACCTTTTACATTTTACCTGCTGCCAAACATACTGCCATTTAGTGAAGCATACAAAAAAAAAAAAGTTTCTGGTATGACATATTGCCAGACCGGGGGACAAAGATTCTTCCCCTCTCTGAAAATTCAAGTAGCTAGTCCTCATGGGGGGGAAATATAATTTTGATTGTTATGTGCTGCCAAATATAGCTCTGTTTAGTAATCCATGGATGGAGTTATGCATGCTTTGTCTGACTCCTCATCACACAACCAAGTTTTTTCTTCTCCATCCTTCCTTCACCACCCTTGCAGTCTAGCCTCAGTCTCCATCCCCTCGCTCCCCATCTGCCAATGCAGAATTTCCTAAAAAAACAACAACCCCAAATTCTTCATTCTACTTCTGTATATTCTTCTCTCAAGACAGACGGATGTCAACTGATTATTCCTCCTTTTTAAAAGAAAGCATGCGCGAATGCTTAATATGGGCATGGTTTATTTTGCCTGCAGAACCTAGATTTCCTCAGTGCCAAATTTTGGGGGAGCATGGTAGGGAAAAGGGGGGCTGGCAAGTCCGTTGAAGCTTACTCAAGGCCACAACGAGCCCTTTTTACCTCTGGGTGAGCTCTCTCTCTCTCTTTCTCTCTCTTTCTCTCTCTCTCTTCCTCCTCCTCTTATGCCACACAACTCAGGGATGGGGATTTTGGTGACTGGCGAGGGGTCTGCAAAGAGGTGGCAATGGGGGGGGGGCATTGAGAGAGAGAGAAGAGGGAGAAAGAAAGAGACTGAAACATTTCATTCCATCCACCAAGCCAGCTGCACTTTCTTTCCTTGGCAAGGCTGGGAGCTGTTTTCCCCACGCCCACCCCTCCCCCAGCCCTGCCAGTGGCTGACACTGTGATGTATTCAGCAGCACAGCCAGCTCTCTATGTGTGTGAGAGAGAGAGAGAGAAAGAGAGAGAGTGCCTGCTTGTGTGTGTGTATGCCTATGTGCCTCTGCTTCCTCGCCGACTCCGAAAAGCGGCAGTGGCAGCCGAAGGAGCTGGGGACCATGCAGCTGCCCCAGCTCATGGTCCCCACTGCCAGCCGGGTGCCCCTGATTTGGATGCCAGCCGGCTCCAAGTTCCTCTGCATCGAGGTAGGCTGGGTCTTCTCTTTCCTCCCCCTTTTTTTATTTTACCCCTCCCTTTGTCTGGATCTCCTCTCTCTCTCTCCCACTCTCTCTCTGGCCTTTGTCTGGAATCAAGCTGAGCCGGCGGACCCAACCTCTTTCCCCTCCCCAGGAGGGGGGCTGTCTGCCACTCAAGCCCCCTTGCCCTGTTCCCGGGCATTGGACCTGCCAGATGGCACAGCCCCTCCCTAGAGGACCGTATCCATTTTGGGAGCTGTGGAGGGTTGAACTGGAGAGGCTGACAGCAAATGTGGCTGGGGTCTCTGGGGGTCTGTTTCTGAAAAGACCAGGGGGGTGGGACTGTCGCCAACACATTCAGGAGCACCGATTGGCTTTTTTTGGGTGGGGGGGTGAGAGTTGTCTTTGGCAGGTATTTGGGCGGAGTTGGGTTTCGGGAGAGGGGGCAGGGTGGAAAGGGGGAAGAGATGCTAGCCTGCACATCTTGGGGTGTCCCAATCAGCAAGGCAGGGGGTTGCCCAGCAGGACTAAAGCCCATGCCTCCTGTGTCTGTCTGCATCCAGCATGTCAAGGGACAGTGTTTGTCTGATGCGTGCGTGCAAGAGATGCTTGATTTTCTTTTTCCTGGTACGGATGTGAAATTGCGGGGAGCTGACAGTTCAAGGTGTTTTGGGTGGGTGGGGGCAAGCGAATGAGCATGCCTGCAGCTCAGGCCAGGCAGCAGCTGACCGAGGAGGACAAGGCCTGGGTGTGTGGGTGTGGTTGGTGCAACTTAGATTAGGAGTCAAAATGGAGGACAGAGACCCGAGACTATTGGAAAGAGCTGGACAAGAGCATCGGAACATAGAAAGCTGCCTGAGGCGGTTGGTCCATCCAGCTCAGTATTGTGTACACTGGCTGGCAGTGGCTCTCCGGGGTTTCAGACAGGGTGTCGCTCCCTGCCCTACCTGGAGATGTTAGGGATTGAACCCAGGGCAGATGCTCTGCCACTGAGCGACAGCCCCTCCCCTTAAATCTAGCTACAGAGAGAGGGAAGGTGTGCAAGATGGGGAGGCCAGGGGTGAAGGCGTGTTTGAGGATGGAGGGAGAACGATGGGCAGGAAATGAACTGGCCAGCACAGGAAGTCCCTCCTACTCACCTGACCTCTGGCATGGGGGTGGGCAGGGAACTGAATCATACAGGGGAGTCCGTGTGCAAACATGTGAGGTGTGGGGCGGATGACAGTGAAGCCAAGCAGAGGCATGGTTTTTTTCTGGTGCTGCAAATACCATATTTTTCCGTGTATAAGACACCCCCATGTATAAGACTCCAAATTGGGGGGACTCCAAATTAAGAAAACACCCTTCAACACTACCCGTGTATAAAACGAACCCCAAATTTAGACCTAATGTTTTGGTTAAAAAAACCTAGTCTTCTACACAGAAAAATATGGTAATTTTCCATTCTGCCCTGTTGCTCCAAGTTTCCTGTCATCTTCACATGTTGGTCCCACACGACATGGAATGAGGGGGTGAGAAGAAATATGGACTGTTGTCTTCCGTTTTTAGTATTCCAATAGATAGATAGACAGATAGATTTTTTTAAAAAACCAACCAGGTGCCAGTGTGCCACACCACACAATACCATCATGCGCATGCGGGCGCCATGTTTTATTTGAATGTAAAAACACTGGTGTTGCTTTGCATGTTGACTCTGGTCCCCCGACTTAGCACACTCGCAGGAGTCACTGGAAGAAGGAGTGTAAAAATGTCGCTTGTACTGACGCTCTCTCTGCTGTTGCTACATCAACCTGAAGGATGATTCTGCTCATTTGTCCAAATATTGCCCAGAAAAGCCAAATTACTCTGTGTAATTGTTGCTAATGGGCGCTGACATAAGAACAGCCTTCTGGATCAGGCCAGTGGCCTGTATAGTCCAGCACTCACTTCTCCACAGTGAACATTATAGGAAGATAGGGAGCTGACTTGCAGAGAGTCAGACTGTTGGTCCATTGAGTTGAGTGTTGTCTGCACTGACTAGGTGCAGCTTTCCATGGTTCTGCGCAGGTGCCTTTCCCAGGCCTACATAGAAATGCCAGAAATTGTACCTGGGTCCTCCTGCAAGCACAGCAGATGCTCTACCATAGAGCTGCCTTCCTCCTTCCACACCATACATTTAAAGCCCATTGCTTATCCCAAAGAATCCCAATAACTGTAGGTTACCCCTCACAGAGCTACAACTCCTAAGCACCCTTAGCAAACTACAGTTCCCAGGATTGGTGCGTGTGTGTTTTCCTTCAAATGCATGGCAAGGGTGTGACCAGAGTCTGTTTCACATTTCCCCCCCAAATAGCTTCTTCCACTTTTCTTCACGCAAAAGTTCGGCTTTCACTCTCTTGGTCATCAGGTGTGTGTGCGTCATACCATCTATTAACTCAACAGCTCATCCCAACACAACTTCCTGATTTCCATCGCTACCCAAAGCCCATTTGTTCTGGGAGGTAAGAGTCAAATTTCAAAGCAGAGGCATTCTTCCAGAGCACGTTGGTCCAAGGAAAGAAGGGTCCTTAGGGTGAATGTAGGATTTGGGGCAGAGGCGGCAGCCCAGTGATGATGTCTTGAAAAGGTATCCATAAAAATCTAGGTTAGATAGCTTTTGAAGGAATAAGAGGATGAAAGTCTTCCCCTCTGCTTCTTTGTGGGTATGTCCCTCTATTTTTACTTTGGGGGGCTAAATGGAATATGCAAATTCATACTGTGCCCATCTGTCCTAATCTCTTGGCCATTGCAGCTAAAATAGCTAAAACGTTATGTATTTTTGGCTTTTGTACTGTAAATATATGCCCTTGATCCTCAGGCAAAGGGTGGTATATAACTTTAATAAACAAAATAAACCTCCAGAACCAGAGGCGGTGTAGCTTTGAGCTTCAGGTACCAGGTGTAAACAACAGGGAGATGCCATAGGTGAGCTTCTTGGAGGCCTGGGGCTGGCCGAAATTGTGCTGAACAAAATGCCAGACTAGGAATTCTTTTGGCCCCATCTAGCTGGACTTCTTACATTCTTAACTTGCTGCTCACCCTGGAAGGGAGAGAGTCATGGCTTGGGAAGCAAACTGATTGGCTCGGCTCGTATTTCCCCCTTGGCTCCATTATCTTCCACTGTCACAGCCCAAGGGATGATCTCTTTCTCTTAGACTCAGGGCTCCCAGGCAAAGCAGCATGAGCGGGAGCCCTTGGTGAGCCAGAAGACAGCGGAAGGGAGGGTGAAGAGGAGAAATCACTCCCCAAACTAAAACAGTGCCTTTTAGGGTGGCCATTTGAACGTCAAACCCCCCAGTCCTAAGGACACAGAATTGCATAAAAACCACACAAGAAAACTTATATGTATAGGTAGCAGTCTGGAAAACATTTGCTATTATTTAAATGGAAACGCAGTCCATCTCACGCTATTGTGGAAGACTTTGACCAGGTGGCCTGTTTTTCTGCCTGCTCACTCTCCAGGAGCTATTGATGAGTAGCATCAGGGCCCCTGCTCTCCTTTCTTGTAGGAACATAGGAAACCGACTATTACTGAGTCAGACCATGGGTCCATCTAGCCCAATATTGTCCACCCTGACTGGCAGTGGCTCTCCAGGGTTCCAGGCAGTGGTTCTTCAGAGTTTCTATATTTCCGAACTGAAGATACCAGGAACTCAATCTGAGACCTTCTGCCTGCAAAGCAGATGTTGTACCACTGAGATGTGGCCCATCCCAAAAAGACCATGTGGTTGGATGGACGCCTGTCACGGATGCTTTAGCTGAGATTCCTGCATTGCGGGGGGTTGGACTAGATGCCCCTCAGGCTCCCTTCCTACGATTCTGTTTAGCTCTTCAGCTAGAGGACTCCTTCAAATAAAGGACTGTAAAACAGGACACATGGCCACCCTAATCTCTGTGTCTGTCTGTCTCCTCCCCCAGAGTCCATAATGGAAGTGAGCAACAGAAGCATGTTAAAGGAGGGAGGACTGAAGACCAAAGCAGAAGAGGGAAACGTCACCTTAGGCAACCTGCTCCCTTCCCCAGCCATCCTTGGTTTTTGTGCATCCAGGTTAGTCTTCCCCAGTCTAGTGCCCTCCCATGTCTGGAACCAAAACTCCTCTCAGTCCAAGCTGCTTTGGGCTGATAGGAGTTGTAGTTTGAATGCATTTGGAGGGCACCAGGTTGGCTAAGGCTGATACAGATTTCCAAAAGGGAATCCTGTTCAGGAGCAGTGTCATCACCTGGTTGGAAGAAGGCAGGTAGGCAGGAGCTGGCTGAGGGCAGATTAGGGTTGAGGGGCGGTGCTCCATTCACCATAATGGGCCAGCCTCCCCTGCATTCTCTGTCCAGGCAAGCAAGAGGCATCATCAGATTACCAGGGAAACAGCCTGGGGGGGGGGAGCAGGGTGGCCTAGGGAGACTTCTGAGGGCTAGATGGAGAGGCATGGAGGGCCCCATTCAGAGCCTAGGCCTGAGGCTCTCTATTGCAGCCTTCATCTTCTGTGTCAGACCCCAGATCTCCTTCATCTCCCTACTTTGATCTAAACTTTTTTTAAAAAATAAAAACCCCACATCACTTATAGGGCAGCTTCACTTGTTGCAAAACATAGAGCAATGAGACTAGCCAAGGAAGTATGCTAGATGCTAGCTAGATAAGGCTTGTTTTAGTTTTCACATGCACAAACTGAAGGAGCCGACTGAGAGTGAGGCCAAGGGCCCAATCCACGGTTAGCACACAGAGTCCTGGAATTTCTGTTATCCCCTCATGCGACCCTCCAGATGATGGTGGACTCCCAACTTGCATCAGTTACAGTCAATGATCGGGGTTGATGAAAGTTGTGTGCAGAAAAATCTGAAGGGCCACAGGTTTTCCAACCTTGCTCTATGGTGAAACATAAGGCTAGCTGGAGCTGATTGGAGTTGTAGTCCAAACCATCTGGAAGTTGATAGTTTAACTGGCGTAATTAGTTTGAGTGTTGAGTAGCAATGGGCGAATCTGTCAATTTCGGTTTCTCAGTTTTTTATTTTTCCAAGCTTAGGTTCAGTTCTTCACAATTTGTTTCCATTTAACTCAAAAAAGTCATGAAAATTCACCAGACTTTGTGCACCAATTACTCCAAATATACATGTTTTTCTAAAGCAATTTTTCCTAATGCAATGCATTTTTGTATGTCATTCTCACTAATTTATACCTTTTTATGCACACTACCCCATGTACATACTTTTATGTACATTATTTGGCTAAAGAGCTGCGTTGCAAAATTCGGAAAAGCACCGGTTTCGAAGGTTGGCTGAGTTTCAGTGGTGTATTGCTTTGGATAGTGCCCATTAGATGGGCTCACAAGCTGAATTGCATTTCTCCCTGATCTATAGTGTTGAAATGTGTATGTGAAAGACATGGTGCTTTCATGAGTGGATCTGCAGAAAAGTGTTCACACAGAAAAGTGCATCAGAAAAGGGAGAGGAGGATTCAAGGACTTTGTACTTCTTTCTTTGCCTTTTTGAATGTGACTGTTGGTTGGGCTCCTACAGATGCCATGGCTTTTTGACTGTATACCCCAGGGGCTGGCTGTGTCTTGCCATATTAACTTGAGAGGTGAGCAGAGAGGGGGAGTCAGGAGATAGTAAAAATAACTGTTCCTTCATGCCAGAGGAGGTGAGAAGCAACAGCGTTTGGCTCTGCTTCTGCCTCTCACTTCATTCTTTCCAGGAGTGAAACTCCCAAGGGAAAAACAGAAGTGGCCTATGGGTTGATATTCCAGCACTGATTATAAACAGCCGGCATTAATGGTGTAATTTATATAGGCTGTGTATACCTGAATGGTCCATCTTGTCCATTTATAGAGGGAAAACAGGAAGGAACATATCTGATGATAGAACAGCATGTTCCATGCCCTTTGAGTTGTGGTGAGCACCCTCTGGCCTGACATTGTGACACCAGGTGTGGAGTAGGCAAAGAAGCGGCTAGGCCAAAAAGGGATTTGCATTCACCCACCAAATACTGTGCAATGCCCATCCCCCACCCCCGGGTGCTGCTCTTTGCAAGCCTGGCAGTCAGCTGATCATTGGGGTTTGCATAGAGCCATATGCAGCTCTTTGAAGCCCCAGCAACCAATTGATTGTCAGGGTACCACAGCACAGCACAGTTCTATGCAAGGGCTGACAATCAGTTGATGGCACTTCAAAGTGCCATGCATAGTTTCATTTATCTGAAAGGCTTTGGGCGCTGAGTGGTTAGAAGGGTTGTGTGTCGGTGACCTACCTAACTGCAGTTGGTTACAAGTCTGTGCCCATTACAGACTTGTCGCCCATTACTATCCTGTCAATGTATCATGTTGCACACTCACAATCAGGATAATTTAACTTTTTTTATGATTCTTTTAACAAATTAAGATATGCATATACCACTTTTCAGGTGAACCTCACAAAGGAATTTGCACAGATATGTTCGAAAAATAAGCATCAATTAAAACTGTATACAGGTAACAAGTCCTTTTGAAATCCAGCTCTCTCCTCCCTTTGGACAAGATGATCCTTAGGTAGCCCTGTGGTGAAAGTTGATGGAGGGCAAGGCCGCTTCATTTGGATCACCAGCTACTAGATGGTGGACCATCAACAGACTGAAGAGGTGGCAGATGGATCCCCATTTCATAGGACCATGCCTCCAGTGGCCATAAGAAAACGAAGGACAGAAATGTCACACACAAATGGTATATATGGCACTGCTAGGAATGTTGACTGTTACACATATAGATGTGGTGGTTAAAATGAGAAAGGGAAAGAAAGAGGAAGGGAGGAGGGGACGGGAGGTTGGTTTTTCCTGTTTTGGCTGTAATACGTGAAGGATGTGTGCATCCTCCAGTAGCAAGACCCATGAACAAGAGTGAGATCTACAGATCCCACTTCAGGAAAGAAGAGGTATGAGTCTCTTGCATGCCTTTTCCCACTCCGACATGAAGGATGAACCAGCTTAGCTTGTGAATATTGAAGTGGGGGAGGCAGTTTTTGAAAATTAATGTTATGTAGGAAAGTGTGGCCGATCTAAAGGGAAGTTTAGCCAGCATGTGTTGACAGCAGTGCCATCAGAGCAGATTTAGGGGCAAAAGTACAGGGCCTTGCTCCTCAGAATGAGGAAGGGCCAAAGCATCTGCGTTTGTGGTAGAGCATCTATGTTGTATGCGGCCAGCAAGATCCCCACCACCCCATTCCATGCAGAGAAGCTGACCAGACCAGTGGTTGAATCTTACATCAACATTGGTAGTGGGTCAGCGTCCTCTACTGCACCTGACGGAAGCAGGCTACCTCAAGGAGAACAGGGGAGATCACATGGTACACACACAACTCTGTCCTGCAACATCTTGCCACCAATTCCCATCCCACAGCACCTGCCACTGAGAAGGCTGCCTCCCTCTGCCTAATAGTAGGGCCAGCCCTGCCAATCAATACCAAGTCTGAGAAATTTTGTTCCAGGTGTCTCATTATGATCACCATGAAAAGCCAACATAGCATGCTCCAGAAGTTGGACCCCAACTTCCATCACCCCAGGCTACCAGGGATGATTGGAATTGGAGTTCAACATCTTGAAGGCACCATGTTGGCTACCCTATAATGGGCATCTTTCTCCTCCACTTTGAAAGTGGGTGCAGTCAGGTCAAGGTGATCTTTGAACCTGAAATCCAGATTGTTGCCTTGAATGTCCACTCTAACTTCCATTGGGGTGCCTTAGTTCTCAGGAGAGCTATTGTACGGTTGCGTTGCATATTTCTGCTTGAAAATGTAGGGGTCATGCTGGCGTTCACACATGTTAATGTGAATTGTGAGATGCAATCCTCAACTTGCACAGCAACCTTTGCTCCAATACCTCTGTCATCAAAGGAGATGCAATTGTGTTGTGCATAAGTTCTTTGCTGAACCTTTTGAGTTGAGTTGCAGTCCATGCATGCAGAATATTTTTTCTCAACATGCATGCCAACTCTGATCTGATTTTCAGAGATCTTGCATTATATTGCATTGCATTTTCTCCCCTCCCCAGCTGGGTTGAGCTGCCCTTCAAATCTAAACCATAGAGTTCTGCTCCGAACAGGGATCCCAAATGTCACTGTGATATCTGACTCTTCAAGAGAATCACCATGTCACAGTCAATGGAATGCTGGATGAAGTCAGTTAGGAACATAGAAAGCTGCCTATACTACGTCAGAGCATTGCTCCTTCTAGTTCAGTATTGTCTCTACCAGTGTTTCTCAAACTTGGGCCTCCAGCTGTTGTTGGACTACAACTCCCATCATCCCCAGCTAGCAAGACCAGGGTGATGGGAGCCGTAGTCCAACAACAGCTGGGGACCCAAGTTTGAGAAATACTGGTCTATACTGACTGGCAGCAGTTCTCTGGGGTTTCAGGCATGTCTTTCCAAATCTTACCTGGAGATGCTGGGGATTGTACCTGGAACCTCCTGGCTGCAAAGCACATGCTATATCACTGTGCCTCTTCCCCTGAAAACTTAAACACAAGGCACTCACTTTGGTCAAGCAATTAATCCTCCAATGGAAAGGGGAACTTGAAGAACTCTGTGGCTCACAACAGACCTGGGCTATGGACGATAGCATTTAAAATGAACTCATTAGCTGTTGTTTCTGTTGTACCCTTCAACTCTCTCTTCCCATTAATCTGTGGCAAAGGAATATAATCAATGCTGTTAGGTATATCCCATCCTGCATCCCCCTTTTTCTGCTCCCAGCTGTGTTTTTGATTTACACCCCATCACATCTCTGCTCTGTGGCCCCTGTGGTCCAACTTGGCTCTTGTGGCCTCTCCATCTCTCTTTCTCTCTCTCTTTCTCTCTCCTGCATTGCTTCTCCACCTAGTCCCAACTCCCCGCTAGCAGAGCCAGCTATTAATAGAGCAGTGGATTTATCGAAAGAGGCAAGCTGACTGCAGCACTCCCCTTGCAAGAGAGTGCCCTGAGCTAATGGCAGGCATCCATTGGGCAGCAGCTGAATGCGCATGGCCACTCAGAGGGCGGTGCAATGTGGCTGGCAGGTGTAAGAGAACCCATGCATGGTGGTAGGCCAAAGGGCATCTGTTTCATCAGAACACAGAATAACCAGGAGCTGGAGAATGAGAAGCACAGCCAGTATTTGGATGGACAGGGCCATAATATTCATGGGTAGCAGAAGGATGCAGAGTTAACATCAAGAATGACAAGACATTCATGAGGAACATCAAGTTACTAGATATTCATGAGTAGCCCATACCTTCACAGGTGTCAGACATTCATAGCCTGGAGATCTGTGGATAACTAACAGCAAGGTTTCTGCCTCCAATTTTTTAAATAGTAGCAGCAATAAAGGGATTTTAGAAGGGAAGAAAGAGAAAATGTTGAGTAAAAGGGTCCCTCCAATTTCCTCAAATTTACATACAAATTGCAGAGGAAAAATGGGGGTGGTCACCTGATTTTTTTAAAAAACAACCTTCTCCTTTTTTTCTGCCTTCACCCATTTTTTCCTATATGTCCACCCTTCTAGTTCCACCCCATTAATGTTGGGCTAAATCTCTTGGCCCAACCAAGATATCAGATCGTCCTGGTCATCCCATGGCATCATGAGGCCCTGCCCCAAGATCCTCAGTTGTTTGGGGCACCAGAGACCTGAGAACCCTCCTGCCCACTCCTACTGCATGGAATGCTAAGCAGTATCAGACAGATAAGTGCCCTTTGGGGTTTCTTGGAGTCTAGAGTACAGCAGGGAGGAATTTCTCCTTGTTCCCTCGGACTGATGGCCATCGAAATGGAATTTATACTTGCCTGGCCTCTTCTTTCCTGCCTGCCAAAATGGCCAAGGATAGGCTTTCTTATTCTCTTCCAAGTCTGGGCTCTGACATTTTGATACTATACAGTCCCAAATATATCCACCAAATTCTACCCGTGGCCAGTGAGATTCCTGGTTAGAGCCTCACATATGCTAATATAGATGTTGCTGGACCACAACTTCCACAATCCCTGAACCATTGACCATGATGGCTGAGGCCCATGGAAGCTGGAGTCTAGCAATACCAGGGGCTAGAGATTTCCCCATCTTGTTCTAGGACAACACTGACTCTTTGGGCTGGCTTGACTGCCACCCTTCAAAATGGGTACGGGGCCATTTAGTTTAGCATCCAGTTCCCCACTGTGACCAACCAGGTCGATCTCTGAAACCTAGAAGCAAGGCTTGATATCAGTAACTTTGTCCCCAGCAGCTGATCTTCAGTGGCCTAGCGTCTCTGATTCTGAAGGTTCCATAGAGCTACCATGAACAGTAACAATGGATAGATGGATTCTTCGTGAATTTGTCTAATCACCCTTTAAAACCATATGAGAAAATGCCTAATCCTTCATCTCATATCAGTGAAGGAGCTGTGTGTGTCTGAGAGAGAGGTGGGGGAAATGGGGGGGGGGGAGAGATAACAGGAGTTGGAATACATAGAAGTAGCCAGCAAAGCTCCCTCCAGATATTGCCCAACGAAAACTCTCATCAGTCCCAAGTAGCATAAGCAATGGTTAGGGAAGATGGGAATTGTAGTACATCAACATCTGGAGGGAGCTAGATTGGCTACTCATGGACTTGAGCAAGGCGGAAAGCTGAGTTGCCAGGAGAGGGAGCAGTAAAGTGGCTAAGAAGCCAAGCAGAAGTTCTTAAAGTTGCTCAGCTATGCGCCAATATGACCATCAAGAGTACAGGGACCTCTTGGTAGCACCGGAGGAGGATTGCAAGCAGCGAGAAAGCCTCCTTTGAGTCATCAATGCTCCTGACAGATTGCTCCCCTCTTGAGGTTGTTTGCAGATGGCCAAAGTGTTTGACCGTGGACCTGCTGAATATGATTATGTCCTCTGCGCAAGGAATTCAGAACCCTTGAAGGGGGGAGATCGGGCAGCCAGCTAGTTGCTGAAATGTGGCTACAGCCCCCTGGAGGTTAAATGGCACCTTAAAAGAAATGTGTTGGTTTTTTAAAGATGGAATTGGATGTAGCAGTATTTGCCAACAGCTTTGCTTTAAGACTAGACGAGAAGATCACTATTAGGCCTCGGATTCTCTACACATCGGCACATTGAGCTCCTGATATCAGGCAAAAATGACTAAGCCTCCCCAGATATAGCTAATCTAAAGCAAGGCATGGCAGTTATGTTCGGTCATCATCTTTAAATGGTGTGTGTTGGATTTTGTCGGTTTCGTCCCCCTTGAGCTTCTCCGTGTGAACACAGCAGAACAGACTGTGTTACACGTCGCAGGTCACTCGGAACTCACATGGGATTTGGTGGGACTGTAGGAAGGAATAGCAAGAAATAAAAAGATGCAGTACTTCCTCAGAAGTTGAACAAGTGAGACATGCAACAAAATCTTGCAGCCCAGAGTGCTCCTCTTCACTTTAGAAGCCAGCCATACCCTAGTCAGTATTTCATGGCCACTGAGCATGCTCAGTCCTCATGGAACTATTTTTTGAGCGGTGTTTGTTCCACCTCTCATGTTTTTCTTTCTAAATATTTGTTTCTGTGCCTCCTGCAAACCTTGGGGTTTCCCCAAGCCTGTTGAAACTTCCCGCTTTCCATGAGGACCAACATCTAGCCTTAAACAGCAGAGAAAGAGGGAATGCCATTTCATAAAGGCTATGAGAGCCAGTGCAACATGGTGCCAAGAGTAAGATCCAGGTTTAAAACCCCACTCAGCCATCAAGTTAATCAGGTGACTCTCCTAAATTTCTCCAAGGATGAAATAAAAAGGTAATTACATTTTATTTAGAATATTCTCAATGAGACTTTCTAGACACAATTTCCAAAATTTGTTCCTTGGATCTTTTTTTCTTTCCCCCTTTTCTGTTTCTTCTTCTCTTCTCTTCTCTTCTCTTCTCTTCTCTTCTCTTCTCTTCCTTCTTGTGGCTGATCTTAGGGCTCATCATGCTTCAGTTGATTGGTGAATGGTCTGTTGGCCTCTTGATTAGTGGTCAAGCTGCTGCAGGGAACGAAAGGCAGCAAGTTGCTAGAAAGTGACTCTCTCACAGTGCCACCCCTCTTAACCCGAGGTCTTAGTGAGGGTAGCTTCATGCTCAGAGAACATAATGCTTTTCTGGAGCGGATGGTAGGGCAGTTTGGCAGTGGGTGGGTGTGAAGAAGAAAGTCCTCAGCCACCAAAGGCCTGAGAAATTAGCTGTCCCCACAGTCTCAGATAAATGGTCAAGATGATGGACCATTCAGATCTGAGCAATCTTCACTACTGTTTGATTTATTTATCTAAGCAGGGTGGTTTCCAAATAGCTTGTTTAGTCAATACAAGGATTTATCCTTGTGCAACAGAACTTCCCCCCTCCCCTCACGAGCCCCTTAAATCTATTCAGGGTTCACCTCTAACCCTTAAGAGCAGGTGTATATTTGGAGAAGGCATATAGAGGGGCACGAGTCCAGTTATATAAACAGAAATCCTTATCCTGGTGGAACATGTTAGTTGGAAACAACCTCTAATTCATATCCCACACATTCAACGTAACTTTTTGTTCTAACAGATTTGTAAATTGGGGTGTGTGTGTTCCAAATACATGAAATTAGCACTCTAAAGCAGGGGTCAGCAACCTTTTTCAGCCGTGGGCCACTCCACCATCCCTCAGACCTTGTGGGGGGCCGGACTATATTTTTTTTGGGGGGGGGAATGAACGAATTCCTATGCATCACAAATAACCTAGAGATGCATTTTAAATAAAAGCACATATTCTACTCATGTAAAAACACCAGGCAGCCCCACAAATAACCCAGAGATGCATTTTAAATAAAAGGACACATTCTACTCATGTAAAAACATGCTGATTCCCAGACTGTCCATGGGCCAGATTGAGAAGGTGATTGGGCCGCATCCGGCCCCCGGGCCTTAGGTTGCCTACCCCTGCTCTAAAGCAGCGAAAGCCCTTTCAAATATACAACAAAATCAGACTTCTCTAAATTCAAGAATGCTCACATTCTTGTGCAAATGTTTGTTTCCCATTTTTTCGTGAGTACGCATAGCCAGAACAAACGATTTACAAACAGGGCAGGTCCAACTGTTAGGCAAAGGGAAGCAGTTGCCTCAGGCAGATGGTTTTATGTGTCCCAAAAGGATAGCAGATGATTAGTTATTTAAGCTTTTATTATTGGGGTATTTTTACTACTTGGAAAGGGTCGGTGCATTTGTGGGATGTTCCACCACAGATACCATAATAATGTGACTAACCTCAGATACCTTCAGCTCAGTGGGGGTGACTTTCATTGCTCTGCCTTAGGCAGCAAAATGTCTTGGGCTAGCCCTGGTTATGAAGGCTGTCTGAGGAACATCAGGATAGTAAAATTGTCAGATGTTCATTTGCTTGATTGCTTGTTTGTAAAAAGAACACTTCCCGCCTCGTTCAGAATACAGAAGGTGCCCTCTCCTATTTTAAAACATGACAGCATCAAAGAAAAAAATCCACAGCTCCAGTGTTCCCCTGTTTTCATTGGATAAACTTATCGTTTTTCCACCCAGAAGCAGGACATAGGACTTAGAACTGGTCAAATCCCAGGCCCAAGGAGCTTCTAGAGACAGCCTTGCAAAAAGTCCCAGGAGAGGTAGAAATGGCAGTAGTCAAACTGGGAGCCCCATATCCAAGCAGAAAACCAACCCACCCAGCCAAATACATAAACAGGCACCTAGATGTACAATACATGCTGGGGAAAAGAGCCCAGCAAAAAAGAGGATCTAGCAAAAGCCCAGTCGCTACACTTAGTGTTATGAAATGTGATCCGGCATAGACAGGCAGTGCCTTATGTAGTGTGGCATAGAAAGTGAAACTAGAGCTATGACTAGAGCACAAGTCTTAGTGTATTTGCTAATTGCTTTCAGACAATAAGAGTTACTGTTAACGTGCTACAATCTCTGACATTCATTTAACACAGGATGCAATTTGGTAAGCATGTTCAGACCTAGGGATGACATTGTCATTTTCAGCTTCTCATATTTCCCATCTTAAATTCAGTTCTCCACATTTCTGCAGCAATTTTCAAGCCGCTCACCAGATGCTTATTAAAATTCATTCTCATGCACAAATTGTTGAATGCAATTTTGACTAATATACACATTTTTGCTAGGAATTTCCCCAAATGTTTTAGTTTGCTAAATGCATGCATTTTTATGTACAATTCTCCCCAAGATATATGCATTTCTGTACACAACACATTATTGAAGAACTGCATTGCAAAATTCAGAGAACTCTGAATTTCAATGGATAATTGGGTTTCGGTTTGCATATAGGTTTGAGAAGTGCAAACATTTTCATTAAGATGTAAACAAGATTGAATTTCTCCCCACCCCTATTCATAACACAAGTCTCTTACCCGTTTTCCAAAAGGGAGGAAAATGCCAAAGACTGAGACAATGGGATATTGCCTTTGAAAATATTGGAACAAAAGCCGAACAGCATTGTGTTTAGAGAGCAAAGCTCAGCTCAGCTTCTGCACATATTTACAGGGAGTCCACGGACAATTTTGGACATATAAATGGTATTTTAGAAGTTCTGCTTGAATTTAGGAAATGGTGTAACTGCCTCCCCACACTCATATTTCAGGGGTGGGTGGAGTGTCTTTTGAGAGTGGGGGGCTGAACGTCACTGGTGTTCCTGTGGCTCTTTGCTCTGCCAGCCACCAACTTTAATATTCCCACAATGCACCTGGAATTGTGCTATATCACAATGTAGCATCATTCTGAGGGGCATTCTGAGTGGGGGGATGACAGCCCATACTGGAGGTTGAAAATTTCTCCCAAGAATGCTTCCCAGAGTAATGCTATGAAGCAAGGAGGTTACTCTGGGCATGTTAAAGACAGTGGCAATGAACCAGAGGGATGCTGTTCGTTCCACAGTTCCCCTAGCTTCAAAATTCACCCACCTCCTAAAAATACTGGAAATATTCCTTTCTCACCTGTATGGCTTCTGAATACAGCTATGAAAGCTATTTTGCCTCACTGCTAGTGTATACAGTGAGATACTTTCCTTGAAGACAGGATCATGATAAAAAGTAGCCTATCTGCAATAAAACAGCAATAAAAACAGCCAGATATTTTTTACAATTAAAAACAGCGCTGCACAGCCGTCTGTCACTGGGAGTTTATGGAGATCATCCATGCTGTGTGCTCTGGTGGTGCCACCTCCTGTTCTGTGCGCTGGTTCTCAGCCTTTTGCAACTGAGTCACCTGATAGCCAGGGGAGTATTGTGGAGATGCCAGTGTCCAACAATTCCAGTGGTATCAGAAAGTGCGAGAGCGAGAGGTGTCCAAACTAAAATAGGGTTGCCAGGGCTTTAACTCTGGGGTTTGGCAGCACTCTTATCCAGTGGTTTAGAGGTGAATTTAGAAGTGCAGAAGCTCATCATGAAGCCATTGCCCTTAACTGAGTTCCCAAGGATAGTGCAGAAATGCAGACAGCCATGCAGATCCATTTTATGCACACCCGCACACCAACAACAGCACTCATTGAATAGTAAGCCAGGCTCATGCTCTGGCTTCTCCTCTGCTAAAAAAGGCAAAGGGACCCCTGACCATTAGGTCCAGTCGCGGATGACTCTGGGGTTGCAGCGCTCATCTCGCTTTATTGGCTGAGGGAGCCAGTGTACAGCTTCCGAATCATGTGGCCAGCATGACTAAGCCGTTTCTGGCAAACCAGAGCAGCACATGGAAACGCCGTTTACTTTCCTGCTGGAGTGGTACCTATTTATCTACTTGCACTTTGATGTGCTTTCGAACTGCTAGGTTGGCAGGAGCAGGGACCGAGCAATGGGAGCTCACCGCGTCACAGGGATTCAAACCACCGACCTTATGATCAGCAAGCCCTAGGCTCTGTGGTTTACCCACAGTGCCACCCACGTCCCTCTGCTAATATGCCACAAACAATGGTAAACCTTGAAAGCCTTGTCATCCCCTCATCCACTTGAGTGCCAATCATCCCCTCATCCACCTTGGTGCTCTGGCAGGTGAGATCATTGTTCATTACCTTGTAAGGCCAGAGGCAACAAGTTGGTGAAGCAGCAGAGATTACCCTTAACCGTTGTTTAGTAGGCTGTATCCCAGCCCCACAAAGTCAGGGGCTTCTTTCCTCCACATTTTTCATCAGAAGTAAATCCGTTCAGTTCCGTGAGGCTTACTCCCAGGTAAGTGGGCATAGAATTGCAGCCTAAATATGCTTTTAATATTTAGCCTGCTTAGAAACAGACTTTTCTAGCGCCTCTGCAATGAGCTGAAATGCCTTTGGCATATTGCATTTTCCAAAATCGCAAAAATAAAACAATTAAATAAACATAACAAGCAGCTGCAAACAGCCTCTAATTATAAAAATAAGAGAGAGTGCCAGACCATAAAATGTGTCAATCAAAACCAAATGCCTTTGCAAAAATAAAAACAACTTTACATATTGCCTTGAAGCTTGTACTGTGGAAGCAATATGAAGCCGGGAAGAAGGGATGCCTAGAAGCCACCACTGGAAAAGCCCTGTTCTGTGTCGCCACCAATCATTTTCATGATGGTGGAGGAACACAAAGAAAGGCCTTTGCCAGAGGTCCCAACAAGTGGGGAAGTTTATATGGGGGAAGACAGATCCCGGTTCCAGACTTCTCCAGTCTGCGCCCTCCGGCTGTTTTGAACTACAACTCCCACCAACAATGAAAATTTCCTATGCTGGCTGGGACTAATGGGAGGTGTACTCCAAAACATCTAGAGGGCTCCATGTTGAGGGAAGATTCCTTAGTCCAATTCATTGATGCCTTGAACCGTGCCCAGGAACAAATCAGGAATCAATGTAGCTCAGACAAGAAAGCAACATCATCCTTACATTAGGCCCCTGAAAGCAGTCTGGCTGCAGCATTCTGCATCAACTAAAGTTTTTAAACACTTTTCAAAGATTGCCCCATAGAGAACTGCAGGCTTGGAAGTGGCAGCCAGCCATCGCTGCTCGTTTCATATGCAGTAAGCCTATCCAGACCATTTCTATTTTAGCAAGGCTATCCAGATGTATAATTTAGTTATGTAAGCCTGTCTTAAACTTTTGCTGCTTTTATCTGTATCTTATTGATAATTTATAGGGTTCTATGTGCGCCACTTAAGGAATTTTTGATTAAGCGGTTTTCTAAGCTAAATAAAGGAACTAGTAGCCATTGATAGCTTTGTTCCGCATTTGTCTACGCCCCTTTTAAAGCCATCAAAGTTGGTGGCTGTCCCCACATCTTGCCACAGAGGTTTACATTGTTTAACCATGTGCTGTGTGAAGAAATGCTTTGGTGCGTCCTGACCCTCTCGCTATACGGGTTCATGGAGTGTGCATGCCAGTAGTCTAAACTGAATGCAATCAAGGCATGAGTGATAGCGGTCAGTTCTGACTTCTGGAGAAGTCAGACAGGGTGCAACGGGGGTACCAGACAGGGTGCAATGGGGGTACCAGACAAGGTTGTGCAAAGGCACCCCCATGGGTGCCCATGCGCTGAAAAATCAAGCAAGGGTGGTTAAAACAAGAAACAAACAAATGTAAACGCAGCAGCCAGCTTTACCCAATCGCTATCCTTAGGCTTTGAGGTGGCATGTCTTTTAAAACCAGTTGTTATGGACTTCCCAGAAGCATCTGCTTGGCCACTGTAGAAGCAGAATTCGGATGAGTTGGGCTTTCGGTGGGATCCATCAGGGATCTAATTCTGTTACTAAGCCTCTTTACAGGGATAAAACCTGCCTTCAAGAGACAGGTATGAAATCTTGGTGTGGGGGTGGGGATTGGGCTTTGTTTCTGCTAGAACATTCTCTGCTTTTGTGTTCGGATTCTGTGCCAAATGAAAAGCAATTCTGCGATCAGAATGCATTGTGGAAGTGTGCATGACGGAACCGCGTCATGAAAAGTGAGCCTAATCCTAAATGCACACTGTTCTTCCCATGGGAAGGCAGCATCTAGATTCTAGACAGATAGTTGTTTTCTGTGTGTGTTGGCATAGGGTACATCTAGCTGACTGTTCAAGGCCTCATAAGGCAGTGTTGGTCTTCTGCAAGAGTGGCATCTCCATTCTCTGCCACAAGCCTCGCACCTTGCCTTATAGACTTCGCCCCCAGGCACCCAGAAATTGGCCCCTGCGAGCTGTGAGCAGGGAAGGTTGCTCTTTACTTGTTCGGTCAGTGAAGGGCAAATCCTTTTGGGAAAGGAAGGATCCCAAGAGAGAGAAGGTACAAGCCAACTGTGCATGCTTTGCAAAGCGACAGCTCTTCTCATATTAAGCACTTAGGGGGCCTCCCCACCCTTCTTGATGTAGCCGCTCTGTATATGGATTCTACATACAATTTGTTCTTTCTCAAAGAGAAATAAAGCAAAAGGCAGTCATTCATCTGCATATGTTAAGGGTGTACACATTTTTTTTTTTTTTGAAGAAAAGTCCAGTTTCCGCATTACAGATTGTCCATATGCTGGCACTAAAGCTGTGTGACAATTGTGAATGGATGAAATCCGTCTGCCGACCAGACTGGCCGTAAGAAAAAGCTGGTTGCAACTCCTTGAGCAGGACCCTGGTGCAGGCTGGGGGGGCGGGGGCGGGGAATGCATATAGGTATGACTCAAACTTGCAGCTTCCAGTGCTGCAGTGGAGAGAACAGCCTCCAGACTACAGGCCTGGCCTTCAGAGAATAATCTTTCTTGCTCTCCTCTTGCTGGGACCTGGGCCAGTGGCCATGCTGTGAGCAGGTGAGAGGCAGGCCTGCAAGCAGGCAGCGCCTTGTGCAATGCAATCCTATGCATGTTTACTTGGAAGCAAATCCCTGTGTGTTCAGTGTGCATGGGATTTGAGCCTTCAGATGCAATAGGCAAGCCCTACTGAATGTGATGGGACTTTTAAGTAAACAAGCACAGGATTGCACCAAAAGTTTCTCATGCCATTGATTGGACAATCTTTGCCCATGTCAGAGCTAGAATCTGCTGCAAGCGGCAGCTGATTTTGCACAGGGTATGTATATAGGAAGCTGTCATACACTGAGTCACAACTTTGGTCCATCTAGCTCAGTGTTGCCCACACTGGTTGGCAGCAGCTCTGCAGGGTTTCAGGCAAGGGTTTCTTCCAGCCCTAGCCAGTGATGGTGGGGGCTGAACCTGTGGCTTTTTGCACGCAAGGCAGATGCTCTATCACTGAGCCATGGCATTTCCCATGGCTCAGAATTATCTACACCAGGGGAGTGGGGTGAACCTTGGGCCCTCCAGATGTTGCTGAATTCAACTCACATCAGCCATAGCAAGCACAGACGGGCAGCGTTTCTCCAGGCATCCTTCCAAGTCTGAATTTGTTTCAAGAACTTTGCAACTTCCATTCTTGTATCCAAGTATGCAATTTTCAGGAATGGCGAAACTTGCCAGAAAAATAAGAAACCAAGATAACAAACCTTTTTTTATAAAAGAATGGAAATGGTTTATGGAATATTTACAAATAAACTGTAAAGGGATAAGAACATTGGCAGGATTATTGCAATAACCTGCAGTTTTATAAGAGTATCTATTCAAAGAAGATGAATAAATGAGTAAATTAAGTTAATTTGGATATGCAGAAAAGATTAAAAAATAAATTCAAGGAAGTGCAGAAAGAAGGGGGAGGAAGTTGAGTTTTGAAATGTTAAAATGATTGTAAAAATGTATAAAACTGAAAATCATAAAAAAGAACTTTGCAACTTCCCCGCTGAGTTACACTAACATGCTCTCTGGGAAGACTGAGACCTACCTGCAGATCACTGGGTGATTGCTAGTAGATTGGCAAGGGTTTCTGATAGTGTTGAGTAAAGTTGCAGCTTGTGGGAGGAGGGATCCTTGTGCCTGTGGGCCTTCTGTGCTAATTGCTGCTCTCTCAGCCCCTGTCTACTGGGCCAGATCATTGGTCCATCTAGTTCAGTGTATTGTCTACACTGACTGGCAGTGGCCCTGCAGGATTCAGGCAAGGGCTCTCCCAGCCCTAGCAGGAGATGGAGGGGACTGAACCTGACTTACCACTGATTCCCAAAGCAAAGAATACAGCATACAGCCTGGTGTGTAACCGTGGAGTGAGAGTCTCTGAAGAGTCCCCTGGTATGGAAATAGGGGGCGTTGAATGCTTGTGCCCCAGTTTGCATCTTTGAAATGTTGAAAGGTGGGGAAGCAGGGTGTATTTGGGGAGCCTGCAACAGCTATTTCTGTGATTGTGCGTGTGAGGTTGGAGAGAGAGAAAGAGAGCGACAGAGAGACGGAGGAATTGGCAGCTGGCTGCCCTGTCGGTAACAAGCAGCCGGTCCATTTGTATTCAGAGGGTGGTGCAAGGAGAGAGATGTCTGGCTACTTTGCTACGGGCGCTGCAAGAACGGAGGAGGGAGACATGGGGAAGCTTGAATGGGATGTGGCGAAAAGAAAAAGCGGAAGGGAGACCAAGCAGAGGAAGAGCTGGGAAGAGAGGGAGCAAGGGTGGAAGTGGGACCAACATAGTTTGCTGTGCAGCTACATCCACAATCCCTTGATATGTTGCGTCATCATCATCATCATTTTAAAAAACCTGTCATTCCTTCAAGTGGCTGAGAGCAGTGGTGCACACAGGGTTCGGCACAGCTTAGCTTCACAACCACCCTGTGAGGTAGCACATTTCAGAGAGGGAGCCGTGTTAAACAGTTCCAGGAATTCCAGAAAACAAGAAACATGTGGCAACTATAACAACCTGCTGATCTCGAGTTTTGCAGCAAGTTTGTTCCTATTCATTTAGGACTCAATCTAAATGGAAAGCACAAGAGTGGAGGAGAGTGGCTCTTTGGTGCCGGGGTCCTGCTTAAGGGTTTTGCCTGTCATCTGGTTGGCCACTGTGAGGACAGGATCCTTCATTGCAGGGGGTTGGACTAGATGATCCTCTGGGTCCCTTCCAACTCTATGATTCTAGAGGGGTCATTGGCCTGATGCAAAAGGCCCTTCTTATGTTCTTATGCTAAGTAAAGAGCAAGATCCATGGAGTAGGAATGAGAGAGGATTTACTCAGTTTTGGTTCTCATTAAAAGTTTACCCTGATTAATCCACACTTTCCAAAATAAGAACAGAAGCACAACCGTCTTTTGAAATTCGCACACCTCTGAGTTTTGCAGTGTGGTTCTTCAGCCAAACAGTGTGTACAAAAATGCATATGTTAGTGAAAATAACATTCCCAAGTGCTTTTTTATTAGGGGGAATTGCTTTGCAAAAATGGGTATATTGTGGTCAAATGTGGTGAAACTCATGCTGGTAGCTTTGAGAACACTGTCCAACCATCTCATCCTCTGTCATCCCCTTTTGGAGCAAATAGTAAAGGTAAATTGACCCCTGACCATTAGGTCCAGTCGTGGCCGACTCTGGGGTTGCGGCGCTCATCTTGCTTTATTGGCCGAGGGAGCTGGCGTACAGCTTCCGGGTCATGTGGCCAGCATGACTAAGCCGCTTCTGGCGAACCACAGCAGTGCACGGAAACGCTGTTTACCTTCCCGCCAGAGTGATGCCTATTTATCTACTTGCACTTTGACGTGCTTTCGAACTGCTAGGTTGGCAGGAGCTGGGACTGAGCAACGGGAGCTCACCACGTCATGGTGATTCGAACCGCCGACCTTCTGAACGGCAAGTCCTAGGCTCTGTGGTTTAACCCACAGTAACCCGCATCCCATGCAAACATGTATATTAAGAGAAATTAACGCTAACATGCTGGTGAATATTCGTGAGGAGTTATTTTTATTTTTAAGAAAATTGCAAGCAGATATGGCGATCAGAACTTAAGACTGGGTAAATACAAATCTGAAAGAAAACCTAAGCCAACACGTTCTCCCATCTGCAGTGCATGCATATATAGAGATCAATTGTGGGTGGTGGTGGTCTGGGGACCACAATAGCATGAAATGGGGGTGCAGGGAGAATCTAGCATGTATCCCCCAGATGCACCAGCAGCTGCCTCTCCTGCCTCATTTCCGCCTCTCTCAGAGGTTAGTCAGCCCCCAAAGTTCAGCTTACACAAGGCAGGCTTGACATTTATAAACATCAGACAGTCCCAGAGAATCAATAGAGTTTAATAACCAGCGAGCAAAGCAGAGAGAGACACATCAAAATGACATTGGCCTGTTCAGTAAATGTTATTCTAAATCATACTCACTGGAGTTTTATTACATTAAGCATATAGCAGAGAGACAGATTCCATCAAAGGCCATTTTGCTCATAAAGGTGATTGGCAGCTCAGCAGCAGTGGGCCTCACCTGCTCCCCTCCCCGTTTCAGGGAAGAAGGGGGGGGCAAGAGACCCACAACCACCACTGTTTGTTTCCTCGGTGCTTCATCAGCTGCGAGGATTCTTGGTGTAGCGCATGCTGATGACTGGGCTGTCATCTGAGATTTCACTCCCGACATGCAAACGCAGATATCTTTGGCCACCCAAGCAGGAAGCAGAAGAATCTCTGCATGTCTTACCCACTCTGAACATTTCCCAGAAGGAAACCTGTGCAGTAAAGGAGAGGGGGCCCCAAAGCAAGAAAGAGGGAGAAGCTATTGTAGAAGGCTGATTACTTTGCTCCATTACCCTATCCAAGTCACATGTTCCGAAACAATACGCAAACAAGAGCATGCAACAAAATAAATGCTAAATAGAAGCATATTGCTGCATTGAGGGTTGTAGAGAGCTTTAAATGTGCTTTCAGGAGTTGCTGTCATTTGCTTTCTTCTCTTACAAAACAAAAGCCTATTTCCCTGCCCTCCCCAACCAGGAATCTTTCTTAACCCACACAAAATCAGGTGACATTTTTCAGTGGATCAGTGTTACGTTGGTGCAAGATAGCCTTTGTCAACCTGGTGCCCTCCAGTTGTTTTGTACTACAACTCCCAGCTAATGGCAGTTGTAGACCAAAAACATCTGAAAGGCACCAAGTTGGCAGCGTTTGGTGCACAAGCACACAAATTTCTAGTTTTGTGGAAATTTTTGTCAGAATTTGCACCCACTTTCCCTTTGGAATTAAGCATCTCAAGTTCCCCCAACCCACAAAAACAAGAACAAATTTTGAGATTTGCATGGCTGTTTAAGGTAGCATCTTTGTAACAAGAATTGTTGTTCTCTGACAGCTTCTCCTTTCGAATAAATTTGTCTTTACCTGAAATTTTCCCCAGTATCTTTTAAAATTCCCCAGGCCTCCCTATTCCGGCATCTGATCAACACACTAAGAAATTGAATCTCCAGTTTTTAGCTCCCTACACAGACCTTTTGTAATCCTGAGCCTCAAAGAGAGAACTTTAAGCCTTCCTTACACTGCTTCTGTGGTGTTTCTGAGACATGAATTAAATGAAAGCCCCAATCCAGATGTCCACATGATCTCACAAGATATTTGCTCCTGGTTCATCCAGGTATATATCTAGGATTTGGGCTTGTTCCCAAGGTAGCTGTGGTAAAAAATAATCAGAACTTGCTTCGACCTTGGAAGTTGAACGGAATCTGTTCCAGAAGTCCATCTGACTTCCAAAATGTTCAAAAACCAAATCACGGCTTCATAATGTCTGCAGGAAGCTCCTGCAGCCAATCAGAAGCCATGGAAGCCCCTTGGACGTTTGGGTTCCAAAAGAACATTAGCAAACCGGAACAATCACTTCTGGCTTTGCAGCATTCGGGAGCCAAAACATCCAAGTTCCAGGGTGTTTGGGATCCAAGGTACAACTGTATTACAAGATGGCATTCACCACACCAGGGCAAATTGGTATCTTGTTTTGCCATGGCAAATGCAAAGATGCATTTCAAAGAAAATAACTTGCAAGACAAACGGCATCAGAAATAGGCCCCATTCTTTTCAACGGGGCTGACTTCAAGATAAGTATGTAGACTACAACCAACTTGAGAGGGTCAAATCGTAATACAACAGTGAATTTGCCACACTAAGAGGTAACTTGTGACACCCACACCATTTAGTTTCCAGGAATGTTTCTCTATCGTTCCTTACGTTGCTGTTCTTAGCCTGGCATGTCTTTGCCACTGATTCCCTGCCAGCACTTTCAGCGATTGACTGAAAGTTGTCATCCTCAACTTGGGATCATTGACCACAGTCAAATAGTCACATAGAATCACAGTCACATAGAATCACACTGGATACTGGCGAGGTGCCAGTTTGGGAAAGGGTTTATAATACAGTGGTACCTCGTGTTAAGAACTTAATTTGTTCCGGACGTCCGTTCTTAACCTGAAACTGTTCTTAACCAGAGACACCACTTTAGCTAATGGGGCCTCCTGCTGCCACCATGCCGCTGGAGCACAATTTCTGTTCTCATCCTGAAGCAAAGTTCTTAGGGAAAGGGAAAGGTATCCCTGCCCTTACGGGCCAGTCGTGTCCGACTCTAGGGTTGCGTGCTCATCTCGCTCTAGAGGCCATGAGCCGGCGCCGTCTGAGGACACTTCCGGGTCATGTGGCCAGCGTGACGAAGCTGCAGCTGGTGAGCCAGCACCAGCGCAGCACACGGAAACGCCGTTTACCTTCCCGCTATAAAGTGGTACCTATTTATCTACTTGCACTTAAGAGTGCTTTCGAACTGCTAGGTGGGCAGGAGCTGGGACCGAACAACAGGAGCTCACCCCGCTGCGGGGATTCGAACCACTGACCATACGATCGGCAAGTCCTAGGCACTGAGGTTTTACCCACAGTGCCACCCGCGTCCCAAAGTTCTTAACCCGATGTAATATTTCTGGGTTAGCAGAGTCTGTAACCTGAAGCACGAGGTACCACTGTAATGGAATCTGCTTCAGTGGCTAGGATTCAGTTTGCATATACTGTATGTATTCATGGAAGGATAGGCGCATTGTGAGCGGCTGCCAAGATGATATCACCATCTGGAAAGGAGGCTCCGCCTACAAGGTATCACGCATCCATCCACCTTATTGTGTGAGGCTTCCTGTCCACTCCCCTTTCAGCTGTGCTTTTGCTCTGTCAACCACAGTCAAGACACTCGCTCAAGGCTGGGAGCTGTGTGCTCCATATCCACATACAAAAAGCCATCTTGTACAAATCAGTGCAATGAGCTGAATATCCCGCCATTCAACCCTACCCATCCCTGCCTTAATGTTTATATTGCACTTTGCTGTTTGTGTTTTAAATTGCCCTGAAAGTCTCTGTACATCTTTGACTTTCTGGGGTTGTGTGTGTGTGTGTGTGTTTTATTCGCATTAGCCAACAGCCACGGCAACATAAAACAAGCAATATATACAAATAAAAAGACAGCAATGGGTAAAAAGGGCAATCAAATGACCAAGATTATTGTTCAGATAGTGGCCCTTAATCTCATTGTACCCTCGATAAACCTAGCAACCTTTGCATCTGAGGATGGGCAAGTCTGTCTGTTTTGGTTTCCCAGAGTTTCTCATTTCTTCAGTCTTAAATTAAGTTCTCCACATTTCAACCTCAGTTTGAGCATTTATTTATTTATTTAAAGTGCAATTCTCCCCCCAATATACACATGCTTTTATGCAATTTTGTCTAATAAACACATTTTTTTGCAATGCAATTTCCCTAATATAATGCATTTTTCATATTTTCCCCAGTGATATATGTTTTCATGCACACTTGACTCTAGTATATACATTTTTGTACACATTGCACACCAGAAAATTTTGAAGGTCAGCTCTATTTCAGTTTGCGTATTATTTCGGAATGCGTGGATTTGTTAGGTTTTCCTTTAAATGTGAACTAAATCTAATTTCTCTTCCCATCCATCTCCCATCCCTAGTTACACATAGATAATGTGCGTGCTGAATTAAAGTGTTCACAATGTACTTAACATCATTTAATATGCATAATTAATATATTTAAATACATATAATTAAATACACAAGAGACGTAATATATTAAATTATTAAACAAATCCAATACACAGATGCATGTGCTTTTGCTAACAATGCATGACACACAATATTTTTTAAAAAGGCTTTAAGATGTTTTTTCTTGAATGTTGCCGAGGGCCGCCAAAAGAGGCTTTGTGGGCCACATACAGCCCTTGGGCTGTGGGTTGGATCACCCTTACACTCCTTTAATGTCTTTTCCCATCACTGCTGCAGTCCCTTGTTGACACCAGAAAGCAGCTGACCAGGTTTCTATTCTCCCCTCCCCGCCCCGCATATTCTTCTTTGTTGGCAGGACTGCGTGCACTAATTTGTTTAGTTTTTCTTGTATACGTTTACACCCCCACTTGCCCCACGAAATCTTGCGGAAGGGCCCTAGCTCAGTGGGTGGAGCACCTTTGCTTTGCATGCATAAGGTCCTAGGTTCAAATCCCAGCACCTCCAGGTAGGGATGAGAAAAGACTCTTGCCTCAGACCCTCAAGAGTTGCTGCCAGTCTTTTTTTTTTTTTTTATGTGCCATAAAAACACAGAGCAAATAAAGAGATTACAGGTGTAAAAACTGGGAAAAGTGAATTCAAGTTAAAAGCGTATGTGGATGACCTAGTGATAACAGTGGAAGAACCTAAAACTTCACTCTCTAAAGTAATAGAAAAAAATCAGAATTTTTGGGAAGTGGCAGGATTTAAGCTAAATAGGAATAAAACTAAATTATTAGTTAAAAACAATCCTGAGCTGGATAATTTAATGGCCTGTCTCTGTATAAAGCAGCTTCTTCGGGAGTGAAAAGGCTGTTAAACAACTCCCGGGCAAGGCAACGCCTTTTCCATCTCTTGCAGCAACTAAAATCCTGCACAATACGGCTTGCCGTCCTGGGCAGCTTGCTTGGTCCAGCTGATTATTATGATTTCCCTTCCACTGTGTGTTTATTGGCCGCTGACTATGCATTGTGCAGCTAAAGGGACACCCGGCGTAATCTGAACCATAATTCTCGGCACACTTTTCCCACTCCACCTGCGCCTTCCTGGACCCCGTTACCCCCGACTCCGCCCGAGGACCCCCGCAATTATAATCAGCTCACAAAGTAAATTGTTCATCTGTGGCTTGCCTCCCCGGTTGCCATGGCTACCCTTATCAAGCACACGGCACGTCTCCATGGCAACGCCAGGGAAGCACTGGCTGTTGCCTGAGCAACGGATATAATTGTAGTGCTTGTAGGATGGGGAGGGAGGATAAAGTGTGGGGGGGAGAGAGAGGGGGGGAGAGAGGGCAGGCGACAAAGCATGAAATTGCTCGGTAGGTTCAGCAGAAGGAACAATGAAACAGCAAAAGAGCCACGTCCCCTTGGTGTGTGTACAACAAAAGAAGTGACATCCCCTCGATGTGCCTGTGTTATGTGCCTACAAACACAACAAGCAGCATTCTTCTTGTGTGACAAAATTGGAAGCCTTCTGTTCAGTGGGCAAGCGACCTGCTGGGGGAGCGGTTTCGGTTCTAATAAAATAGGGTTCTTTTCAGAATTGTGATGTCAGTTGTGCGAAGTTCTGTGGGGCTCCTGCCCTGGTTTCTGGTACATTCTGTAGGGCCAGGATTTCTCTGGGTTTCACTGGGATTTTGCTGGGTTTCAGGCATCCTTCTGAATGGAGGAAGGACAACGAACTGTAGGGATGGGTGGATCTGTCCATTTTGGTTTTTCAGAGTTTTTCATTTCCCCACATTTCCCCATCTGTTTGCAATTTTCTTTTCAGTCCTCATGAAAATTCACCAGGATTGCAATGCACATTTCTCTTAATGTGAATATTAGGCAAAAATGCATGTCTAATATTCACATTTCCCCAAAACAACTTCCCCTGATACGATGCAATTTCATATGCTATTTCCAGTGATGCATGCATCCTTACACACATTTTATCCCAGTAGATGCATTTTTGTACACATTTCTTGGCACTGCAAAATTCAGTGAAGTGTGAATTTTTGAAAGATGGGAGTGTTTAGGTTCACATATTGTTTTGGAAAGTGTGGTTGTGGAAGAGTCACCTTTAAATACGAACCAAATCAAATTTCTTCCTCATCCTTACCTAGGAGCAGGCTTGGTGGGGAGGTGGGTGGTAACACCCAAGCAGTGGGCTGCAATGTATTTGGAAGGGAATGGTGTAAAATGTCCCGTGTGTCTTTGATATGTGGCTCTGTGCAATCCTCAACTTATCTGATCAGAAGTGAGCACCATTGAGTTCATTGGGGCTTACTCACAGGCAAAGTAGGTGTAGGATTGCAGCCTGTGAGTCTGTCAGTGTGTGTGAACAGCAAAGTAAATGATCATATCAGGGACCTAGAATGAGCCAGTATGGTTGGACTAGGACCTGGGAGGGTTCAAATCCCCACTTAGCCATGAAGCTCACCGGATGACCTTTGGCCACTCATGATCTCTTTGCCTAACCTACCTTACAGGGTTGTTGTGAGAGAAAAATGTAGAGTGGGAGAACCATGAGTCCTTTGGAGGGGAAGTGGGATATACAGGAGGTGGTGATTGTGATAGAAATTAGGTTCACAGCAGTGACAGGCTTTGATTAAGACAAAGAGATACATATAGGGATATCAACCAAGACAGGATCTTCACCAAGGCTCTGGAATTTGCTTCTTAGGGAGACGACACCTGCTCTGCTTTTCAACAACTAGTAAAGCTGATGTTTTTCCATAGTGCTTTTTGTGGTAAAAGATGTTGGCATGCTTATCCTCTGATTTTGTGTATTTATTTTCCATGGTTGTGTTTTGCTGATCTTAGAAGAATTGTTTTACTTTTGTGCTTCTTTCTTTATTGTAGTATAATTTATTGTTCAATACTTCGTGGGCCCTGGGATTGGGGGGGGGGGGATATAAAAACGCATAACCAATCAGCTTCGACAAACAATGGCCAAGGAACCCAGTTGAGGTGGCCTTTGTCTTTTGTGTCTTCAAGGCAATAGGGATTCAGGGTCGAAAGAATTCTCCCTGTTGGAACATGCAGGGAGTTTACTATCTAGCTGGTCAGTTCTGGGCACCTTATTTTTATACTGAGAAAGTTTCAGGGTTATTGGGTTTTTTGGGGGGAGAGGGGTCTTGCTTCTGTTGCACCGTAGTTCAAGAGTGAACCTCCAGATGGTTGTAGTGCTGTGACGCTGGGGAAGTATTACAGAACAACTAACAAAGCAGAACGATGCATGGTTGGTCAGTAAAAGATTTACCACTATTGTGTTATTATTGCACCAATGAGATATTGCTGGATGCACTCCGATGTTGTGGTGGCAGCACCTGGGGCAAGGCAAGCCTCCTCAGCACTGCTGGCTGATAGCATGGAACAAAGGGGCAATAGCTCAGCGATCTACCTGAGAGGCAGCCAGAGCACCCTGTGAGCATCAAGTACAGCAGAGAATGAACCTGGGGATTGGTCGGGAGCGAGTAAAAAGGTAAAGCTAAAGGAACCCTGGACGGTTAAGTCCAGTCGAAGGCAACTATGGGGTTGCGGCACTCATCTCATTGCCGAGGAAGCCAGCCACAGACAGGGCATGTGACCAGCATGACTAAACGGCTTCTGGCGCAACGGGACGCCGTGACGTGTGCCAGAGCGCGTGGGAATGGGTATCTTTCTAAAGCCCGAGCAGAAGGCACCCTAGCAACTGCCCGTCTCCCAAATCTGCTCCTCAGTCTGCCCATACAAACATTGGGAGATTTTCTGCGTGGGAGGATGGCACACTATTTTTTTATTTTTTATTACTACTTTCTCTTTTTTGCTTCTGAAATTTTGTGTCCCTAAGAACTTTGTGCCCAGGGCAACTGCCCCTGTGGCCCTGTCCACGCTACGCCCCTGGGTGGTGGTGAATCTGGAGAGGCTCTTCTGAGGGCAACACTGAGACTAAGAAGGGGGAAGCAGTGCGATCCACTGAATTGGAGAAGGCAGGCCAGTGAAGGCTGGCTGATGGTAGACTGATGTTGGTGGAGCAGGGCCTTATTCACTCCAGAGGACCAGCCTCCACTGGATTCTAGCACAAATCCATCTGGAGTAAAAGGCTATGGATATGTCTGAAGCCCCTTTATCGCTACTTTTCCTTGCAAGTGCAGTAGATTGGCCTGCCATCAGTCAGGAGCTGCTTGGGCACATTTAGGAAGATATCTGGGAACTGCCCATGTTGGCCCCCTCTTTGCCTTCCCATTGCTGGGGCACAGCGAGAGGGAAGATTGATAGTGTTAGCCTTGGAGAGTATGTCGCACGGTGTTAGCTCATTTGAGAGCCATTTATCTCATTTCCTGCAGGGCAATACAGATCTGCAGAGGCCCACATGGCAGGCAGGTTAGAAGAGCATGCATTGAGGATGCGCAAGCGCCATTAATGATCTCCAGCCACAGCAGGCCATTAGGAGACTGGCACGGTGCCCTGAGCCACTAGGGCAGTCCCAGGCACAGGAAGGACCCATTGGACAGAGCTTTATCTCGGGGTGCTAGCACTACGAATCGGCTACCAGTCTCCTTTGTTATCCTCTGTTTATCCCAATGTAATTTAACCTATTCCAGGTGAAGGGCAAAAACCAGTCTGACTTGTTGCATCAGTATATTCATAACTGCCATGAGCTCCAAGACTTTGTGTGCTGCCTCCTCTGGAAAGGGAAGGTGTAGGGATTGCAGTTTTGTGTCGTGGTTGCTGTGCAAGAAGGCTCAGACGCACACTCTTAAGAGTGCTGAGTAGCAAAGAACTCTTTACCTTGGTCCCTCTTATACAGCTCTATTATCATTAGCGCCAACTAGCAAGACTAACTGTAATTGCACTCACTTTACTACTACTACTACTACTACTACTATTAAAAATTGTATACCGCCCTATACCTGCATGTCTCAGGGCGTTTCACAGGATAAAATCACAATAGAAACAGACCCCGTATATTACATGGGTATGTTCGCAACACTAGCTGATTTCCAAAGGTTAACAGGGGCACTGAATCTGCATGGAGTCACTGAGAAGTATTCTGTTTCCAGGTCTGGATGCAGAAAAGTCCATTTCTCGTTACAGTGGAGCTCAGCTTTGCATCCGAGGAAATGGACTCCGTGTCATGATGTAGCACCATTATGTCCACGGGGTGTTTTGCTCAGAGGGATGTTACGCAGGCTGCTTGGTGTGCACCCCCCTGGCACTTTTAAGCCAGGGTGGGGAACCCATGGTCTTGCAGATGTTGCTGGATTGCTGTTGTTGGAGTCCAATTACATCTGGAAGACCAGATTCCCCTCCACCGAGGTAAGAAAGGAGAGGAAGAAAAACAACAACACAGCACTCATATTTGAGAAGTGAGACATGCACACCTCTGAAAAGTATTAGATCTCCCCCCCCCCCCCCATGAAATGAATTGTAGAGTTGGAAGCAACCACAAGCAACCTTGCTGTTTGCTGTGATGAAATTGCATAACTTATGTAATTAATTAGGTAAATTACAAAAGTTACATGGTCGTTCCACTATTCTGCCCCATGGGTTTCAAAGCAAAGGAAACACAGTGCATTTGGGGAGAGGGGATGTAATCAACTATATATCATTTGCAAACTGAAAGCAACAGCAGCAGCAAATACCAATCGTATCTGCTGGATTGATTTCCGTGGCAGACATGGGACAAATAAGCAAACAGCAATTTCCACTCCCATTTATGTTTTCAACAGAATTCTCTGGACTCCCTACTCCAGGGGCACGCTCACCCCCACAAAATTCTGGGCTGAATTCTTCAATCCATCTGGCTCTGGTTGGTGGACTTTGGGGTTCTAGATAATAACGGCAACCACCACCACAAACCCGTGAGCATGACATCTGTCTTAGGAGGCCAGAGATGGGTCTGTTTTGTAGAGTTGTGCCTAGGATCTGTACAGAGCTGTCAACGTTTTCCTTTTTTTAAGGGAAATTCCCTTATTCCAAATAGGATTCCTCGCAAGAAAAGGGAAAAGTTGACAGCTATGGATGTGTACTTAATATTGTTAATCAATATGTTATGTTACCAACACCAGTGAGGATCCTAAAATCAGCATCCATGGTCCAATACACGAGCACCACCCAGGCTCCACACCCGAAGAGGCACAAGCAAAAATAGGCAGGCAAAGAAAAATGGCAGGCTTTGCCCATCAGAGTGAGAGGGAGGAAACAAGCAAACTGGACCACTGGAACACAAGAGAGAAACAAATCATTAAAAGTCCCTAACTTTATTTTTGGAAATGTCATTTTCCTTAGAGTCGCCCAGTGTCTCAGGCTTCTATTGGAAGGTCCTCTGTTTGAAGGACTGTCCTGTCCAAGTACGGTTTCAAGCACCCTTCCCTGAGTGGTGGGACTTTGGATGGTGTTGGGTTGACTCCCATCAGCCCCAGCTATCATAGCTGACTGAGAGGGATGATGGGAGTTGTGGTTCAGCCGCATCTAGAGGGCACCAGATTGGGGAAAGTTGGCTTAAAGAGAAGGAACACTCTGAGAGGAGAGAAGGGGGCTTGGCGCTCCCCATCAGCAGCTGGACCCTGAACAGCAGACTGAGAAGGCACACAGCTCACCTGGGCATGGTCTTCTGCGTTATGGCGAGAAGTATTGTATTTCTACTTACACGACAGTTACTTTCTAAATTTGCATTTATATACATAAATTAACCCATGCAAATTTCATGCAAATCTGCATCTTTTTAAATCTTTTTTTAATCCTTCTCATACTTTAGCAATGTATTCCCCCTTTGGGAGGTGGAGTATGGCATTAGTGGCAGTCTGAAACCACTGATAGAAAACACTTAGGAACAAACTTGTAAATAGTAAACTAAAATAGAGTACCCAAAACAACCACTTTTTTTTAAAAAAAAAAGATTACACAGCTTCTTCGTACAGTATATCTTCATCCTGTAGAGTGTTTGCATTTTCTATGTTAAATCTTTTAAAAGACAGAATGGTGTTGGGAAAAGAGAACAGTGTGAGTCTCTTGTTGTGGCCATAAGTGCAGTCACATAGAAGCTAACTCTAACTGGACCAATTGCTTTTCTCCATATAAAGCAGTGGTGGGATATATCCTGATTTGCAGACCTGAATTCTCCCTGTGCTTTAGTGTGCTGTCTTGTGTTGCTAAAGGGCTGCCGGGCTGCCTCATCCTCCTGGGGACTATATCTTGCTGCCAATGTAATCTCTGTCAACAGGATTTGGAAAATATCCTCTGGGAACACAAGAGCTGGAGAAACAAACACAGAGAGAAATAATTATTACTGATTAACCATTAGCTACATCTCCACATGGTGCTCTACTTGCATAAGTTTGCCAGGGAGAGGATGGGGGAGATCCCAGGTAGGGGTTTTGCCCTCCCCTTCCCCAAGCACACACATATAGCTTGAGCCGCAAGAGGGCCTACCCCCTCTCTTGACGTCTTTTGCTGACAGGCGGTGTTGCCTGGTCTCCATTGAGGCTGATGGAGTGGGAAGCAGGGAGCCCAAAAAGTAAGTTGCACCAGAAACAATTACAGGCACAGCCAACTAGTTTTAAGGGTGCTCCACTCCTCTGTCCAGCTGGGGTTGGCTGAGTGCACATTGGGGGTAATGAGGCAGCTCTCAACTCACCCTAACAGACAGGCCTGCACTGTGACAGGGGAAAGAAAATCTCACTGGGCCTAACTTTCTGTGAGGCATCAACTCAGGGCAGTTATAGAACAGGAAGGGGTTGAGACCATGAGGGTGGTGGAGGGTGAATGAGGTGAATTGGGGTGAATGAGACATCGCCTTACCAACCTCAGCCTGCCCTCAGCCAGCCCTTGCTTGCCTGACTTGCAACCAGTCCAAGGGGTGGCGATGACTTCCATCTTCCTCCTCTCAGTGTTGCCCCTTGCAGAACTCAGCAGGGAGGAGGATTGAGGGGGGCAAAACTATATCCAGTTGGCTCTGCCTGTCATTGGTTCTGGTGCCACCAGTGGGCATTGCTTCCTTCGCTCAGTGGCGTGGCGTCCTTTGCTGGCACCTGGGGCATGCATGTGCACGTAGGTACATGCACCAGGCAGGACCAGAGGCTGGGCACACAGAGGGTTCATGGGCCAGCTGGCCCACCCACGCAAGGGAAAGCCCAGCCATCCAACATGGCCCTTGGCAAGCCCTTGGGGCAGCCATTCAGCGAGGGGACCAGGGGCACAGCGGCAAGGCAAGGCCAAGCTCTGGGGCCCAGAGATTCCAGTGGCAGGCAGGGCAGGGATCTGTGTGTGGGCACCTGGCTTGTGCGCCCTCTAAATGCACCCAGGGCTACGGCCCTATGCTATGCCCTTGGGCACCACCTACTGCCATTGCATGAGGGATACTACCAACCTCCCTTTCAAGAAAATAGCATGCTACTGGTACATGATGGGAAAGAGCACGCTCTGACCCAGTGGGTTTTTTTGTACTGGCCGGTACTGATCACCAGAACTAGGGGGCTAAGCTGGGCTTGGTAAGCCAGATCCTTTTCTAGCTTGAGATGCCAAAATGTTGTTTTTGTAAGGTTTTCAAAACATAGCGGGGCGGGGGGATTTGTCTACAGTTTGTACAGTGGTTCCTCGGGTCACAGATGCTTCAGGTTACAGACGCTTCAGGTTACAGACTCTGCTAACCCAGAAATAGTACCTCAGGTTAAGAACTTTGCTTCAGGATGAGAACAGAAATCACACAGCGGCGGAGTAGTGGCAGCAGGAGGCCCAATTAGCTAAAATGGTACCTCAGGTTAAGAGCAGTTTCAGGTTAAGAACGGATCTCCAGAACGAATTAAGTTCTTAACCCGAGGTACCACTGTATGTGTTTGGTTTAGGCTTTTTTTATTTTTTTCAGAAGAAATGAAAGAAATGGAAATTGAGGTGGGAAATTAAATTACTCTTATGTTTACTTGACTCTTGGTACAAAACATGGCAATATCCTTTGGGCTCAGCAAGCTGCCCTGATGATATTGTGCAGATATAAAAAAAAAGTTTGTAGCAAAGCAGTTGGGGGACATTTAATATTATTCTGGTCTCACGGTGAGAAAAACTAGGAATCTGTTTTCAATGTGGCCTCACCTCTGAAAATCTTTCCCACCCCCACCTTTAACAGATCTTGGGGTGGCGTGGGGGGCAAGTGTATGTGTTTTTGTTGGTGGTTTTCACACCCCAGATTCTTATGGCGATTCCAGGTCAGTGTTTTGCATGCCCTGACCCCGACATAATGGGTCTTGATGCGTTCATGTCTTTCTCGACTGCTTCCCAGGAAACGCTCATCCATTACGCTGCCTGGGTGTGTAAAAGTGTCCTTTCCCTCCCTGGCATGGGGAGAGGGCTTGACATATAATCTTGCCACACACAAACACACGAGTGCCGGTCGGTGGCCAGAGGGAGGGGTAATGCAGGGACACACACGCCCCAGTATGAGTGGGGCCACCTTAGCACTCTGAATGCTCCCTGGCCGAGGAGCAGCGGTGGCACGAGACAGGCTGGAGTCCGCCCTCGTAAAAACTCCCCTCGGTGTCAGTTTGACTAATTTGCTCGTCTTATCGCTGGCAGGATCCGACGTGCCCATCGCAGGCACAGGGCCATAAAACTAATGTAGTGAGGAGGCAGGCCGCAAAATGATAGATACGGCCCGTCGCTTGGAACAAGCATTAGCTTTATGAACCAGGGGTAATTGAAAGGAAATATTTGTCATTGGTCTCCGGCGGACGAGAAGTTTGCAGCAAACTTTGCGGCGACTGCCTCTGTTGGTCGGTTTGCCCACCATCCCGGTGCGTAGGGACACAGGGTGTTAAGAGGCAGTAGTTACTGGGCAGTGGGGCAAGTTGGTCTCCACTTGCTATCCTGGGCTTCGCTCCTTCTTTGTTCCTTCAGGAACAATCAACCCCCCTAATGGCAAGCTCAGGTGAGGTGGGCCAACAGAACTTCAGCCAGAACGGGGCCACTGAGAAACAAGAGGGGGGTATCGGCATAGCCTGGGAAACCCCGAAGTTTGCTAAACTACAAAAAAACCTGCAAAGTGGCGTGGGGAGAAAGTCCCAGAACAGCCGAATTAAGACTGAGCATGCTCAGTGGCCTGAAATGTTGTGCATCTGTTGTGGCGGGTGGGGGGCAGAAAACTGGGGTAGTGGCACAATAGGGGACTCTGGAAGAGGGTGTGGCTTGCTGACTGGCAGAAACAATGAACTGGGTAACTCCACGCTGCAATGTTTCGTTGCCAGCCTCATTTGTTTTGGCAGAGGTCATGCATGTGTCTTGTTTAGAACGAGCCCTAAAGGTAAAGGTAAAGGGACCCCTGACCGTTAGGTCCAGTCGTGGCCGACTCTGGGGTTGCAGCGCTCATCTCGCTTTATTGGCCGAGGGATCCGACGTACAGCTTCCAGGTTATGTGGCCAGCATGACTAAGCCGCTTCTGGCGAACCAGAGCAGCTCATGGAAACACCGTTTTCCTTCCCACCAGAGCAGTACCTATTTATCTACTTGCACTTTAATGTGCTTTTGAACTGCCAGGTTGGCAGGAGCTGGGACCGAGCAATGGGAGCTCACCCCGTCGCGGGGATTCGAACCGCCGACCTTCTGATAAGAAAGTCCTACGCTCCATGGTTTAAACCACAGCGCCACCCGCGTCCCTGAGAATGAGCCCTACATAGCCCTAAACAAGGGGTGGGGTGCCTCTACTCACAAGCCAATCTTTGCCCGCCAGACAGTCCAGTTTGACCCACGAGTCCAGTTCCCTGAAGAAACAGGCCCACCTGCCCATCAACAGATGTCAGCAGGATTTCCTCTCTAGTCACCAGTGTGTGGATTAAAGCCTGTTCCCTTCTCCTTTAAACAAGAGGGGGTGGCAAGGGGGTGGGGGGCTACCTTATCCCCACCACTCACTGCTGTCGTCCACCAGTTTAGAGGAGAAGCAGAACAAAGGTGCCCTTTGAAGATGCCTCACCCCTTTAAGGGAGCAATGTATGGTGGCAGTGTGTGGGGAGGACTCTTCTACCTCCACTGCTGTCCATTCACTCACTTAAAGGAGCAGGGAGCCTGTTTCAAAGGGTGCTTTTGCAAAGCGCTTTAAGTCCATCTCTGCACTCTTATCTGAGTCTCCATAGGCTCAGACAGAAGTGCAGGCACTGGCTGAAAGCTGCAAAGCACTGTCTGAAGCAGCCTAAACACCACAAGGAGGGGGGCTGCTTCAAAGAGTGCTTTGCAGCTTTAAGACAGTTCCCTTGCTCCCAACAAGAGTGTAGATTCTGTCTTAAAATGCTTTGCAAAAGTGCTATTTGAAGCAGCCTCTCCACCCCTTCTTTAAGCACCTGGGAAGCAGTTTGGGGTCTGATACAGGCACAATTGAGCTGTCTTAAACCCTTTGGAAGTTTCCCTGTGTCCCCCTTTAAATCTCCGACATCTGAGCTTTAAGGGGGAGTGTGGGGAGATCTCCCCACCTATCAGTCATTTGATATCATAATGACATAATACGATTGCCCCCACTCACCTGTCAAATTTGGTCCTCAGGGCCGAACCTGAGAGTGCTGTGGCCAGTGGAGCCAAAAAGGTGACCTCCCTAAATAAATATCTGTTTATTTCATTAAGGATCATTAGCTCAACCCAACAGGTATTTTTTTTGTGTTTGTGCATAGACCCTTAGGGCAGGGTCTAACAGTATTCAACAGTTTTTTTAAAAAATCATATGATAAAAGAACACTGCTAACAGCAGATAATATATTCTGTTAAAAAATATTGCTACCAAGAAAGCAAGAAATAGAGATGTTAATTTAGTACTGCCACAGCCTGCCCAAATCCTTGCCAGAAAAGCTATGTTAAGGCTGCAATCCTAAACAAGCTGGGAAAGGAACACAGCGAGACTTCCTTCCAAGTTGTCCTGCCTTGATTCATCCTGTAAATGCTGGAGACGATAGCAAGATTTCACCTTTTCTTTCTTGGTCTTTTATTTTTATCCTTTTTTTTTAAGACCTCAAGCCCCACAAGTTTCCCAAGCATAGGGTGCGTGACACTGTAAACAAACCTCGCACATTCACAAACCTCGTCCCCACATGTGGGCTCTATACTAGACGGTTCCGTAGTGCAAGGGTCACTCGGATCACATCCTAACCATAACATTTAAACCATACCACTTTAAGAGTCATGGCTTCCCCCCGCCACACACACAAAGGATCCTGGGAAGTGTAGTTCATTAAGAGTCTCCTAACAACTTTCAGCATCCTCAGCAACCTACAGTTCCCAGGATTCTTTGGGAAGAAGCTGTGGCCCTTGAAGTGGTATGAAAGTGCTTTAAACGTATGTCGCGGGTGTGATCTGTGTTACTCATTATTGATCACTGTGGGCATGTTGAATTTTGCAACTTTCACATTCCAAAAATGAGGGATTCCAAAATGGTTGCAGCATGACTTGGGAATCCAAAAGATATTTGGGTTCAATTAATATAATTTAGTTATGCCTAGTAAGTAAAACATCTGTCAAATTGCATAGAAATCGTTAAGAATGAGCACGAAGTAATTGCAATTATTATTATTATTATTATTATTATTATTATTATTATTTAGCATTACCTGACATTTTCAGAAGGTATTTCTTCATCAGACTTAGACTTACCAAGTTAAATGTCGTCCAGTCACAAAATAATAGCAATTTTTTTATTCCTCACACCCTAAAATGTATTTTTAAGACCACCTCAAGAAATTTGCAAAAATTAAGTTTCACCCCCTAAAATGAGAAGGCCTAACCCTATGTACAGACGAGAATTTCTTGTATCTGACGTATTTGTGGACCAGGAATCAGAGGAAGAACCAAACCAGGCTGTGCCCAGGCACTATGCCATTTATGGCTCATGGTTGCATTGCATAAACAAGCAAACAGAAGAATTGATTTAGCTATAGGGACCTCTTAAGGAAGGAGAACAAACATCCTTTTACTGCCAATAGTTCCTGGTTTCTAGATGCTGTGGCCATCTTATCACAAATTTACCTTTGCATGCTCACTTGGAAATCCAAACGCGAACAGAAGCTATACACGTGGTTGAGTTCCTGGTCCCCTGCAGGGTTCAATGGCATCTGAATCTTCAGGATGGCCGATCCAGATGACTTGCAGCTTTTCCCTGCAGAAGTTCCCCTGCAGAGAGCTCAGCAAGTTGGGGATGTATGCAGTTGCAATATTTGTGTGTCCCCGCGTGTCCAGCGAGGCAGTCAGGGATGGGGGTGCGGAGATGAATGATTGGATACATCAGCATCCTTTCATCTGTCATCCTGATGAGGCAAAGGAGCTTTAATCGACTTTAATAGCCATCAAATGGCATCAACAACTTCTCCTAATACGCAAATCAATTAGCAAGATTGATTGGCAGGAGCAGAGTGGTCAGGTGGCTCTGGGAGGCAAGGAAGGAGGGCTGCAGCCGTTTTGGAAAATCCAGAGCGATGGAGAAGACTTTGGAAACAATAGTGTTGCTGTGCTGTGGTGCCCTGGGGACTCGTGCAGGCATTCCTGTTACTCCTCGTTTGCCGATGTAACTGCTGCATTACTCTTTTTTTCATTCGCTGCAATCCTGTCTCCTTAGTCTGCGGCTTAGAATGGACAAGTGGGAGCCTGCAACAAAATGTTGCACTGGTGTCATGCTGTTCGGCATTCCAGCTAGGCACCCATGCCCTTTCCCTGAATACGCCGCTCCATTTTCCCCACTCCACGTAACTCTGTAGTTCCCATCTATGGCTGCTGCTGCTGTGATAATGATATCTGGGTACATGCAAAGGCAGGCTCTGGCGGATGGAGCAGATGAGACCATCCAACGGTCAAGAAGGCAGATACCGCAAGTGCCGTAGAGAAAAATGAGGGGTGGATGGGGTTCATCAACCTGAGAAGGTAACCCATGTAGGAGAAGGAAAACTCTGATCCTCCATTGTGGGATATCTTCAGGAGTAGAAAAGACGAAAGACTAAACCCGACACATACCGTATTTTTCGCTCTATAAGACACACCTGACCATAAGACGCACCAAGTTTTAGAGGAGGAAAACAAGAAAAAAATGTTCTCTCCCTCTCTGCGCAGTGCCTCTCCAGCAAAGCGGGAGGAGAAATGGAAGGGGCTCCGTTTCTCCTCCCACTTCGCTGAAGGGGCGCTGCGAGAGAGGGAAAGCTGTGTAGCGGCTCTCCACCGAAGCGGAGCCAGGAGAGCAAGAGGGATCGATCCCTCTTGCTCTCCTGGCTTCAGCGAAAGCTGCGCAGCCTGCATTCGCTCCATAACACACACACACATTTCCCCTTACTTTTTAGGAGGGGGAAAGTGTGTCTTATGGAGTGAAAAATACGGTACCTGGAGTGGAGTTCCTAAGACTGTTTGACGGCACTTTGTATGCCTCCTTCTGCAACATCTGCCGCCAAACTGTTTGCTCTGCTTTCCTTTGGACCACATCAGCAAGGTCAAGGGGAGTGGGTCTTGTTGTCTGAACAGCCCAGGACCTCCAGACACACTGCCCAGGCTTGCGCCCTGGGGAGGTCACTTCATTGCTGCTGCTAACACAGCGGTTTGACTTCACCCCCAGAGACACACTCCATTGTCTCTTGAGAAACCTCTTGTGGAAGAGGCACACAAAGAATGGCCTCAGATGGTGATTGCAGGGTCCAGGCTGGCTCTATGGGGAGAGGTGGTCCTTGAGGTATTGCGATCCTGAGCCGTGTAAGGCTTTATAAGTGAAAACCAGCACTTTGAATGGGGCCCAGAAACTAATCGGCAGCCAGTGCAGTTGATCAGTGTAGTACAGTGGTACCTCGGGTTAAGTACTTAATTCGTTCCGGAGGTCCGTTCTTAACCTGAAACTGTTCTTAACCTGAAGCACCACTTTAGCTAATGGGGCCTCCCGCTGCTGCCGCGCTGCTGGAGCCTGATTTCTGTTCTTATCCTGAAGCAAAGTTCTTAACCTGAAGCACTATTTCTGGGTTAGCGGAGTGTGTAACCTGAAGCGTATGTAACCCGAGGTACCACTGTATCATCAAACCATCTTGCCCCAGTAAACAACCTGGTTGCCAAATTCTGCACCATCTGAAGTTTCCAAATGTTCTTTAGAGGCAGCACTGTGTATAATGCATTGCAGTAATCTAACCTAGAGACTACTAGAGCATAGTCAACAGTTGTTAGGCTATCCTTGCCCAGAGAGGAGTGCAGCTGGGCCACCAGCCCAATCTGATGGAAGACACTCTGTGTCACTGAGACCACCTGAGCCTCAAGAGACAAGCTGTGTGCCTTCTCCTTTACTGGGACTGTAACCCCACCGAGAGCAGGCAACCTCCCATCCCTTTCATTTTGAGCATCCCTCTGATTGCTTCCGCCAAATCACTAGGCTTCTGACTAACCAGCTAAGCTGATTTGAGGAGTACTGGATGGCTAGACTCTAACCAAGGGTGCCTGTGTTTTGTTTGACAGATGAACCGCCCAATCCAAGTGAAGCCAGCAGACAGCGAGGGCCGAGGAGGTAGGTTGCTCTTCATTTTCAACCCATTCATCCATGCTTGACTAACTAACCCTGAGGATCTATTTAGTGTCTCGCCTGGGAGCACAGTTGCACCACCACCCAGTAACGGCCGATCAGACACTTCTAGCACTGCAGCTGCACTGTGCCAAAATCCCCTCTGCGTTGCCCGTTTCCCTCTCAGTCAGCAGCAGAGATGTGAGGTGTTCGGAAGCCGAGAGATCAGTGCAGACCCACCGACCACCATCTCCTCATTAAAATGAGTGAACAGGATGAAGGTCCATTAATTTAAATAAATCTCTCCTGAACAAAACCACCTTTTTGTTCTTTCTGGGTTTTAGTGTTTGGTTTTGTTAATTTAAACTGCATTTTCCGTCTCTGTTTTCTTTTTGTGCATCCACCTTGGGGGCCCTTATTACAGCTTAGATAATAAAACGTTTAATTTAAACAAATAAATACCATACACAGAACATAGATGCTTTTCTTGCTGAGGCTGATGCTCCAGCCTGCACCCTTTACCTCAGTTGCTCTGGCTAACACACTCTAAAATTTCACCTGCCTTTAATGTGGTTTGCCCCCTTCCCCAAAGTGGCTTTTCTTGTTATTCATCTCTCTCCCAAAAGTGGCTTCTCAAGAAAGGATTCTGAGAGGTTTGCTGATGGAAACAGATTTCTGACATGGGCCTCCTGTTTCCAAGGCTCTCGGCTGGGTGCTTGCAGCTATAGCTCAGCTGGCAGATCATGAAACTCTTAAACTTAGGGCCATGGGTTCGAGTCCTGCATTGGGCAAAATATTCCTGCCTTGCAGAGGGTTCCAAATGCTGCAATTCTGTGATTCTATTATCCTTTGCTCTCTTGTTGTGGTAGTACTTCAGCCATGAGGGCTGCATCCAGCATAGCCAATGGGAAGACAGGAAGAGGCAGCAGGACACTGTCATTGGATGGGGTGAACCTTGAGGGATGGATGGGAACATGTGATTGATAGCTGGATTTGTTTCATGCCTGGCTGCACCTACTAGGTAGGCATACATTTTGGGTGCCACAGATACTTTCTTCAAAAAACACACAGTGTTCATAACACAGAGAGGCTTGTGAGGCAGTCTTTCTGTTAATGAAAATATTGATGATCATAGCACAGTCCTGCACAATCTACTCCATGCATTTAAAGCACGTGACTTCCCACAAAGAATCATGGGAACTGCCGCCTGTTAAGGGAGCTGAGAATTATGGGAAGTCATGCGCTGTAACTGTGCATCGTATGTGCTTTAAATGCGTGCTGTGGATCACAGTGGTGCATCAACTTTATACATAAGAAAAGAAATCAGAATGCTGTGCCATGGATAGGGATACAGCCACCTGCATGCATAATGCAGATTTTGCATATTTGCATGCTTTTTTCCTTATTTTGCATAATGTATTCTGTTTCTGCTAGTCACAGGGAGGGACGAGGAACAGCACAAGGCACTGAAACTCCACCCCTTCCCCTGAGCAACCGAAAACAGTCAGCTGTCCATTGGGCTTTTTGCATTTAGCAGATTTGCGTTATATCAAGCCTCTCTTCCAATCCATAGGGGCCAGCAGCTAAGCGGCTAGCTTAAAACAATCGAAAGCTGGGAGTCTTGTGACAATGGATTTTGTACGTAATACCACGGTTTGCACCTTTTCTAGTCTCGTGTGGAACTGTGGACTAACGATCATGAGAGCCAGCGTGGCCTAATGGTTAGAGTTTTGGACCAGGACCTCACAGGGTTGTTGTGAGAATAAAACAGAGAGAGGGAGGAGAAATGTTTGTGCTACCTTGAGCTCTGTAGAGAAAAAGTGGGATGGAAACGTTACAATAAATAAATAACCTTCCTTACATAAGCAAATGAAGTCCGCCCCTTGTCAGGTTTTCTGTCCATCTGGCTCTCCTTTGCAGTAGTTATAGGCCATCTAAATAACATTGCTCACAAACATAAAACTATCATAGAATTGTAGAGCTGGGAGGGACCATGAGGGTCATCTAGTCCAACCCCACACATTGCAAGAATGTTTTCCCAATGTGGGACTTGAACTCATGACCATGAGTTTAAGTGTCTCATGCTAGCTCAGTTGGTAGAAGCATGAGGCTCTTCATCTCAGGGTTGTGGGTTCAAGTCCCTCATGGGGCAAAAATAAATAAATCCTGCATTGCAGGGGATTCGACTAGAGAACCCTTGTGGTTCTTTCCATTTTTACAATTATATGTGCCTATGCTAAGACACATTATTAAAACACAGTATCATAAAACAACAAATTGCAACATTAAAAATATATATTGCAGTGAGCACTTTTTACAGCTTACTGGGACTGGTAAATGAGGCAAACCTCATTTAAACAGTATTTTGAAACACCAAGATCAAAGTTTCTTGAAAGGCCTGGGAGAATTTTCTTTTAAAAAGTCTTCACCTGGTAATGCCAGAAGGACATAGCAGAGGAGCCAGGATGGCAATGCTAAGGATGTCCTCCTCCTGGGTATCTGTTCATTTAACTTTGCTTAGCCTCAGGGGTCCTTTTGTCCCCCCTCCCAGCCAGCCACATGTTCTCAGTTTGAGACATTTTGGTGTTGCGAGAGCCCCACCTGAGCTCAACCACATCTGTCTCAACCACATCAACCCCTTTCTTTCTCTGGCTGATCTCATTACAGGCTGGGCTGGGGCCAATGCTGGGATCTTAAAGGCCACTGCTCTGGTGCTGCCTTGCGGTGGCTCTGTCACTCCTGCCTGCAGTTAGACCCAATTCCTCCCCTCGAACTGTCAGGCAGCCGTGGATTATTGCATTTGAGGCGCAACACAAGTTGAGATAAAGCGCCCTGGGAATCAATGAGGAGCTGGCCTCAGCCTGGTTCCCCATTGATTGATGAACCTGTTCCTGCATCAAGCACAATTACTCCTGGGGTGGCGGGGGCAAGAGCCAGTCAGGACTTAGGTGCTGCTGTGAAACTGACACCCCCAGGTAGAGGATGGCTGGAGAGGCAGCTTCTGTGCCTTCCCTCTGTGAGTTTGTTACAAAAGCCTGGCTATATCTTGTGGCAGGCAGTCATCAAGATTTGTTCTTCCACCTTTCATGGTGGTTTGCCTGCTTTGTCTACATTCCGTCACCCTCGTACCTACGGGACCGCCTCTCCTGGTATGCCCTGCAGAGGACCTTAAGGTCCACAAATAACAACACTTTGCAGCTCCCAAGCCGCAAGGTAGTTAGATTGGTCTCAACTAGGGCCAGGGCCTTTTCAGTACTGGCCCCGGCTTGGTGGAACGCTGTGTCACAAGAGACTAGGGCCCTGCGGGACTTGACTTCTTTCCTCAGGGCCTGCAAGACAGATCTATTCTGCCTGGCCTTTGGTTTGGACTCAGTCTGACCCTTATGTTTCCCTCCCCTTATGGTTTTGATTTATGGGCTAGTATTAAAATGAGGCTGCATTTTAAATTGTATTTTAACCCGTATTTTATTAAACTGGGGTTTTTTTGTTTGTTTGTTCCCCCCCCCCATTATGTTTTATTGTAATTTTATTGGTGGTAGCTGCCCTGAGCCCAGCTCTGGCCGGGGAGGGCTGGGTATGCATAAAAAATTATTGTATTATTATTATTTTTTGGTCCCGTTGAGTTCTGTTTTCTCCTAAGCTGTTCCAGGAGATGGGCCTCAGCATGCAGAGAACAGAAAAGTCTAATGGAGAAGTTTTAGGCATTTCCTGTCTCTGAGCTCCAGGGCAGGCAACACAAGGTTATGTCCAGAGCATTTTTTTAAGCTAGAACTTGCTAGAACTTAGTTCCAGCACTTCTCAGGTGGGTTCCACTGCCATTATAAGTGAACAAGGGAGGCGTTCATGGTGAGTTCTGGCCCCTCTTTTTCTGGAAGAATAACACTGGTTATGCTCTTATCAAATTGGTCTTATTCTCAAGGTAATTAGTTGGGGTTTTTATGTAAAAAAAGGGGAGGATGAGGACATGGGTATAGCCAGGATTTATTTTAGGGGGGGGACAGGCATTATTTTGGAGGGGGCAGAACCAAGTTATTTGCGACACAATCGGTCAGTTAGTTAAGTATTTCTATTTCTTTACTTGATTTGGGGGGGGGGCAGCTGTGCACCCCAGTACTCCCCTGGCTACCCCCATGGATGAGGAACCTGTGGCTACCCAGATGTTGGATTCCAGCCTCCAGGAGCTCCCGTCCACATGGCCAATGGTCAGAGAAGATGTGAGCTGCAGTCCAATGACATCAGGAGAGCCACAGGTTCCCCATCTCTGATTCAGAATACGTATATCCTGCTCTCAAGGCATCTTACAAAAGATTTGCACAATGCAACACAGACTGGGCATAGTTTCAGCGAGAGAAATAAACATGCCGTCCACATGATTACTCCACTGGCATTTCCTGCCTGCGTTCCCTGGTGTGACCCTTTAGCCTCCACCTAGTAGACAGCAGAGCCCACAAATGGCCTCTGTGCTGGCAAAGCTACTTAAATAACACAGGCGGTGCCCAGAGAGAAAAGAAATCCTGATAACACTTTACTGAGGAAACTGATAAAAAACTGTATATAATTTGAGCAGAAAGGAACCTAAAGTTTTTTTTTCTTTCCTCGTGCATAATAGGGATAAAGGTAAAGGTAAAGGGACCCCTGACCATTAGGTCCAGTCGGGACCGACTCTGGAGTTGCGGTGCTCATCTCGCTTTATTGGCCAAGGGAGCCGGCGTTTGTCCGCAGATAGCTTCTGGGTCATGTGGCCAGCATGACTAAGCCGCTTCTGGTGAACCAGAGCAGCGCACGGAAACGCCATTTACCTTCCCGCCGGAGCGGTATCTATTTATCTGCTTGCACTTTGACATGCTTTCGAACTGCTAGGTTGGCAGGAGCAGGGATCGAGCAACGGGAGCTCACCCCATCACGGGGATTCGAACCGCCAACCTTCTGATCAGCAAGTCCTAGGCTCTGTGGTTTAACCCACAGCGCCACCCGCGTCCCTGCATAATAGGGATACATTCAACCAAACATAATAGCATGTGTAACCTCTCTAGAGATCATGCCACTGTGCCTGCTTGCTCAGTAGCATCCTCCTCCTCTTGGCTAGTTGACTTTAACACTAACAGGGTTAACCCTTCAGTTACAAAGTGAATGATCCTTGCTGCTGCAGTTCCAACAGCCTGAGGCAAGGGAGTGGGGGCTGAGCAGCTTTCCCTCGCTGGCACTTGGCAGTTGCCAGGCAGTAGCTCCCTCTGAGGGCTTCTGAGGCAAGAGGGGAGGCCAACCAAGCAGCTGGAACTCCTGACAGCCAATGATTAGGGATGCTTGAGGAATTTTATTTCTGCAAAGTGACCTAATCTGCACCTCCTCAACTAATGTGTGGTTCAGAACTTAATTATCCATTGCACTTCACTCTTCTCTTCCTTTTGTGGTACTGTTCTCAAAAAAAAAAAGAAAGAAAGAAAGAAACCCAAAAAACACCATGCCAAAATGTATTTTTAAAAATACATATTTCAGGATAAAATGCATTTGGAAGTGCATGCATTGAGATAAAATACATCTTTAAATGTGAACATAGTGTCTTGCGAAAGAACAATGTCAAACCAGAATTGATGATCTCCTTCTACTGGGCCACAATAGAAAGTGTCCTTTCATACTGTATTACAGTGTGGCACGCTGGTTTGACAGCCACGGACAGGAAGTCCCTACAGAGGGTGGCGAATACAGCACATGACATCATGGGCTGTCCCCGGAGTTTGCTAGATGACATCGCAGGAGGCAGCTGCCTCAGGAGAGCGAGGAAAATTCTTAGGGACGACTCACACCCTGGCCAGCATTTCTTTAATCTCCTCCCTTCGGGCAGGAGATACAGAAGTATAGTCAGCCGCACCAACAGGCTAAAGAACAGTTTTTATCCGTGGCTGCTGGGCTGCTGAATGGGGGGGGGGGGGAAATAGTGGTGTAATTGACTTCCGACAAGCACACAGAGAGCGAACAAGACTGAGTGTATGGGGGGGCTTGTTTAATTTCACTGCACACAGGTGGTGTAGTGACAATAAAGGTTTATTTATTTCATTTATTATTTATTTAACATAAGAAAGAAGAGCCTGCAGGATCAGACCAGTGAGCCTTCCAGCCTAGCATCCTGTTCTTGCACAGGCCAAAAATCTGCAAGCACAGGCACCCTCTCCCCTCCTGTGGTCTCCAGAGCAGAGCCATTGTGGCTGGTAGCCATCGATAGCCCTCTCTCCGTGAATTTGTCTAGTCCTCTTTTAAAGCCAACGGGCATTCAGAGTGTGTTGCTTCTGACCATGAGACAAGAGTGTAGCTATCGTAGTTTGTAGCCACTGATAGCTTGATCCTCCCTGAATCTATCCACTCCTCTTTGGTTGGTGGAAATCGCTGCCTCCAGTGGGAGTGAGTTCCACAGGTTAACTGCATGCTGTGTGTCAAAACTCCATGTCCCACAGTTCCTCAGTGATTTAGATATTTAGAATCATGGGCTAAAACAGGCCACAACTTTATTGGTTACAGACGTGAGCAATTTGGCTTAAGCTTTGGGTGAAGCCCGGCTATATCTCGACTCCCGCCCGTCTGCAGGGAGTCAAATTAAGAGTAAACCACCAGAAGGGGGAGCCCTATGACTTACATCAAATAGGGGCACCTTCAGGGGTCCCCATTGGGGTCGTGGCATGACCCTGGCCCATGCCCGGGCTTCGGACAGGATCCACACCCCCAAATCTCTTTAACAGAATACCCTTAATGAGGAGGGGCAGGTGGAGGCTACAACCTCACCTCCATTAAACAAAGGCTTACCCAATGCCTAACCTTGCAATGTTGCGACGATCTCTACAAGGTAGGCAGAAACCAAGTGGCAGGTGCCAATTTGCCAAGTGGAAAAATTCCTACCCAGCCCCAACAAGGTGGCTGACATTTGTCTGTAGCAAGGTCATGCATACCAAAGTTTAGAAAGAGGGTGCATGGGCTGGGAGATCCAGCAAGGAGGCAAGAGAAGGAAGCCACCGACCGATCCATAGTTTAAATCACCCACAGCTACCCCCACCGGCATAGATTGGCTGAGCGGGGATGACACGGCCGGGGCAGGCGCAGAAGGGGGCATCAATCCCCCATCCCCGAGCCGGGTCACCACGAGGGCCCAGATGCCCGGCCACAATGCTGCCCACCACAAAAGTGAGCCGTCTTACTTGTCATGAATCGTCTAATAGCCAGCTTCATTGGGTGCCCACGAGCTCTGGAGATATGCGAGAGGGAGATGATGGCCATGTTCCACCTCCACCATCCAAGGCGATAATGCTTTCGAATACCACTTGCTGGATTCTGCAGGAGGTGAGACTGTTTACGTGCTCAAGCTTTTCATGAGGGTTTCCCATAGGCATTTGGTTGGACACTGTGAGAACAGGATGAGGGACTAGATAGGCCATTGTCCTGATCTAGCAGGGCTCTTACATTCCTATGGTCTTCATAGAATTGTAGAGTTGGAAGGGACCCTGAGGGTCATCCAGTCCAACCCCTGCAATGAAGGAATATGCAGCTGTCCCATAAAGGCATCGAATCTGCAACCTTGGCAATACCGGTACCATGTTCTAGCCAACTGAACTATCCAGGCTTCTTATTCTCTTTTTTAAAAGCCCTAAATAAAGACTGAAGAGCAACAGTGAAACCAATTACAAAGAGACCCCACACAGTTTTGCTAATGGCATGTGGTAGGACAGAGTTGAGGAAAGCATGATACAGAGAATAGAAAACCATTCAATTGAACAACTGCTGGATTATAAACAAAGGCTTAACAGCAACGCTTGAAGCAACACACTGGGACCACCAGCACTGTACATCCAAAGACGTCATCCTCAATATGGCTTGGTGCTATGTTCAAATTTGACTCCTTTTACGGATACCTTTCATGTTGTTGTTTAGTCGTTTAGTCATGTCCGATTCTTCATGACCCCACCCCATGGACCAGAGCACGCCAGGCACTCCTGTCTTCCACTGCCTCCCGCAATTTGGTCAAACTCATGTTAGCAGCTTTGAGAACACTGTTCAACCATCTCTTCCTCTGTCGTCCCCTTCTCCTTGTGCCCTCCATCTTTCCCAACATCAGGGTCTTTTCCAGGGAGTCTTCTCTTCTCATGAGGTGGCCAGGTATTGGAGCCTCAGTTTCAGGATCTGTCCTTCCAGTGAGCACTCAGGGCTAATTTCCTTAAGAATGGATAGGTTGGATCTTCTTGCAGTCCATGGGACTCTCAAGAGTCTCCTCCAGCACCATAATTCAAAAGCATCAATTCTTCGGCGATCAGCCTTCTTTATGGTCCAGCTCTCACTTCCATACATCACTACTTGGAAAACCATAGCCTTAACTATATGGACCTTTGTCGGCAATGTCTCTGCTTTTTAAGAAGCTGTCTAGGTTTGTCATCGCTTTTCTCCCAAGAAGCAGTCATCTTTTAATTTCGTGACTGCTGTCACCATCTGCAGTGATCATGGAGCCCAAGAAAGTACCATTCATACCTGGTTGTATTTCTGAGCAGACATTTCTACTGACCACATTTAAACTACTCCTTTTGGCACCTGGTTGTGGGTCTTTGTTGTTGTTTTTTCCGGAAAGGATCTTCATAAGTGACGGGCACTGAAAGGAAGGTGTAAAATGTCATGACAACTGCTGTAACTGGGTCAGGAAAACAATGATGTGCCCTCTGGTACAGCACCAGCAGTAGCCCATCAATGATAGAAGCCCAGCTCTGCTGGTTCTTCCTCCTTTGCCGGTTTTGAGCATCTTCACCAGCGCAAAGCACATGGAATTATAACACGAGCTTAGGTAAATAGTGTATGAAGAGGAAAAAGAAAATAGCCATTCAAAGCAACTTATCAAGCTGCATTAGAGAAAGCATGCACTTCATGGTTTATAAAACAGTGAACATTTGAGCAATTAAACTCAGCTTGTGAAAAGGGCCTAGACTATAGAATGTTTTGATGCATTTGCCTTGCCGAAGCCAAGCAAGTCTGGCCTGGGGTAGGGCCTGGGTGAGAGACCACATGGAAAACTTTCTGTACCATTGTAATAAAAAGTGAACCATGAAGCAGAGTAGAACATTGGGGGTGGCCCTCACACTGTGCTGCACTGGGTCTCATGGCCTCATTGACTCAGAACCCGATGAAGCCATTCAGATGCTGAGTCCCTGCTAGAGGCTCTCAATATCCTTTGCAAACTACAGTTCACTGGACTCTTTGCAGTGTTGGAAGCCATGACTGTTAAAGTGTTAGAACAGTGCTTTAAACGTGTGCTGTTGGTGTGGCCAAAGTATATGGTATGCAAGTGATTTTGACAGCTGAGACAGAAAATAATCTCTCCTCTTCTCTGAAACTAAAAATACAATAATATAAAATTTAAAAATCAGTGCTTTTGTTAAGTCAAAAGGGTGCCAGTATCCCCAGAAAAAAGCACTGTGAATAACTAACACTTTGTTGTCCTTTCATGACACCCAAAACCTGCCGTCTGAGGCAGCCGCCTCACTTTGCCCAAGGGTAGGGCCAGCCTTCCAGCATCCCAGGTATGCACTTTACTAGGGTTGCCGTACGTCCAGAATTCCCCAGACATATCTGGAATACTGTACTCAGAAGCAGCGTCCGGGTGGAAATCGTAAAAATGCCCAGGGAAATCTGGATGTATGGCAGCCCATGTTGGCAGTGTCGTTTTTGGCGATTTTCCTTAAAATTAGCTCAACAACTTTGGGCAAAACTTTAAAAAGCTCAATTAATTTGCCCCCCACCGCTGCCCAAAAAGCTGTTTGAAATATGGCAAGCCTAACTTTACAGGGTTGAGATGCACCTGTTGCTCTTTCTTTCAGCCATCTTTTCATCCCAGAGGAACTTTGCAGAGTAGAGCAGGAATTTGGGTTTTTTGAACCAGAGCTGTGAGCAACACCCTCTGGTTATTTTTCTCCCTCCATATCTGAATCAGCCCTTCCCATAGAAGGAGAAAGACACGTACACACAAATGAGCACACATTCTGCTTTCCCAAGTGATAGCCAGTAAAAAGTAATCAGAGACTTGAAAAGCCCATAGAGCTGATTGGAGAAATAGGAAAGACTGTCACATTTCCAACTTCCTTCCTCCGATCTATATACTTCAGGATAAAGGCAGCCACTCTCAGCACCTCATGACCAAGTGGGCAGGGAGAGGGGTCCCAGAGGCCTCATGGGTACCAGGGAAAGACCTCAGGCGCATTGCTGTGCCTGTAGGTGCCACATTGACAATCCTTGCAGTAGAAGTTGCGAGTGCAGCATTTGCAGCGATAAACCAAGAGACAGTTGGAGCAGATTGTACTCTGGAGATAGGAGTCTTTGCAGCCCTTTCCATTAGCCAGAAAACTGAATCATAGTACAAGTATATTGAGATGTTTGGAAAATGTTGTTCTAGTTACCTGTTGTTGCTTTTAGAAAACTATTGAAGGCTTGTCAATAAGCTCACCAGTATACCATAATCTGGCCTTGACAGTGTGGGTCTAACACCCAAGCTCAGCTGGCTGTGACCCCCTTCCTCTGCTCTTTCTGCATCTCAAGAAGCTGCAGGGATTGTGGCCAGTGGATGACTAGCACCCTCTAGGGGAAATACCAGGCCAGTGGCTCGCCCTAGAACAAAGATTGGCTTCGTGCTTGGCATCAAAAACCACATTGCAAAACTTTTTCCATAGTCTGTTCAAACCGAACTCTACAATCATGAGAGATGGACTAGGACTTTTAATTAAAACTTATACATACATTATTTTAGAGGTGGACCATTGCTCCAAAACTTTCTCAGATTGACTTTGGAGGATTTTCTGTGTTTTCCTGGGGTGGAGGGATGGAAAGAACGTTCACATCTCCAAAGTTAATACAAAGATAAGAAAAAGGTTGCAACATGAACACCAGGCACGTCCCTGAGCAAACCACAATTGGTAAACCGAGAACAAGTCTTATTGCAGCGCATGGTAGCGCAGCAGCAGCAGCAGCAGCAGGAAGAATGAGTTGCTGATGGGATTTAAAAGTCCAACAGCATCTGGCAGGAAACTCATAGGAATAAGTGAATCTGCCTTTCCCATTTTTTCCAGTCTTCCATTCAGTTCTACATATTTCCATATCAGTTTGGGGGGGACGACGACAATTTTTAAAGGTTCTCACGAAAATTCATTAGCAAATTTCTCCTGATACAGTGGTACCTCGGGTTAAGTACTTAATTCGTTCCGGAGGTCCGTTCTTAACTTGAAACTGTTCTTAACCTGAAGCACCACTTTAGCTAATGGGGCCTCCTGCTGCCGCCACACCGCCGGAGCACGATTTCTGTTCTCATCCTGAAGCAAAGTTCTTAACCTGAAGCACTATTTCTGGGTTAGTGGAGTCTGTAACCTGAAGCGTATGTAACCTGAAGCGTATGTAACCCGAGGTACCACTGTATACACATTTCTGCAAGCACTTTTCACTGACATAATGCATTTTTGCATGCTGTTTTCCGTAACGTATGCATTTTGTGCATAGTTTGCCCTGGCATATGCATCTTCGTACACAACCAGACTGGAGAATTTCACTGCAAAATCTGGGGAAGTAGAAATCTCAGAGGATGACAATGTTTCCTTTCCTGTATTGCTTTAAGGAGTGTGGGTTTGGTAGGTTGCCCTTTCAATGCAAACCGAGCCAAATCATTCTGAGCAGCACTCATTCATTAATTTACTGCAGTTATAGTCTATTTTTTTCCACAAGGAATTCAAGGTGGCATACATGATTCTCCCCCTCCCCATTTAATCTCCACAACAACCACCCTGTGAAGTAGGTTAGGCTGAGAGGCAGTGACTGGCCCAGTGTCACCTAGTAAGTTTCATGAGCAAGTGGGGGGGTGCACCCTGTTCTACCAGGTCCCAGTCCAACACTAACCACTATGGAACACTGCCTCTCCTTGCTTTAATGGCCTACATCAAACCAGACATAGGTAGATTTTGGCAAAGCTCTAATGCCCCATTTCTCCTCTCTCTCTCTGTGCACCTTCTTCCCCATTTCCTGTGGCGCCTGTCTGCAGACAAATGCACACGAGGATCGGTATTTTAAACCCAGTGATGTTTTATTCCCAGGGTTCAGTTGCTTGAGCAGGGTAAATAACAGTGTATTCAGAGAGAGATGTAGTTATTAAACACGACTCAGCTGGTGCCAGCAAAAGCTCCGTGCGTCCCAAAGGGAACTGGGAAATAAATTACCCACTTACAGAATGTAATTGGTGAGGGATTAAAAATCAATAGACAGGCAAGAACAAGCAAGCTGCCTCAGCCGGGCTCTGTGGAAGAGGAGAAATCCCATTGCAAGAGGATGGCACTCTCGTTGCCCAAGAGCACGTGCCCAAGAGCACAGTTTCTGGCTATCTGGGGGCTCCTCTGCCTTTTAAGAGGTCAGGGGCAAAGAGATGTTTGATAGGTAAAACGTGCTGTGGTAGAATGGACAGGCCTTTCCGCCCAAGTCCCACAGGCCCACTGGAATGGACTGTAGGATTTAGATGCAAGAAACCTTAGATTCAAGGCCCAGCTCAGCAGTGCTCTATCCCTTTGGCCCTGCACTGTTTTCCCAGAGGATCAGATGAAATATACCAAAATATGCCTCTAACTCTCCTGGGAACGAAATCATTAAAAGTGCAGGAGGCCACTTTGAAGTAATAGTTCCCCAATTCGTCCAGCACAGTTGCATTGGTTTGTGGCCGGCCTTGTGAAAAAGAGCAAGCCCCTCTTTGGCTTTTTGAAATGAAGCAGAACTGGAATGAATGCAGACAAAAGGGATAAGAAGGAATACAGCCTTCGGCAGGGCTTGGAAGAATGAGTATAGACAGAACTGGATCGAGGTCTGAGGGGGCAAGGGGCAAAACGTCCTTTGGCAGTGGGCTCAGGTGGGTTTGCCCTGCAGTAATGGCATGGCTGTGAGCAACACAGGGCAGCCGTGATTTCCCACAATGCTCCAGAGTAATGCTACATCAAGAGCATTGTGGGGAATTAAAGGGGTGGCTTCAGTCAGCTGCCACAGGGAGTGCTGGGTCAGAAAATAATAATAAAGAGGATTCCAACATAAGCATTAGCTGTGCACCCTGGTGGGGCATTTGAACTCTGACAGCTGCCCCAAGATGCCAGGTGCAGATACCAGCCTTGAGGATCTGTCAGTTTCAGCTTCTCATTTTTCTAGTCTTCACATTTCCTCATCTCTTTGCAGTTTTTTGATTCAGCACCTCATGAAAATTCTTATTATTAATGATTTTCAGTTTTATACATTTCAATAATTTTATAATCATTTTAACATTTCAAAATTTGACTTCCTTCCCCCACTTTCTGCATTTCCTTAAGCTCTCTTTTTATGTACAGCATTGTAGGTGCCCAGTCAATCATTGCTTTATTATTATTATTATCATTAATAATAATAATAATAATAATAATTTTATACATTTCAATAATTTTACAATCATTTCAACATTTCAAAACTCGACTTCTTTCCCCCTCTTTCTGCAGTTCCTTAAATTTATTTTTTAATATTTTCTGCATATCCAAATTAATTTGCTCATTCATTCATCTACTTTGAATATATACTTTTATAAAACTGCAGGTTATTACAACAATCCTGCCAATGTTCTTATCTGTTTACAGTTTATTTGTAAATATTCCATAAACCATTTCCATTCTTTTATAAAAGGTTTGTTATCTTGATTTCTTATTTTTCTGTTAAGTTTCTCCATTTCTGCATATTCCATAAGTTTTTGAATCCATTCTTCTTTCTTCTTCTTCTTTCCCTTTTTGGGCAAGTATCATTCTTGCCACTGTAGTCACATACATGAATAAATTTCTGCACAGTTTGGATAGTTCTGTCCCTCATGTAAATTCAGCATCATTTCATTGCAAACTGTTCCTTACACATTTTTCTATGCAATTTCCCCAATACAGTATGCACTTTTTTCTTTGCGATTTCCCCATATATAATGCATTTTTGCATGTTATTTTCACCCACATGTGCATTTAAATGAACACTTTGCCCCAGTATATGCATTTTTGTATGCTGTCACCACCCTGAGACCGGCAGGTTTAGGGCAGTATACAAATTTTAATAATAAATCATCATCATCATCAATTTTTGTACATGCTACTTGGCTGGAGAACTGAACTGCAAAATTTAGAGAGGTGCAAATTTTAAAAGATGGCTCAGTTTGCATATTGTTTCAGAAGATGCAGTTTTGATAGGTTCCCTTTTATTTATTTTATTTATCCATTTTCATAAACTTAGTATACACACCTTACATTTTCATTCTCTAATTTCTTATCAAAAGTCTTCCCAAGAGGTTCCCTTTTAGATGTGAATTGAATTCCCCCCCCATCCCTACAAGAGGGTCCCTATTTTTATCTATGAAGTGTTGGACAATATCCTTAAAGTCCGCCGCTTCCTCAAATTTCACGTTATCATTCCCTTTTTGGCCAGCAGAGCAGCAAGAATTTGGCTCGGAGCAGGACTCCGGCTTAGGCCATAAGTGAGGCAGAAATTCGAATCCTCTCTGAAGAGGCGCTTGCGGTGTGGAGAGAAGTGTCAGGGAAATTTAAGCTAAGCCAAAGACTACAACGCTATACAGGGACAGGTGTTGTTGTTTTTAATAGAGATGGTTTATGTTTAACTAGACAATGTATGAGCCCTGGTCTCTTAACTAATTTTCCTAGTGCCTGACAAAGCGTCCTCTGTGCCCTGCTGTTATTTATTTATTTCCTGGCCTGCGCACTCCGACAGGCCACCTTATTCCCGTTGTCAGACGCCATTAGAGCCCAGCGCTGGTGCGAGGGCCGTGGAAGACAGATGCCGGCAATAATCGCGAAACACTCATTATTTACCATCACTCCAATGATGTTTAAGTTATTTATGTCCCTTGGGCAGGGCTGGCAGCGGAGGGTTATTTGGGTAGTCAATCATAACCATGAAACGGCTTGCTACTTTACTTAACCGTCTCTCTTTCTCTCAGAGCCTCGGTGCCTCCATCTCTGTCTTTCTCATTCCAAGTACCCCTTTATTCCCCATTCCTTCTCATCAACCTCCACCCCCACCATCCGCTCCATCTTTCTCCACATGTTCCCATTGGACCTCTCCCTCTTTCTCTCCTGCAAACTTAGGAAATGAAATAGTGCAGGACCCCAGTGATCACCGCCTTGTACTTTGTTTTAAACTGTTTTTGTTTTTTTAATTGTATTTTTAAATTGTTATAATCCACTCTGGGACTGTATGGTGAGGTGTAGGTAAGGAAGTGTAACAACAACAACAACAATAGGTAAAGGTAAAGGTAAAGGACTCCTGGACATCTAAGTCCAGTCAAAGGCAACTATGGGGTTGCGGCACTCATCTCGCTTTCAGGCCAAGGGAGCTGGCATTTGTCCACAGACCTTTACCTTATTGTTTAGACCACAGTGCCACTTGGGCTTGTCGATCAGAAGGTCAGCGGTTTGAATCCCCGCAACAGGGTGAGTTCCCGTTGCTCTGTCCCAGCTTCTGCCAACCTAGGAGTTTGAAAGCATGCCAGTGCAAGTAAATAAATAGGTACCGCTGTGGCAGGAAGGTAAGCAGTGTTTCCGTGCGCTCTGGTTTCTGTCACGGTGTTCCGTTGTGCCAGAAGCAGTTCAGTCTTGCTAGCCACATGACCCGGAAAGCTGTCTGCGGACAAATGCCAGCTCCCTTGGCCTGAAAGCGAGATGAGCACTCCAACCCCATAGTCGCCTTTGACTGGACTTAACCGTCCAGGGGTCCTTTACCTTTACAATAATAATAATACTAGCAGCTTTTTTTTGTTTTCATGATGAGGTGCCAGTGCTCCTATATTGATAAAAGTGCTGTGGATGCCCGCACAAAATGGCAGCCATGGGCAGCAAAAACATAGATGATAGTACTCTGTACAAGTGAGTACTGTCACAAAAAAGCCCTAATGATAATAATAATAGTAATGATAATAATAATAATGCAGTTAAAAACATTCCCACTGAGGTGTAGTGGGGCACTGCCTCATTTATGCTAGTGGGCCAATCACCACTGAGTGAATGAGGGCAAAAATTTGTTCTCTCCTGCTGCGGAGGGTGGAACTTGTTCTAATGGGCTAAAGTTGTAGGAGGGCAGATTTTGGTTGGCTCTTGGGTGATGGTAAAGGTGACCAGTTACTTAAAAGGATGCTGGGCTCTCTCTCATTGGAGGACTTCAAGCAGAGGCTGGACAGTTGTCTATAGGGGATTCTGTACCTCTGGCCTCCCCCAAGTCCATGAATCGAGGAGTCCGTAGCATGCAGACATAGTGATGGCAGACACTGCACCCACTGGATTTCTCCTAGTTGCTTGACAATATATACAGTGGTGCCCCGCAAGACGAATGCCTCGCAAGACGGAAAACCTGCTAGACGAAAGGGTTTTCCGTTTTGGAGGTGCTTCGCAAAACGAATTTCCTATGGGCTTGCTTCGCAAGACGAAAATGTCTTGCGAGTTCCTGCGGGGTTTTTTTCCTTCCTCCCCCCTTTTTCCCAAGCCGCTAAGCCGCTTATCAGCTGACCCCGCTAAGCCGCTTAACAGCTGATCCGTTAAGCCGCTAAGCCGCTTATCAGCTGATCCGCTAAGCCCGCTAAGCCGCTAATAGCGCTAATCCGCTAAACCGCTAATGGGCTTGCTTCGCAAGACGAAAAAACCGCAAGACGAAGAGACTCGCGGAACGGATTCTTTTCGTCTTGCGAGGCACCACTGTATACCCATTGTATTTAAACAGAACATCTAAGCCACTGACAAAATGTTAAAACATCTTCAGTAGACAGCAACTATGGAAATACCAGAGGAGGCCCACATTCTATAAAGCACTACAGTGGTACCTCTGGATACAAACGGGATTTGTTCTGGAGCCCCGTTCGTATCTAGAAGCAAATGTAACTAGCGATGGCATGTCTGTGCATGCGCGCATTGCTTTTTGTCACTTCTGCGGATGCGTGTGACATCATTTTGGGCATCTGCGCATGCGCAAGCGGCGAAACCCAGAAGTAACGCACTCCGTTACTTCCGGGTTGCTGCGGAGCACAACTCGAATGTGCTCAACCCGAAGCACATTCAACCCGAGGTATGACTGTATTAGCAACAAAACAGAGCATCATCTCGAACACTGACATAAACATGGCATGTAAGAAATCAGCTATGAAATTGCAAGGAAATTGTAAACGTGATACTGTCCTGGCCCCCCCTGCTGCATGAATGACTCAAACTTGGGTTTCTGTTTCTACCAAAATCTTGACGGTGAAGATGAGCGCAGTACATAGGGAAGGCAAGGGTGAAAGGCACATGGCTAAGCATGAGCTAAGATGCTGACCCAACAAGACACCCCCTGTGCCTTCTTTTTAAAGGATGGGACAGGCACTTAGTGTGGCAAATGGTCCGAGTCCCCAAACTGGGCAAGCAAACAGGCATTCCTCTTGGTGAGTTGAGCTTACAAGGTCTTTTTGCACCAACATTGGCATCTCTGTGTCCTTGGAGACGAAGTTTCAGCTGATTTATGCTCAGCAGCCTCCTTCTTCAACGGAAGCTCATCACTGATAGCAGAAGGCACCAAAGGTCAACAGGGGAGAATGGGCTGGGTGGTCTCGTGATGCTGGATTAGAACGCCCCACTTGGTCCCTCCTTAGGATCCAGCTCACTATCCTCCAGGCCAGCCCCCCCCCCCAGCCCTAGACTCTTAACAGAAGAAGAGTTTGGATTTGATATCCCGCTCTATCACTACCTGAAGGAGTCTCAAAGTGGCTAACAATCTCCTTTCCCTTCCTCCCCCACAACAAACACTCTGTGAGGTGAGTGGGGCTGAGAGACTTCAGAGAAGTGTGACTAGCCCAAGGTCACCCAGCAGCTGCACGTGGAGGAGCGGAGACGCGAACCCGGTTCCCCAGATTACGAGTCTACCGCTCTTAACCACTACACCACACTGGCTCTCTGACACTTCTTAGGTCCCACCAATGCTTCTCCCATCCTGCTGGGTCCCACCCTATGGTCCCTCGCATCCCTTCTTTGTGTCAGACACCCCACCCCCATGACACCTCTTTGGGACTCGTGACAAATTCACAATGCTTGCAGGCTGAGAACAGGTTGCTAGGCTTGGTGGGTCAAGGTTGTTCTTATGTCCTGATGTACTCAGAAATACATCCCATTGAGTTCAGTGCAAGTAAGTATGATTCAGAACAGCAGCCCAGACACAAAGGCCATTCGCCCGTCTGGCAAGCCCTTCAAGGGTTCATAGTTGTCGTACAAAGCCTTGGCCTGGACCAGCCGCCAAGTCAATAAGCCCCCACCTGTGCTCCCGTTCTGCCCTACTAATCGTGTGTGGCTTTGCGTGGCTCTTGCTAATGAGGAGTGGTTTGTTTTTAGAAGACAGGAAGCTTTTTGTGGGCATGCTGGGGAAGCAGCAGAGTGAGGATGACGTCCGGCGACTCTTTGAGCCCTTTGGCCAGATTGAAGAATGCACCATCCTCAGAGGCCCCGATGGAGCCAGTAAAGGTGAGGAACAAGAAGCGGCGGAGAATGGCATCGGCAACACTGGAAAGGGGTGGCACAGCTTGCTTTTTCCTACTATGGGGAAGGGCCGTAGCTCAATAGTAGAGCATCTGAGCTCTGCAGGCAGACGTTTCCAGGTTCCATCCCTGCTGGCATCTGCAGGTGAAGTCTGAAATCCTGTAGAACGTCTGCCAGTCAGTGCAGACAAAACTAAGCTAAATGGACCAGTATGAGGTACAACCTTGTAAAAGGGAATGGGGGAAGTTATTCAGGGCTGAGATCAAGACCCTCCCTGCAATGTCTGCCACGCAAGCATATCTCTGCCAGCTATTATTTTGCACAGGAGAAGCCAGGATATAAATAATAATATAGAGGGGTGGCCAAAAGTAGTGGGTCCGAATGCTGGGATCTACCTGTTCCAATCTGGGTCTGGACTTGCCTTTTGCTTCAGCACATATTCCCTATGTAATAGTAATAATAATAATAATTTATTTGTACCCCACCCATCTGGCTGAGTTTCCCCAGCCACTCTGGGCGGCTTCCAACAAAGATTAAAAATACATTCAAATATCACACATTAAAAACTTCCCTGATGTCTTCTAAATGTCAGGTAGTTGTTTATCTCTTTGACATCTGATGGGAGGGCATTCCACAGGGCAGGCACCACTACTGAGAAGGCCTTCTGCCTGGTTCCCTGTAACTTGGCTTCTTGCAGGGAGGGAACTGCCAGAAGGCCCTCGCCACTGGACCTTGGTGTCCAGGCAGAACGATGGGGGTGGAGATGCTCCTTCAGGTATACTGGGCTGAGGCTGTTTAGGGCTTTAAAGGTCAACACCAACACTTTGAATTGTGCTTAGAAACATACTGGGAGCCAATGTAGGTCTTTTAAGACCAGTGTTATGTGGTCTCGGCGGCCGCCCCCAGTCACCAGTCTAGCTGCTATTTTCCCATTGCCTGATACTTGCTAGTAATATGCTCCAATCCTTCTGAGCACCTACAGTATTATTATTATTATTATTATTATTATTATTATTATTATTATTATACTTCCCTCCATCATAAGATCTCAGAGTGGTTCACAGAATAAGATGCAGGATAAAACAAGTAAATAATTAAAACTAAACAGCAAAACAATACCCCTCCTTCCCATAGACAGATTTAAAAGGCTGTGGAATATTAATCAGTCAAAGGCCTGGTTGAAGAGGAATGTTTTTGCCTGCTGCCTAAAAACATATAATGAAGGCACCAGGTGAACCTTCCAGGGAAGAACATTCCACAAATGGGGAGCCAACGCAGAAAAGGCCCTTATTCTCTTGTGGCTAGCCTCTGGACCTCACGTGGAGGAGGCACACGAAGAAGGGCCTCAGAGGAAGATCACAGGGTCTGGGCAGGTTCATATGGAGAGAGACAGTCCTTGAGGTATTGCGGTCCTGAACCGTTTAAGGCAGCCTTTCTGTGGGTATTGCAGTCCTTTACCCTGGTTTTGACATCTATTGTCAGGTGTTTAAAGCGATTTTAACATTGCATTTTCACTTTGTGGGACCTACAGTGAAGGGTGGGTCTGAAATTATTATTATTATTATCATTATTATTATGAAAACCCACTGATTAAAAGGTTGCAGTCCTATGCACATTTACCTGGACTAAGCCCCAACCAGGCGTAGTGAACTTTATTTCTGAGCAAACAGGCACCTAACAGAGCTGCAAAAACAAAACACATGCTCTGTGTTGTCTGTTGTGAATGCCCACTTTCAATTGGTTTTCATTTATTATGGATATTGCTGTTGAATTGCCTCTTGTTTTAAACTTTTGTACATTTTAATTGCTGAGAGTCACACTGAGTCCTTTTATTGGGTGGGGAGAAGCATCGGCCCAAAATTTAATGATTTGCAACCCTGAAACACACAGAGGAAGAAGCAGCCTCTCTCCCTGTTTATTATGGGCAAATCTGGCCACATAGGCAGGTGCACGCCATTCTCAAGTGACAGGGCTATGCTTGTCTTTTGCTGGTGGAACATGGGATGCCGTTCAACCCAAAAGCAAAATGTGACCTGACCCTGCAATAAATGGCATGCATTGACTTACAGCTGGGAAAAAGAATCCTAGATCAGCCAGACTTTAGGCTACCGCTTGCATTTCCCCACCTTGACTGGCTTTGCCAATATGGAGATCCACTCTGTGTTTAGTTTTGGGGGTTTTTTGGATCTGCCTCTGAGCTGACCATTGATCCTTTCTTTCCTCTTAGGATGTGCCTTTGTCAAATACGGGAGTCATGCAGAGGCGCAAGCCGCTATCAGTAGTCTCCACGGCAGTCAGACCATGCCGGTAAGTGCTGGCCAAATGGCCAAATCAGTGGGTTAGAGAGTGGTGCTGATAATGCCAGGGTTGCAGGTTCGATCCCCTCATGGGACAGCTGCATATTCCTGCATTGCAGGGGGTTGGACTAGATGATCCTCAGGGTGCCTTCCAACTCTACAATTCTATGGTGGGGGATTGGTTTAGGTGTTCCCTGTGCTCAGCCAGAGGGCTATGCAGAAGACATCCACACCTTTGCCCTTGTTCTTAAACTTCTACTCCTGTGGTGTCTTGCGTGGGAAGAAGTTTGCTGAAGTTTCTCTTCACCATAAAGCATCTGAGATAGTGTCAGGGAATCCAAGGGCATTGCTGAGGATACACCATATATTTAAACCACATGGTTCCTCAAAAAAAGAGATACCTGGGAATTGTCATTTGTTAAGGGTTCTGGGGATTTGAGCTCTCCGAGAACTGCAGTTCTTTAAATGTTTTGTGGTTTGTGCACAGTCATAGAGAACATATTTATTTGAATATATGAGGCATCTAACTTTGTGTATATTGATACAAAATGACGAGACCCACATATCCTGGATTAATTTTTAGAGTTGAATTTAGTTACTCACAGGCTTTTGTGCTTCCTTGATGCAGTTTGACAGATGATAGATAGATGATAGATAGATAGATAGATAGATAGATAGATAGATAGATAGATGATAGATAGTTCAGAAATTTTGAGAGGAAATACATATTTTATGAGAAAAATACATTGAAATGCACATGCAAGTTTTACTTAAATCTTCATTTTCGTGCAGATACTGGGGGAGGGGGGGAATTGCAGATTAATGCAGAAACGGGATGGCTCAATGAATGAACACCTGCAAAAGTGACATAGGCTGAACATCACCTGATGTGCCCAGAATGACTGCAGCTCCTATCATTCCTGACTGAGGCTGATGGGTGCTGGAATCCAGTAACATCTGAAAGGCCACAGGGTCTCCTGCATTAGGACCAGCAGATATCAACCCAGATAGCCTCACTGTGGCTATTTGGATCTAGCCATTGTGCACCCTGCCCTTCAACTTCCTGCCTGCTGTGGGACGAAAGCTAGAGCATCCTCATGAGCACAGCTGCAAGAGGAGGATGGTAGACGAAGGAACTAGCAAAGTGGGAGAGAGCAAGCACAGCGATCCTTAACTGCTCTGCACCTTTTGGTTGTAGAGGTTGGCACTTGGTGACCCTGTCACTTCCACAATACCAAAGAAGAGGACAGGGACTAAAAGGTCCATCAGGAAACAGGGAATATTCACATGGCAGTGGAGCCTGGCTCATTTGGGGGAATTGAGGCACTGCCCCACCAGTCTAAGACTCTGAAGCAAGTAGACCAGCCTTCTCCAACCTGGTGCCTTCCAGATGTTTTGAATTTCAACTCCCATCAGCCCCAGCCAGCATGGCTAATGGTGACAGATGGTGATGACTGTCATCCAAAATGTCTGGAGAGGGAAGGCTGGAGTCTGCAGTACTAAGCTAGATGCACCACAATATGGTGGGGAAGTTTTGTACGCCCTGCAGATAGAGAAGAAAAACAGAGGTGGCCAGCTAACTGCTTGGAAGCTATATTGAAATTAACAGATAAGCAGTGCTAGGCTCTTTCCCAGGCTGCTCTCAAGCAACCAGAAGCCTTTGTCATTGGCCCTGTTCCTGTGTTTTCAATCACAGCTTAACACGCAGCAATTAAGCAGCTGGAATTCCCTCCCACTCCCCTTTAACTCATCATCTCAGCTCACCCACCTCTGCAGAGCATAAAAAATACATCTATGACCCATTTATTATTGTGTTTTTATTCCACCCTTCCTCCAAGGAGCTCATGGCACAAGGGTTGTATTGAACAAAGTTATATTAGAGGTTACCGTGCACACACTTTTGCTGTGCAGGTACTGGTGACTAGGCAAAACCTCTTTTAAACTGTTTTAGCAGAGTTTATCTTCTTTCTCTCTCACACGGAACAATGACAAAGTTTTTTAAAAGATGACTGACCAAACTGTGAAGTCTCGGTCAAAATATTTTATTCCCAAACCGGTTACATGCATTAAGGTTGCAAAGGAACTCTTTCGACTGTTAACACAAACAGTATACTAGGAAACAAAAGTCTTATCTCCAACACATTGTAAACCACAGCAACAGTCCTCCAACAGACTTCATAGGCAACACTCTTCTGACATACATTTGCTATCAGGTGTCTGCAAACACGAAGCGGGAGTGGTCTTTTTATTAGCACTTGGCACTAATTAAGATCAGAGTGCCACTCCCAAATTTAAAGGAAAAGCTCTGGATCCTTCTAGAAACTTTTACTTGTTTCTTTGCAGAACGATTCCCTTACACCCCCTCTCAGTCGCACAGAAACAAAACAGTATTATGAACATATACAAAGTATTTGCACACCATGCAACACAATTCCTAACTTCTCAACTAGTTGTGCATGTCTTTCAAACATAAGCAATTTTGTAAATACATCTGCCACATTTTGCCTGCTTTCACAATATTGTAGCTTTTTCAGATTTTGCTTCACATTTTCTTTTACGTTTTGATATTTAATCTCCACGTGTTTTGTTCTACCTTTAAACAGTTCAAACTCCACCATTGCAATGACTGCCTGATTATCCTCCCGTACTTGTACTGGATAATTACATTTTACACCTAAGTCATTGAGAATCTGTACATAGTACTTCAATTCATTACATAAGTCTGATAGAGCAGTGTATTCAGCTTCCGTGGAGGAAGTGGCTACAATCCCTTGTTTCCTGGACTTCCATTCCACCAAAGAATTACCAAACTGAAACACCATCCCAGACACTGATTTTTTGCCCAACCACTATCAATGAATGAACTTCTGATCCTGAAGATGATAATTTTAAACAATAGTCAAGTGTATTTTGTAAACGAAAAATGCATTTTAGTCCTTTCCATGTATTTTCAATAGGATTACTTACAAGTCTACTCAGAATTCCAACAGAATAACAAATCTGAACTGCTCCATTGTGAAATATACAATAAACTTCCAATAACAGAATGATACGATTCTGGATTCACAGGCTCTGAACTATCCCCTTCATTTTTGAAAAAAACTATTTCCATTGGGGTTTTCACACCTTTACAATTCTGCATGTTGTTCCTTTCCTCTGGAACCTTCTAGAAACTTTTACTTGTTTCTTTGTAGAGTGATTCCCTAACAAGTTATCCCCTTCCTGCAAGGAATTCTGCTTGCTCAACAGAACTTTTCCTCCCTTTCCTCACCCTGTGCCCCTGCTCAGAGGGGGGTGGGGTTGCAAGAAAACCCAGACAAGATGGGGGGGCACATGGAGGAAGGAGAGGGAAGGGGAGTTCCCTTGTACGAGGCAAGCAGATAAACTTTGCATGAACAGGATGACTAGTTGAAATTTGCTGTTCTCTGTCATCTCCATTTTATCCTCACAGCTGCCCCAATGAGATAGGTTGGATGAAAAGATTTCAATTGGCAGTAAGTTTTAAAGAGGGTTTTGGTCCTGAGGACCAGTCAGAGAGTCCCGAAGAACTGAATTTGGCCCCCAGGGACTGAGGTTCCACACCTCAAGCAATAAAGCAATTTCTCAGAGACAGTGTCTTATGGAAATAACATTTTCTTTCCTTAAAAACAAAACTAGACAAGCAATCTCAGGAGCCGCTCACAGCCATATAGAAAAGGGTAGCCCCACAGAGCAGGCCCCCACCCCTCACAAGACAGTGTTTTTCTCCTTAATCCAATCACCGGCTAATTTATCCTCTCTTTGATTGGATCAGAATCTCGGGGATCAAATCACTTGTTGTAAAAATAACGCAGGGCCCATCGTTTATTCTGATCAGCAGCTGTGCTCTCTAGGCAGGTGTTAGGAGGTAATTCAATCACTGGCTTGAGAAAACTGCCATTTAATTAACAATGAAGGTCACAGTTCTAAATGAAGGCGAAAGAAAGGGGAAAGAGCCCAGGGAACCAGCCGTGATTATAAAAGAGGTCTGCATTGATCAGAGATTGCTCCTGGCAGGGAAGCTGTGCTGAAGATGAACTCTGATCTGGTGTGGTTGGTTGGAACAGCAGCAGCCTTTAGAGAGGGGGGCCCCTCACGCACGCACAATGGTACGTGCTAATCACAATTATCTCACTCTATTGAAATCAAAGAGATGGGATAAATACTCAGAGGAGCAGAGGAGATGCTTTGCTGTTTCTGAATCTCCTCACATCCCGCTAAGGTGACTGAGGTTAAAGAAATACATTTTCAGAGGTTCAAAGTCCAAGTGCCTTATCCGTCCCTCCTCAAAAACTTTTTTCCAGAAGGACTTCTTCATCTACACCATACATTTAAAGAACTCTTATACCACTCTAATGGTCATAGCTTCCCCTGCACACAAAGAATCCTGAGAACTGTAGTTTGTTGTGTGGAGGAAATCATAGCACTGCCAGGCATCTCCTGCTAACAGTCAGCACCCATAACAAAGTACCAAGGGGGCCAGCATTGTTTGTTCATGAGCACAAGAGCTCTTGTGCTAGTGGATGGCAGACTTTAAAGGTTGTTCAAAGGAAGGAATCCAGTGCAATTGCACTAGAGGAAGCTTATTGCACTGGAGCTGATTCTTCTTGTGAAATCTTTTGCAGAAAATCTTTGGTAATGTTTTCCCTTGCACTATGATGCCCCACAGCACAACAAATATATCACTGCATTGGGTACAACCTGTGCTGGATTTCAATGAATTCTTTGTGCACTGTCCTGGGAAACTTCAAGTTGAAGGATGGCTTACAAATAGAATAAATTACCGTATTTTTTGCTCTATAAGACACACTTTTTCCCTCCTAAAAAGTAAGGGGAAGTGTGTGTGCGCGTCTTATGGAGCTAATGCAGGCTTTGCACGGCTATCCCAGAAGCCAGAACAGGAAGAGGGATAGCCTAGCCTGACATCCCTCTTGCTGTTCTGGCTTCGGGGATTCAGAATACTTTTTTTCATGTTTTCCTCCTCCAAAAACTAGGTGTGTCTTATGGTCTGGTGTGTCTTATAGAGCAAAAAATACGGTACAATACAGAGGATGCTGATTTAAAAGTAGTCCCATATTTGTGAACATTTGTTGATCATCACTGTATTTGTACAAGTACCAATAACTCTTTAAAAATAAAAAATAAACCAGAACAGCTAAATGAGAAGTGAGAATGCTCAATGGCCAGAAATATCAAAAAAAGAAAACTACAAAACTATGAGGGAGGCATGGAGAATAGAGTGCTCAGCTGGAGGAGGAGGCCAGCATAAATGCCTGCCTGCCTGGAACATGGAAATACTCGAACGTTGCAACATTTTGTTGCAGGTTCTGCTTATGAATCAGCTGGTTTTAATTTTTCCACCTTGGCCATGCATCCAGGATGACTGGTTGCAAAAGAGGAGAGAGTTTCTGTTGTGGGAGGATTTTGGTAGATGAAAGAGGTCAGAGGTCAGTGCTTTCTTTTTAGGAAAAAAAGGTGCTGGTACTCACCATGGTTGTCACAGTAAGTGCCACACTTTTAACGTGGCGGGGGGTGGGGGTGCAGCTGCTAGTACTGTGTACTCTTGAGTACCCCCAGAAAAAAGCACTGTATGCAGAGGTTTTACTTTATCCAGTTTGCCTGACCCAGAAGTAAATGGAAGCTTATTTGCTTGTTGTGTCCTTTTATTTACAAATGTCTTTCTAATTTATTTAAACCCTAATTTTGTAGATGGTTGACTGGTGACCATGGCCGGGGTAGTGGGAGCGGGACCAGGGGCATGGGCAGGGAGCTCAGGAGGCCAGGCCAAAATCCCCAGAGAGCCAGTACCATGTAGTGGCTAATGTGTTGAACTTCCACCTGGTGAGACCCTGGTTCTCCTCCCGCTGAAGTGATCCTGGGCCAATCACTCTCAGCCTAACTAATCTCACAGGGCTGTAGTGAAGATCAAAGGACGATTGGCCATGTATGCCCCCTGAATCACTGGGGGAGAAGGGCAGGAGAAAATAACACCAGTATGGTTTTCAAATATTGGCAGGTATGCTTGTAAACCAGTGTCCTTCCAGGTGTTCTTGGGCTCCAGTTCTCATCGTCCACACCCAGCTTGGCCAATGGGCCAAGGGTTGGGGGTTGTAGTCCACAACAACCATCTTGCTACATGCAAGTGCCAGGATGGCTCAGTCGGAAGAACATGAGACTCTTAATATCTGGGTTTGAGCCCCATGTAGGGCAAAAGGATTCCTGCATTGCAGGACTAGTTGACCCTTGTGGTCCCAGCTCTGCAAGTCTATGATTCAGTTTCTCAAAGGAGCTATTCAAACAACTTTTTCAGCACACCTGTTTGGCTAGCCTAACGCCTGCCTGTGTCTCTCTAGCAGAAATGATGTGCCCTAGTTGTTATCCTTATGCCATCATCCGTATTGCTTGTCCTTGCTGGGGGGTGGGGGGATGTGAATTATGTGCCAGCTGCCACCGCTTCATACAGGAGCAATGGATACACTCTGCCCCACTCTCTCTGTTTGTGCCTCTGTTTCTCTGTCCACTCTGCTAGGGAGCATCGTCCAGCCTGGTGGTGAAGTTTGCTGACACAGACAAGGAGAGGACCCTTCGGCGGATGCATCAGATGGCAGGACAGCTGGGGATCTTCAATCCAATGACGATCCAGTTTGGAGCCTACGGGGCATATACGCAAGCGGTAGGAGATGCTGCAATCCGCTGCCAGCCCTATAAGGTGGACGCATTTAGAACTGGACAAGCCAGAGGGGGCTAGCTTAGCTGTAGGTGGGCGGTGAGCTCACACTGGATGGCAGAGACAGCTTCCAAGGACGACAGCTGGTGCTCCTGCTATGCTTTGTACCACAATTCCTATCAGCCCCAGCCAGGGTGGATGATGGAAGTTGTTCTCCAAAAATCTGGAGGTCGCCTTCTTGGAAAAGCAGGTTTTGCATTAACTGGGAAGACAAGTCAAGAGGTCTGATGGGCACAGGTGGCTTGCTGACTCCTGTGTAAGCTGAAAGATTAGCTGGGAGCTGAACAGAGTGGGAGTGTCAACAGTGGAGAGAGATCACCAAAGAAAAAGGCCTTGCCAGCTCTAAGAGCCCAGAAAAGAGGTTTGGAGGTGGAAGATATGAAGTGTCAACCTCTGGAGGAGATGCTGCTGCTCTTTGTCCTGATAGCTGTTCCAAAGGAAACTGCTGCCAGTAGGCGGAAGGCTGCAGAGTCAGAGGCAAACATCACAGTCCTCTATACAGTTTTTAGCCAAGCTACGTGATTAGCTCCAATAACATGTAGCCACCAAGTTGGAATGGCTTTAAAAGAAGGTTAGATAAATCAATGAGTGATAAGGCTATTAGGCAGAATACATACATACTATGTCAGAGGCAGTTCACCTCTGAATATCACTTCCTGTGAAACCCAAGTGGAGAGAGCACTGCTGTCACTCCCAAGTCCTGCTTGCAGGCTTCCCATAGGCAGCTGCTTGGCTGCTGTGAGAACAAGATACTGGACTAGTTGGGGCCTTTGGCCTGATTCAGCTGCAGGACTCTTCCAATCAGTCTAGAGCAGATAGAGAGGGGTCTGGTGATGAGATCTAAGGCAGGCTGGTGTTCCTGTTATGGAGCAGGCAGGCAAGTGGCCACATAGCTCAGCTTGCACCTTCTCTCACTCAGATGCAGGTGGAACAGAGGACACAGGGCCTTCAGCTTTCCTTGCTGTGCAGGAGAGAGGGCTTTGGCAGGTGCAGTTTGTCGGGCAAGCTGAAATCTGCACTTCTGCACAAGTCATGAAGGTGCTGGAACCCCGTGCTTTTCCCTATTACTTAGACTAAGGAACCATGCCTGAAACAACAACATTATTATTATTATTATTATTATTATTATTATTATTATTATTACAACAATTCATATACCACCCTTCATCTGAGGATCAAAGGGCGGTTAACAGTATCAAAAGACATAACATAATTGGAGAGATAAAATTGGATATGGAAATATCATGAGAGACAGGACTGAGAATTCGGAGTTGCTTTGAAGTTCAGGCCGTGGGAAGCCGTAAAACCAGAACTAAATTTGGAAGACAGTTGGATTTTTTTATTTTAGTTTTTTAATTTTATTGGATTATGATTATGATTTGAATGGTTTTATTGGAAAATTAATAAACGCTCTAACAAAACAAAACAAAAAGACATAACATAATAACAAACTGTGTCCCCCACACACCCAGTTTGAAAGGCCACAAATTGTTTAACCAGCCAAAGACCTGGTTATGGAGGCCTGAAGATATGTAATAGAGACGCCAGGGGAGAGCATTCCACAAACAGGGAGCCACTGCAGAAAAGGCCCGTTCTTGTGTTGCCACCCTCTGGACCTCTCATGGAGGAGGCACACCAAGAAGGGCCTCAGAGGATGATCTCAGGGTCTGGGCAGGTTCATATGGAGAGAGGCAGTCCTTGAGGTATTGTGGTCCTGAACCATAAGGCATTTTAGGGCAACATCAGCACTTTGAATTTGGCCCACTAACTGGCAGTCAGTGCAGTGTGCCAAGGATTGGCATTATATGATCAAGCTGTTTTGCTTCAGTAAGCAACCTGGTAGCTGGATTCTGCACCAGCGGAAGTTTCCAGTCCGTCATCAGAGGCAGCCGCATGTATAATGTGTTGCAGTAATCTAGCCTAGAGGTTAGGGCAAGCCAGGCCTCTGTTGGTCCCTGGACTGAAACAACTGCAGCACCATCTCTGGCCATTCCATGGGCAGCATAGCAGAATAGCAGGTATCCGATTGGAAGCTCCTTTTGCCTGAAAGCTGCCTTGGTGGTGCCTCAGGGAAATAAGGTGCCTGGGTCCTATTGCCAGCCTTCTCCAACATGGTACCCTCCAGATGTTTCCAACACCAACTTCCCTCATCGCTGATGGTTGGCTGTGCTGTCGGGGGCTGGTGGGACTTGTAGTCCTGCAACACCTGGAGAACATCAGTTTGGGGAAAGCTGTTGTACACAATACTGTTAGACACAGTACTCAGCATAAGACATCTTCCTACATTCCTGCCATGCCCAGTGTCAACAGCTGGAAAAGGCTCTTGGGTAACAAAGGCAAAACTAACTTGCACCTTCTTGTTTCTCCCCTTCTTCCTCCTCCTCCTCTGTGTCCTCTGCTTCCTGTTCTTGCTTGTTCCTTCTCCTCCTCTCTCTTCCCCGCCTCCACTGCTGCCCCTCTTGCTTACTCCGTTTCTTTTCCTTCTCTCTGCCCCCATGCCTGTCTTTCTTTCCTTAAGATAATGCAGCAGCAGGCAGCTCTGATGGCTGCAGCACAAGGAACTTGCCTCAACCCCATGGCGGCCATTGCGGCGGCACAGATGCAACAGATGGCGGCGTTTAACGTCAGCGGGTTGGTTGCTGCTCCCATGACACCCTCATCAGGTATTTGCCACTAGGGATGGTAGAGAAATTCAGCTCAGTTCACATTCGAAGGCAGACATACAGAACAGACAGTTTCCAAAACAAAAATGGACCAAAACATGGTCAGAATTCAGAGCTCACACTTTTTCCAAATTTTGCAATGCAGTTCTCCTGTGAAGTTACGTGTACAGTAATGCACATACTAGCCAAAGTGTGCGTACAAATATGCATTTTGGGACCAAACTGGCAATGACCAGGACTCACTTGCTCTTGATGACTGCAAAACAGCCCAGATGAAGAAGTGGATTGGTTTTTAACACCTGACTTCAACCAACCAGATTCCTACCTGTTCTAGTCAGAGACCTCACCCATCCTCTGTGTCTGAGAAATAGCCAGCATCAAAGGCCATCTCTAATTTGTCTCTTTCTCCCCAACTTCTTGGTGGTCCATAGGTACAAGCACACCTCCGGGGATCAGCACAGCACCTGTTCCCAGCATAGCCACACCCATCGGGGTGAATGGATTCAGCCCTCTCCCACCACAGACCAATGGGCAGCCAGCATCAGAAACTATTTACACCAATGGAATCCATCCATACCCAGGTAAGGTTTTTGGCCAAAATAATAATAATAACGGAGGCAGGAAACAATGGGTGTGCTGTTCAAGCTCCCTACCATTTGGCTGCAGGAGGAAAACTAGTCCTTTGGGACCCCAGGAGGACTTAAATGCCCAGCTGGCGCAGTATAAAGAACAAACAGGAAACTCATCCCTGTCTCTCTATGTGCAACTATGCCCCTATGTTGATGCATATACACTTTGGGAGGTTATATATCATTTTAAAAAAGCAACCTTCCTTAGTCCAGTCTTGTAACTAAGCTTGCAAAAGTTACTACCCTGACCTATTTTTGCTAACAGGCTAGTATCCTGTGTCCTATGCTGGATGCCTTGGATAGGAAGCTTCCTCTTTCTCAGCTAGCATGAAAAGGCAGGACACCAGCCTCTTAGAAGTCTAGTAAAAAAGAAAAAAGCTTTCTACAAAGCAGGCAAATGGAAGAGGAACAGAGCTGAGGGATAGGTTCCCTTTCTCTACAGCCAGCGGAGAAAAACCAAGAGGACTGATGGAGGAGGAATGGAGAGATCCTTCTGTCCTCCACCTCTGCTTGCTCCCTTGATAGAATTCAATGCACTCACCTGCATGGGATTTCTGCTCACCTTTGGCTACCAAGTAGTGCACGGCTGCCTTGGTTCCTAAGCCAGTTTCACAGCTGGTGTCAGTCACAACTAGAGAATTTACACAGTCCAAGCCTCTGCTGCCTTTTTCAGTTGAATGGTAGTTGAGCTAAAACTAATTTCCAGCAACCTTCTAACGATGCCATTGCCTTATTGCAGACTTTCCCAACCTGGTGCCCTCCAAATGTTGTTGGGCAACAATTCCCAGATAGCATGAGCAGTGGGGAGCAATGATGGGAGTTGTAAGCTAGCAACACCTGGAGGGCACCAGGTTGGGAAAGGACTCCTTAGCGGATGAGATCTCAGGGAGCTGTGTTGCATCCACAACCTGCAGATTCCCTCCATTGCTCACTCTGAGCTAGATATGAGATTTTAGGGCTCATCCAGCTTGTCACGTGCCTAGAAAACACATGTCCAGGTTGTTTTCCACTTGCCCTGTGCTTTCTAGGTACAGATCTCCAAGCTGTTTGCATTTTCTTTGCCCTGGAAAACCTGCTCTTTAGCGCTAAATCGAAGCAAACGACAATCCCTGGAAAACCCTATTTGTTCCTAGTCAGCTCTAAACTGCAGGTTTCCCCAGGGGCAGGGGAAGCAAATGGAGGTGTGGGCAAGTCCTTAGAGTTCCTCTTTCCACAGAGAAGGGCAGCAGGCCTATTGTCATAGAGCAAATGTTTGCACTGGACCCAGCCTGTTGTTCTCAGATATGTGGCCATTAACGGTAACAAATAGGGCAAAAGTTAGAGGATCCAAGAGGTCCAGGAGGATGAGGAGCTGGATCAAAGAACCAGAGTCATGTCATGCAGTTTGTGTAGTTTGCTCTCAAGTAGTTTGTGGCACATGTAGCTAGACTCTGAGGAGCGACAGAGGAAGAGGAATGTAATGGGAAGCCAAGGAGATATCTCGAGTGGTTTGCTGCCTGCCCCAGTGATTGTGCTGCTCTGAAAGCTGTTCTCCTTTAGTTGCACTTGCTTACTCTCTTCCTTCTTCCTTCTTTTCTCTTCCCAGCTCAAAGTCCCACTGTGGCAGACCCCCTCCAACAAGCCTACGCAGGCATGCAGCACTATGCAGGTCTCAAACATTGCTTTGCCTGTCCTCCTCGCCTCCCCTCTCTCTGTCTGCCTTTCCCTCTTTCCCTGCATCTTTCCATCTTTCCATGGCATCTTTGTGATAATGTTGAGCATGAGCAAAAGAGCCAGATGCAAGGAGGATGCTGTGGGGATATGGATAAAATTTCTCCACTCCTCCTTAAGGAATCCTGGCTTCTCCATTCTGTGGCACACCTGAAGTAGGAGTGGGCAGCTTTGGGGGAACGTGTCTTATACTAGGAAGGAAGGGTGGTTCTTGGTGGAATATATCAGGGCCCAGCTGCTGCGGGTTTGGTGTCAAGAAACACGCCAAAGAAACTAGGAAGGGAGTGTTTGAGAACAAGCAAACACAGGATGTCTTGCCCATGAGAGCGGCAGAATGTCAAGCCCCTACAGCAGAAAGAAAACTCCACATGTCCAGAAGCTGAAACACAACTTACCATAATTTTCGCTGTATAAGACACACTTTTTCCCTCCTAAAAAGTAAGGGGAAATGTGTGTGCGTCTTATGGAGCGAATGCAGGCTGCGCGGCTAATCCAGAACAGTGAGAGGAATCGCTGTGCAGTGCTCCCTCTTGCTGTTCTAGCTTCTGGCTTAGCCGTGCAAAGCCTCTTCAGGGCATGGGAAGCCTTCATCCTGCTGCCCTGAGGAGGCTTCGCGTGGCTATCCCAGAAGCCAGACCAGCAAGAGGGATCGCTGTGCAGCGCTCCCTCTTGCTGTTCTAGCTTCTGGCTTAGCCCCTCTTTCACGAGCCCCCGAGGAGAAAAAGCCTGCAAGTGCCGCATACACATTCCACATGGCTCGTGAAAGGGAGTGCTGAGCAGAACCTGGGATGCATACAGACTCTGCTCAGCGCTCCCTTTAAAGAATATATTTTTTCTTGCATTCGCCCTTTAAAAACTAGGTGCGTCTTATGGAGCGAAAAATATGGTATATGAAGCCCCAAAATAGCCACAATTGAGGCAACAGTCTGTAGCAGTGGCCCATTATTTGTCCTAATGGTGACACGTGGTCCTTTTGTGCCCATGGATGGTACTGCTGGGCTAGTCAACTGCTAGTCTGATGAGTGGGTGAAATGAAGGGCAGGGCTTCTTTTCCTGTTATGTAGAAGAGGGCATATCAGCAAGAGCAGTGTGTGTTGACCCCTCAACCCAGCAGAATTTAGTCCCAGTCTGATGGATGGAACCAAAACAAGCTTCCCTTCAACTCTGTAGTCCCAGAACTACCGGGAGTTGGCAGCAGGCTTCCTGCAGCTGCTCTTTCTCTGCCCAAATGATGGCACCAAGTTGGTCTCCCACCTTGCCATGATTCTCTTCCCGGGACACAGAGAATGCGACCTCCCATTGGCACCTTAGCTCCCTGGTTGATGGATGGAGCCAAACTGTAGTGCTGTGCTGAAAGTTTCTTCTGCGTTTCCCCCCAACCATTTTCCATCAGATCATGGGAGAAGAAATGGCATTTGAACATTATCAAAGGAGAAGTACATTTTTGGTGACATTCATGTGCCTTTCTGCCCAGGCTTCCCATGACCTGTAAAATCAGACCATCTTGTTGTTTGTTGTTTGTTTTAATTCCCTTAATTCTTTTTTATATATACTTTTATACTACTGTTTTACTGGTTTTATGTTGCATTTTTGTTTTTAGGGTAATATTTATGGTTTTTAGGTTGTACACCACTTAGAGATTTAAAAAATACTAAGTAGTTTATAAACAGTTTTAAAGAAATTAAGACATTTGTAATGTGCGAGGGTTTTGTTGTACCTGCCTTACTTACAAGGGAGTTGACGAGTGTTAGTGGCTGTTTATTCTTCATGGGTGCTCACACTTGGTAAGAACCCCCTTGATGTCCATAGGTGGGTTTTCCTGGAAGCATAAGAAACAAGAGAGGCTGTCTGCTGTTCTCCTGACAGATGTTCATTGTTAATTGTTCTTATGTGAGGTCTTTTTCTTAACCTTTTAAAGAAATCAATACAGAAAAAAATAAGTAAGTGGAAGGGATTCCCTTTTTCAGAAAATGAAATCACACCAGTCTCCACAGTGTCCTATGCTTCAGTCAAAACCCCGAAGAAGACATCAAGAGGTATCTCCTCCATGGAGATTTCTCAGGCCAGGAAGGACAGAGAGGTTGAAAAGTGCTGGAAAAGTTTTTAAAGGACAGAAAAACACCCACCACCCTCAGCTACCTTGCAATTATAAGGCAATCTCAACTTCACACACACCCAGATCCTAGACATTGCTACAAATGAGGCAAATGAACTAGAGGCCTCATTTTCAGAAGCAAACCTTTGAGAAATGGAGAACAGATTCCACTTCTGCTTTCCTTCAACAATGCAGTCCCAGGGCAAGTGGCAGCTAGACCCCTTTTTTCTGCCAGGGAAAGGTGAAAGCAATTATGCACTGCAAGCTGGAGGTCAGGCCTGGAAACGATACCTGAGAGACGCACTGACATGCCTAGTCAGCCACAAACCAGCAAGTCCCCTGCACTGGCCAGTGATTAGTTTAAATGAGAATACCAATTCAGGCAAACAGTATACACATCCCATTAGAAGGCATGTACAACCCTGCATGTCAGGCTGCATCTAAGGCAAGTCCTTGGAACAATATGTTGGAACATGAAGAAACAGCTCGTAGAATGTGAAGAAGAGAGAATGCTTGGGTGGACCTGCCAGAATCTCTACAGTCGTAATGCACTGGGGCACCCATGGTTCAGAGAAGAGGAAGTCAAAGCCAATGTTGCTGGACTTCCACTCCCATCGTCCCTGGCCATTGACTCTGTTGGCTGGGCCTGATGAGAGTTGGAGACCAATAGCATCTAGAGGACACCATTTTGGCTGCCCCTGCCATGCTTTGCATGTCTGAAATCCCATGATTAATCCCTGGCCTTTGCAACTCAACGCTCTCACGTAGCAGGGGACAGGAGAAACATCTACCTGACACCCAGGACAGCCACTGCCTGTCAGGGTGGACAACACCGGGATAGATGGACCAACAACACTAGTGTAAGGTGGCTTAAATACGTTCATAATTTGGTGTGCCTAAAATGCTCTTTGTGCTAGGCTTCACGCAGCTCCAAAGGTTTCATTCAGACCTCCTGAACCACACAAGCAGCCTGTGTCATGTACTCTTTGGGACTGTTCCATGAGCACAAGCCAACTTGATTGTGGAGGCAGCAAAGCAATCTTTTTGTATGTAATCTGTGCATACATCTCTGGAATTGAGTCATGCTCAGGATCCACTGCTGAGCATCCCACTTTTGTCCCCCATTGGTTTTGCTTTACCATACTTTTCTCAGCACTAGCAGGAGGCTCTGTTTGCCCTGACCATTCTGCTTTTGTGTGTTCCAGCAGCATACCCAGCCGCCTATGCACCAATCAGCCAGGCCTTCCCCCAGCAAGCTCCCATCATCCCCCAGCAGCAGAGAGAAGGTAAGATGGGTTGTGGGCATTTCAGAGAGCAGGGATTCCCGCAATTGCAGAGTCATACTGCTGGGATCGATAATGAATTGCTTTGTGCATGACTGATATCACCATTGCTATCCAGGATGGGGTGGCCTAACACAAAATAAATAACCAAGATGAACAAATGTAAAATAAGTGGTTTTTTGTTTTTTTTTAAAGGATTTTCCCATCCTTCCGTAGAACAAACTATCAAATTTAAATGCAACTCTAAATGTGCAAAACACTAAAATAATAGCTGTATTTCTGTTTGTGCTCATGTCCTGCTTGCAGGCTTCCCAGAGGCATCTGGTTGGGCACTTTGAGTACAAAATGCTGGATTAGATAGGACAGGGGTAAGGAACAGGACCAGCTGGCAGGCTGGATCTTGAGGTTCCCCCATCCAGCATGAACCACTTTGACAGGTGGGTGGAGCCACCTGCCTTTCAACCACCATGGCATCAGATGAGTCAACTTGTGAGCCCACTGGGAGTGAGTTTCTGGTTCTCTTCTGCCTTCTTTTGCAGCCCGTCTTGAACTCGACAGATTAAAACAGATATGACAGCTGAATACCTACCATGTGAATGCAACTCACTCCCTAAAAGACTTGTGAACAGGAAACCTGACTATCCAGTGCTGTTCTTTTGGGATTTGATAGGGAGAAAGATGTATGCCTGACTAGTTCATATAATGCATTTCGATGCATGTTTGGACAAAAAAAAAGCGCCTTTTCTTGCAGTCCCCTTCTTCCTGAGATCTGTAATGTACAAACTGACAGCTACATAAATGGTCTGGTGATGATTAGATGACAATATGCAAATATTGACAGAACGGCAGGTGGCTTGGATGATTAAATCAACATGCGGGTTGGTAGAAGGGTGGCAGAAATTCAGCAAAGAGAAAATAGAAACAAGACTACAAAGAAGTGTGAATGAGGTGAACACAACAAAAAGAAAGATGGAGAGTTGAGTTGGAAGGAGGCAACACCAGAGTTCTGAGTATGAGGAGGAGGTGCTGAATGAGTCAGACCTCTTGGGGATGCATTAATGAACAAAGGAACATGCAGGGTGGACTCACAGTCCTTGCCCCCGTGGTTCTCCATCACATCAGAAAGCAGAATGTTGAAACCTTCTCCTATGAAATAAACCCCTCGCCAACTCTCACAAAGCCCTTCTGCATGGCTGGACTGTGTCCTTTAAATGTGGCAATGCTCCTTGCTTGCCTCCAGATGTTGTGGACTGCAGCTCCCATCATCTTTGACCATTAACCATGCTGGAAGAAGTTGATGAGAGGTGTGGCCCACAACATCTGAAGGGCACCATTGTTGGCAACCCCTCAGTCAGGAGAAGAAAGATACATCTCTGCATGTGCCTCCATAGCTGAATAAGTGTGAGGACAGAGGCCTAGATATGTTGAGAGGTATGTAGAAATACATTTCCTTGTTTCCCCTTAGAAGTAGATGGAATCGGAGCACTTCAGGCATCAAATTCTCCCACAGATGAGTTGGCACTATAGTTCTAAACCATGAGGATGAGTGTGCAGATTACCAGAAGAAAGAGGTTGTAAGAGCAACTGTCTCTGTCTTCAGCTGATCCCATGTGGTCATCCTCCTGATCCCTGATGTGGTCTCTCCACTAGCAGGAGATCACCATGTCCCTATGCAGTTTGTGGGTGTCAAGAAATGCTAGTAGGCAGCTTTCATAAAACTAGGGAGGTTTTACAAAATAAATGAGTGGGTAAGCAGCAGCACATTTCTGATTTAAGACAGGGGAACTGCAAGTTGCAGAAAGTTAATTTGCTGGGCTGAAAACTTTTGGTCTCAACTGCAATTGCTATTGATTTAGTGGTTCGTTTCTATTTGCCCGAACAGTCATTTCTGTTGACTGTGCTGCTTCCAGTTGTTCATCTGACTGATCAGCTGAGGCTCCTTCCCTTTGGCAGTAGGATTAGAGCCCCCTCCAGACCGGTGGCGGCTTCTTCTTCTTTTGCAGGTGTATTCGGTAATATACCACTGACACAATAATAGCACTTTGATGATGGACTGACACTGGGCTGTCCACACATCATTCGGCTTTATTAGTTGTTATGCAAAGATTCACCAAAGTTGTTGAATTATTGCCATCTGGAGGGACAACTCTAAAAACAACAAAAGCAGGACAAAAAACAGCAACCCTAGAACATCTGTGGCATGGAATGTTTTGACAGGAAACCATGGGGCCTGTACCTGTTGCAAAAGAAGCAGTATTACAGCCCCCAAAACTTTTACAGGTGCAAGTGGTGATTGTGTATAACTGCCCCCATAGCCATCATGAGTATGAATTCTGATGAATTCTTAATAGAGGACATCTGGAGGGGCCCAGTGTAAAAGCCAGGAAGGAAAGGATACAGAAATTATCCCCTTATATCTTAAAGACTGACCCTGATGGTAATAACAAGACTCTTCGGTGTGGATCTAAGGGTTCGTTCAACACTTCCACTTGTCCCATGCCTAGCCAGCATGGGGCTGAGAAATTTTCTGCTTCTTGCATGCTTTCCAGGTCCAAGCGATTTTGCCATTGTCCCACCACTTACCTCAGAAAACCCGCTCTTTGGTTATAAATCGGAACAAACAACGATCTGCAGAAAACCCAACTGCTCTTTGTTCCTGTTCTGTGCTAAACAACAGGTTTTACTGGGGGAAAGCAGTGGGGCAAACAGAAGTGTAGGTGAGCTGTTGGACTGCAGCTGAACTAGAAATTATTATTTGAGTAAGGACACTCTGTTATATAGCCATTCTGAGACCATGTTCTGACATTCTCGGAAAGAACTCTCTGTATAACTGGGATTGAATTGATTTTAATATACACCTAGATATTTGCTCAAGGTGTGTCATGATTCTTTTTAGCTTTATGTTCTAGCAAGCTGATGGATATTAGAAAAAAACACAATTGCAATGAACTGATTTTTAAAAAGACTTTTATCTGCTGAACTAGCAGATAAGCGAACTGCAACAATCAGTGCATTGTGAGAAAGTAGCCAAACATGTTGCGCATGGCCTCTTTGCTGCTAACACATGTCTTTTCCTTTGTGTGTACACCTTTGTCATTATCCCAGGTCCCGAAGGCTGTAACCTCTTCATTTATCACCTGCCCCAGGAGTTTGGGGATGCAGAACTTATGCAGATGTTCTTGCCTTTCGGCAACGTCATCTCTGCCAAAGTCTTTGTTGACCGTGCCACCAACCAAAGTAAATGCTTTGGTAAGTAGCTGACGTGCTTCCTTTGAGATTTTAGGAACATAGGAAGTCATCCTATACTGTGTCAGAACATCTGTCAGTCTCGCTCAGTATTGTCTATGCTGTTTGGCAATGGCTCTCCAGGGTTACGGTCTCTCCCAGCCCTACCTGGAGTTGCCAGGGATTGAATCGGGGCCCTTTTACACATGCTCTGTCACTGAGCCGCACATCCCTTCTCCATTGTGTTGGTAGCTGCTGAAACATGTGTGTTCTTCCTGCACTTCGCACCACAAATAGATGGCAAGTAGGATTTTGCTATATAAGGAACTCTAGCTCCCAGGAGCCAACATGCAATTCTGCACATTTCAGAATAAGATGTGACAGAAGGGGAGAATAAGGAGGGATAAGGTTGACTATTGTCAGGCATCATCAGGGGTCAGACTCCAGGCAGTGGAGTTCCAGGATCCTGGGCAGCTGTCATAAGTAGAGCTGGAGCAGATTCATGACCCAAAAGCAGCAATCAGGGAATGGGAACAGGAGGTCAGGCGGGTCCTCATACCTGAGACAAGTGGCTCAGACCAAGGAGCAAGCTCTGAAGCTAGGATTTTGGGAGGTGTGATAGACAGGTTCAGCCCTTGGGGGACAACTGATGGGACAATGCTCAAGCAAACTTGTACCTGCTTTGGAAGGGAGGGTAACTGCAGAGAAGAAAGGCATTAGCAGGGTTTTTTTTAGCGTTCCTCAAGAATACTTGCAGGGGTGGAATTGGAATTGTTTGTGTATACTCAAGGAACACAACCCACCCCCCTCATAATTTCAAGGCGAGTTAAAGGAATTGTGTCCATCGCTAGTATTATAGGCAACATCCAATCATGAGGTTCACCCATATGGTTTGTTTCCACTCCAACATCTGGAGAAACTTCGCTGGTTGGTGCTTGTATATGCCACCACTGTAATGTAAAACCAGGCCACCTGGAAGCACTTTTTTGGCAATTGCTACATTGCCCAAGTGTAAAAAAAATGGTCTTTGATAATGATACAGTAGTTTAGGAATGGGGCATTCCGTCTTGGTTCACAAGGCTATCATGGGCTGTTTCATCCTTTTAGTGCCATATATCTGAGCAGGGGTAGTCAACACGGTGCCCTCTAGATGACAGGAAGCTGCCTTTTACAGATTCAGACCATTGGTCCATCTAGCTCAGGGGTCAGCAACCTTTTTCAGCCATGGGCCAGTCCACCATCCCTCAGACCATGTGGTGGGCCGGACTATAATTTTTTGGGGGGGATATGAACAAATTCCTATGCCCCACAAATAACCCAGAGATGCATTTTAAATAAAAGCACACATTCTACTCATGTAAAAACACACTGATTCCCAAACCGTCCGCGGGTCAGATTTAGAAGGCGATTGGGCTGCATCCAGCCCCTGGGCCTTAGGTTGCCTACTCCTGATCTAGCTCAATATTACCTGGACTGACTGGCAGCAGCTCTCCAAGGTTTTGGGTGGGGGACATTCATGGGCCTAGCTAGAGATGCTGGGAATTGAACCTAGAACCTTTTGCATGCAAAGCAGATTTTCTACCACTGAGCTATGGCCCCTTCCCATAAGCTGTGGCCTCAGCTCCCGTCTGCCCAAGTCAGTGTGGATGATAGTCAGGGATTATGAGAACTGTAGTCCAACCACATCCGGAGGGCACAGTGTCGGTTGCCCCTATGGAAATGTTACTTACATATTGTATCCAACTAAGTGCTACTCAGAATAAACTCATTTAAATGAATGCTCTAAGTCTGTTAACTTCAGTGGGTCTACTCTGAGGAGGAGTGGGAAGCAACCCTTATTTTCTTACATTATTAGCGTGCCTTCCTTCCGTCACAAAACCAATTGGTTTAGCTTCGTTTCAGCAAGGTGGGGGCCTCAAGTGCTTTCAGATCATTTCCTGGGACTGCATTAGGAACAATCAGAAGAGTTTCTATAAACACACTGAAAATATCCAGAAAGTGGAAAAAAAGGCCATTCATTAGAGGAAAGAGTACTAGTAATCCACAGTACAATGAAAGCTAAATTGCTCAATGTCTACTTCACTTTGGTTTTCGCCAGTGAGATAAATTGTGACCAGATGATTAGTAGAATCGATATAAACAATGAGGGAGGGACAAAGGTTAGGATAGGCAAAGATCTGTTCAGAGAATATTTGACTATCTTAAATGATTAGAAGTCAGCAGGTCATGATGAATTGCGCCCTGGGATGCTGAAGGCATCTCCAAACCACAAAGCAATCATTTTTGAGAAATCATGCATGACAGGTGAGGTTCCAGTGGAATGGAAAAAGGCAAACATAATGCCCAACTTTAAAAGCAGGAATTTATAGGCCCATTAACTTAACTTCTCTCCCTGGGAAGTTACTAAACCAAATCATAAAGCAATTCATTTGTAAGTATCAAAAAGAAAATGGAGGGCCAAATTTACTAATATGCAGAGTAGGCACTAATCTAAGGCCTCAAATTAGAAGACCCCATACAAAAATGCAACGGAGGCGTTGCTTTGCAAGCATAATTTGCACCTCATGTTGCTGCAAATAAAGTCTGACCACTTAATTTAACTTACAGCCACCAGCTTGGGAGTTTCGGAAGCCAAAGTTCATTGTCTAACGTAGCCTGAATATTTCTTAGCTGCAAGGCCCTGCACGTCTGGCCAAATCCAGCACCAGCAGTTGAGATCATCCTACACCAGCACACCAGCAAGGTCCACCACTTATGCCTGTCTGTCCGCTACACACACACACACACACACAGCTTAGTCTGAGAACTACTCTTTTCATTTCCTGCAGTGTCACTGATGTAGCATCACTCCAATGCATTGTGGAAGGTTAAAATGAACCTCCTACCCACCGAGGGCTGCCTGGTGCTCATCAAAGGCAGTGCTGATGCCTGCACCACTGCCAGATTAAGCCTGCCAGTGGGCAGATGTAAAGGCGTGTCTTCCAGCGGGCACTTTGCCTCAGATCTGGAGCCAGCTGTGAATCTGGTACCTAGCCTCGCCCACACAGCTGATGTAATGGCACCATAGACTACAGTAGCCATTCCTGCAACCTGGTGCCCTCCAGATGGTTTGAAGTACAAGTTCCATCAGTCAGGGATGGTGAGAATTGCCGCCCAGAAACTCTGAAAGACCACAGGTTGGGGGAAAGCAGACCGCAACAATGCATTAGGCATGGGACTGGCTTTGCAGACTACCTTGTTCAAAACAGAGCCACTAAGCTAATGTCTGGAACACAGCATCGGGATCACATCCTGCTGGTGCTTAAAGAGCTTCATTGGCTTCCAGTCCTTTCCCAAATACAATGCAAAGGGTGGGTGCTTACATCTTAAGACCCTATGCAGCTTGCAACCCGGATAATTGAGGAGATGTTTTCTCTCGCATCAACTTGCCTGTATGTAAGATCTTCTTCAGGTATGCCTCCTTAGGGGAAGAGGTGCATGTGCAAGGGGCCATAGCTAGAAAGGGTCTCTCTCCTCTCCATCCATCAGCTTATGCACCTCTTTCCCTAGGGAGACTCACCTGACACCTGTGGCAATGTCTTTCCTGGGTTTGCTTTTAGCATGGCCTTTTCTTGTGTTTGTATTAGTTACTGTAAAGTGCTCTGGGATTTCTTAATGGAAGGGCAGTATGCAAATATTTCAAATTAGGGGTTGGCAACCTTTTCAGGCCTGTGGGCACTTCTGAATTTTTGAGTGAGTGCTGTGGGTGCCACGCACCTCCAGGGCCACTTCTCTCTCACATCCCCTGTCAGTCATTACTTATTGAATAAATGTTGTGGCTATAGATTTAAAAAAATAAAAAAATTAAGCAATGCAACTGTTGCTGGGTTTTTCTAAAAGGTATGCAGACTTTTGTCCTGCACTGGATCCTTTATGTATTAAGATCAAAAATAAAGTAAGGGCTTGCTCAAACACTGCTTCAGCTTATTTTGATGTTGAAAGGGCAAACGAATTATACAGCCATTTCAGCATATTCTCAAATGGTTAGCACATCCTTCCAAACTTTTCAAAGTCCCGTTGAGTGAGTACATGTCAATACATTATTTTGAAGTGTGTTAGAAACATTCTGCAGACTACTAAGACCCTGTGAAGTTAACTAGCAGGCCATGATTATAAGATAATGATAATAATAATAATAATAATAATAGTAATAATTTATTATTTATACCCCACCCATCTGGCTGGGCTTCCCCAGCCACTCTGCGCGGCTTCCAAAAGAATATTAAAATACATCAAAGATGTTCTCATTGCAGTGAAAAAAGATGGTGTATTTTGGCTTTAAGGCAGGCACCCCCAACCTTCGGCCCTCCAGATGTTTTGGACTACAATTCCCATCATCCCTGACGTCTGGTCCTGTTACCTAGGGATCATGGGAGTTGTAGGCCAAAACATCTAGAGGGCCTCAGGTTGGGGATGCCTGCTTTAAGGTTTTCCTCCGTGTCCACACAACACCCCAGGTGACCCAAAACCAAACCTAGACTCCATGAGTTAAATGGATTGGATTTCTTAAATTTTGCTTTCAATGACCATTGTTAAAGAAGAATCTTGTGTGGCTGGAAAGTGAACAGTGGCCTAAAACAGCCTTCCCCAACTTAGTCCACTTCAAATGTTTTGGAGGACAACTTCCACCAGCCCTTTGCAAGCCCATCCAGCCATCACCATTAAGAGCAGCTTCCCCCAACCTGGTGCCCTCCAGACATTTTGAGTAACAAACTCCCATCAGCCCCAACCAGTATGGCTGTGCTGGCTGGGGCTAATGAGAGTTGCTGTCCAAAGCATCTGAAAGGCACCAGGTTGAGGAACCTGCTCTTAAGCAACCCGCTAGCTCCGACATTCAAATGTTTTGAGTTTCTCAGGATCTATTTTCTGTGAAAGGCTTGCAGTGAAACAGCAACATGCAGGGAGGGCTGCTGCTGTCCTTGGTGCTGAACTGTGTCCTTCCTTTCCTTCTCTGTTCTCACCCCCTGTCACCCCACTTTCCCCCTTGACCCATCCCAGGTTTCGTCAGTTTTGACAATCCAACTAGTGCTCAGGCAGCCATTCAGGCCATGAACGGCTTCCAGATCGGCATGAAGAGGCTAAAGGTCCAACTAAAGCGGCCAAAAGATGCTAACAGACCCTACTGACCCGTGTTCACCTTGGCCCTGAAAGCAGGTAAGACATTGGCAGGCAAGACTGTCCCAGCTACACTACCAGCAGGAAAAGGGGTTAGACTTCCTCAAGCTTTTGCCACAAGGCTGGTGTTAAACCTGGAGGAAAATGGAGCGAAAAACCACAAATGGTGTGTCTAGTTCAAAACAGCAAATACAGTGCATTTTGGCCCAGCCCATGTCCATCGCATGAGAATAAGCTAAAAGGTAATAAATGATGCATAGCCTTCACATAGGGGATGGACTAACCCAAATAAACTTTCAATGGTTTATTATTCTAATAATGTACACTGTCAATGATCCTTATTGTTTGTCTTTAGGCATAGAGAATGACCCCAATCCAAATAGAATGAATTTATTTTATTTATTTATTGACCTAATGTATCAGCCAATCTTCGTTACACAGTAATCCCATGGAGGTTTCCAGCATATCTTAAAACCATAATACAAACAAACCAAACCATAGGATACCAATAAGATAAAAACTAATATAAAACCACAGTAAATGAACAGATATGAGACAGATATGTTCAGGTCCCACTCTCCAGACACAATGCGTTCTCAGGAAATTGTTTGTTAAGTGAGTGTTTGCATAACAAGCTGGTGATTTCCATTATTTCCTATGGGAACATTTCTAATCTGTGATTTGTCCATGCTCCCTCCCTGATCTCTGCCTGAAACTGTTGCAGCCAATCAGCAGAAGCCAAACAAAGAAAAAACTTATTTGTTCAATCCCTCCAGCTCCCTGATTTGTCCAATCTCTCTCCCTCCCTCCCTGGTCTTCTGCCCCAAATGGCCACCAGCCAGCAGAACACAAACAACTAAGGAAGTGGGCAAACTTTGACTGTTCGGCTATCTGAACCAGTTGTTCATGTAGCAAGGTTCGGGCATAATTTTTTCTATTCAGATAACAGAGATTTTGGATAATGAGTGTTCCGATAGCGGGACCCTTGTGTATCACATTGTTTAAGTTGAGTGTCATAGCTGATCCACAAATAATCTGCACCCAAAGTGGTTCACACATAGAAGATAGTCTAAAAACAGTGGTACAATATCAGTACATAAAAATAAAACGTATAATATCACTACACTGAAAAAAAATAACAACAAACAGTTCATTTAACATGCATCAAAATTTAAATGAGCATAAAATTACCAATAGGTCAAGTCATCCAATAACTTCACATCCAAAAGCTTTCATAGTTATGTACAAAGAGACAAGAATAGAATATCTGTGGCCAAAACCTAAATCTGTAAATAGGAAGGAAGGAAGATAATCTAACATGTCTTCAGACCAATGAAAGGGTAAAATCTAAAGCATGATTATGTGGTTCTATTGAAGTCAATATACCCAAGTTGCTGTGTTCAAAATCATGGCAAGAGGACCAAACAGAAAACATGTGTTTATTTGTTGAAGCCATTATTACCCTGCCTTTTGGCCTGAAACAGACCCTTGGGGTGACTTAAAGGCTAAAATCCAACAACATGCCACCCTTAAAAGTCCACCTCAAATGCTAATTAAATCAAATGTTTTGATCTGATTGGGGTAGTCTGAAGTCATCACGAATTTGTTTACCACCTCCTGGCTCGGTACATAGTTTGAGGGGGTTTCCAGGGCGAGGCGAGTTGCATTCACAAGCCCCTCGCCACTGCAAAAAAGAGAAAAGAAACACTCAATTTAACCATATCATGGCAGTGTGTAAATGAGCTGCAGAGTTAAACTGAACCAAAAGATCCACACGATGCATTTAAAGCATGCCTAATGCACATTGAAGGGACGCGGGTGGCGCTGTGGGTTAAACCACAGAGCCTAGGACTTGCCGATCAGAAGGTCAGCGGTTCGAATCCCCGTGAGCTCCCATTGCTCGGTCCCAGCCTCTGCCAACCTAGCAGTTCGAAAGCACATCAAAGTGCAAGTAGATAAATAGGTACCGCTCCGGCAGGAAGGTAAACACCATTTCCGTGCGCTGCTCTGGTTTGCCAGAAGCAGGTTTATCATGCTGGCCACATGACGCGGAAGCTGTACACCGGTTCCCTCGGCCAATAAAGCGAGATGAGCGCCGCAACCCCAGAGTCAGCCACGACTGGACATAATGGTCAGGGGTCCCTTTACCTTTACCTTTAATGCACACTGAAATCACATAAATCCTGGGAACAGAGTGAATGTAGCTCTGTGTGAGAAAACTACAGTTCCCAGGATTCTTTGGGGGAAATCATGAGCTTTCAATGTGCTCTTACTTTCTGAGAGTAAGAGCAGTTCAACAGTGGAACGGACTGCTGTGAGAGGTTGTGGACTCTCCTCCCTTGGCGGTTTTAAAGCAGAGACTGGATGGCCACCTGTCATGGATGGCTTAGTTGAAATTCCTGCCTTGCAGGGGGTTGGCCTAGATGATCCTTGGGGTCCCTTCCAACTCTACAGTTCTATGGATTATGGTTGGGTGTGCTTTAAATGCATGATGCAAATCTCCCCAGTTTTTGCGTGAGTCATGGCTTAGGCTGTATGATTATTATGGCTACAATCTTATACCTAGGTAAAGGTAAAGGGACCCCTGACCATTACGTCCAGTCGTGGCTGACTCTGAAGTTGTGGTGCTCATCTCATTTAATTGGCTGAGGTAGCCAGTGTACAGTTTCCGGGTCATGTGGCCAGCATGACTAAGCCGCTTCTGGCAAACCAGAGCAGCGCACGGAAACACCATTTACCTTCCTGCCAGAGCAGTACCTATTTATCTACTTGCACTTTGACATGCTTTTGAACTGCTAGGTTGGCAGGAGCAGGGACCGAGCAATGGGAGCTCACCCCGTCGTGGGGATTTGAACCGCCGACCTTCTGATCAGCAAGTCCTAGGCTCAGTGGTTTAACCCACAGCGCCACCCACGTCCCAATCTTATACCTACTTATCTGGAAATTCTGTGGAATTAACTTCTCCGTAGACGTGTATAGAATTGCAGTGTAAGTTGCACACCCACTGCAAGCAGTTTGCAAGAGTGAAATCCCACAGAGGGCTGCAGGATGCAATAGCATGAGAACAGATCTGTTGGAACCAACCAGAGGCCCATCTGCTATTACAGCAGGGGTGAGGAAGCTGTGCCCCCCACCACACGTTGTTGGACTCCCAACTCCCACCAGCCCCTGCTAACAGTCAGGAATGCTTGGAGTTGTAGTTCAACACCTAGAGAGTCATGGATTACCCACCCCTGGCCTATGGGATGCCCAGAATAGGACATGAAAGCAGTAGCACCCTGTGCTCATCTTCCCCAGCAATTCATTGGCCTACTGAAGGAAGCTATTTTCAGGCTCACCAAACATTTAAAACACTTTTTCCCCACTTTGGCAGTCATGGCTCCCCTGCAAAGAATCTTGGGAACTGTAGTTTGTGAAGGGGGCTGGCCTCAGAGACCTAGACTTCCCAGCACCCTGCACAAACTACAGTTCTCATGATTCCCCATGACTGCTAAAGTACTTTCTCGGTGCTTTAGATATACCATGTGAATATGACTTCAGAGGACTCCTGCTCCATTTTGCAGCTATCAGAAGAAGCAATGACCATTAATACTGAGAACTCGCATCAAACCGATTCATCTTTTCTTTTATATTTTTGTTTCCTCCAACCCATCCACTACTTTGTCTCTAACCAGACCAGGCCAATCATAGCTCCAAGGATGACCCCACAGTTGCCTAGCAACCCTCTAGCTGTTATGGGAGACCCAAACAAAAACTCTCCCTCCCAAATTATCTGAAACTGTAAGTGACTTAACTAATGTTGTCATCGTCCTTCTCGATGACGCCATGTGGCCGGTTGTAATCTTGTTGCATGAACTTGACGTTGATCTTTCTACATCTCTGCTTTATTTTTATTAGTTCTTCTTCCCACCCCTTCCTCCTCTCTTTTTGGCGGTTGTGCAGTGCCATATTGATGCCCATGGTGGATAGTTTTTGGAGTGCTGATTGGTCAGTCTTTTACTAGTTGTGGATTTTTTGAGCCCATAAACTCTACTTTGTCCTTCTTTGTACCTCCTTTTCTCTTTGTTGTGATGTGACAATTGATGTGTGTGCCCTCTATATTTACTGTGTGATGATGATGGCTGAGTAACTCAGTCCTGCACAAGAAACACCAAGTTGTGCTAGCTCTCCCCACCCCCCACCCTCCGGGCATCCCAGCATAATTTAGAGTCTCTATATTACCCCAATGCTTGTGGAAATTCAAGCATTCCACATTCTCAAGAGCATGAAGGCTTCACTGCTAAGGATTGACAACAAATGCTCCTTGATTGTTGGAAAACACATGTTTTGTATGCAAAACATCTCAAGTTCAGTCTCTTCAGTCACATCTTCAGCAGGGTTGGGAGAAACCTGTCTGAACCCTTGAAGAGTCGCTTCCAGTGAGTGTAGGCCATCTTTCTTCAATCCTGTGTCCTCCAGATGTCTCTGCCTACAATCCGCATCATCCATGACCATCAGCCATCCTGGCTGCTTCTGATGGAAGTTGTAGTCCAAAACAGCTGGAAGGCACTAGGTCAGGGAAGGTTAGTGTGGAAAATACTAAGTTAGATGGACCAGTGGCCTGACCTGTTGTATGGTAGCTTCTCACGTTCCTGATTGGAGATAATGAACCCAGATCGCCTACTCCAGGATAAAAGATATGTAAAGCAAACAAAGGCCCTGTTCTGTTTCGTTTTCTTTTTGCATAGAAAAGGTCCTAGTCCTGATTGCAGGCATGGAGTGTGGTACCTTAGCAGAGGAGCAGGAGAGTGTTACTGGTGTAGCATTTCACGAGAGAGGACCCTTCATTCAGCAGCAGAACATATAATTTTAATGCAAAATATCCTCAGTTCAGTCCTTCAAAATTCAATTAAAAGGACCAGGTAGCAGGGGTGGGAAATATTCTGTTCTGCTCAAGATCCCTGGAAAACCACTGCCAATCAGAGTAGACAATATACTGGACTACATAGACAAATCTTCTGACCTGGTCTAAATCCTATTAAAGCACACATTGGAAGCGCATGACTTCTCCCAAAGGATTGTGGGAACTGCTGTGTGTTACTATTGCTGGAAGTTCATAGCTCTGTGAGGGGGGAAACCACAGTTCCCAGAAATCTTTGGGGGAAGGCATGTGCTTTAAATGTATGGGCTGGATCTGCATATATGCTGCTAATAGGGCAGGAATGCATCAAGAACGAAAGCTGCTCAAGATGGTCACCAGTTCCATCACATAGGGAGCTCTTGGCTCCTCCCTCTCTTCCTCAGGTCATGCCCCTCCCTCTTGGCCCCACCCCTTTAAACTAAGACAAATCTCAACCAATATGACATCCCTGGCCTCCTGCAGTTGCTATGCTAGCTTCTAGCAGCAGTTATGTGAATTTTGGCAACAATACATTGACCATCTTGCTCCATAAAACTTGTTCTGTATATGGAGCTGTTGGGATAAATTGCATTTTTATTTTTATTTTACACAGGCCCTGCTCTTTTAACAGCAGCCTGACACAGCAGTGGAAAGGGGGGAGCTTGTTCAACATGAGCTTCACGTCTGGGATGGGGGGTGGAGGGGAAAGAAGAAGTGGTTGGAAATCAAGAACCCTCACTATGCGGCATAAGTGTATTACGTACAGAAAACAAGATAACTGGTGCGGCAAAGTGGTATTTCGCAGTGTTTAAGGTTGCTAAGTATGTTTATTTCGCAAGCCACATTGGCCCATCTATCTCAGTAGTGTCTACACCAGGGGTAGTCAACCTTTTCATACCTACCGCCCACGGATGCATCTTTCTTAATGGTAAAATATTCTTACCGCCCACCAGTGCTCGAAGGGGGAAGGATTCTGCTTGTGCTGTAGAACCCCCTAACGCCCACCTAGAATCCTGAAACGCCCACTAGTGGGCAGTAGGGACCAGGTTGACAACCCCTGGTCTACACTGACTGGAAGCAGCTCTTCAGGGCTGTTGGGAGTGGGATGCCCACAACAAATGGAAGGCCAGACCTAACCTAGAACATTTCAGAATTCAACCTTTTCTGGTACAGAATTGGGATGTCATTTGATATATATATATTTTTACACACTGAATAGAGATGGCCCTGACAAGAGCTTCCTTTCTCTCCTAATGCCATCACTCGCTCCTGGGGATGGGGCTTCCTGCTAGCTCCTTGCACCGCCTGCCTCTTCTTAACATCCCTTCTCTCTCTTGCAGATGGGATGCCATGCGGCGTACGAAGAGTATTCCCCTTGTCCCACGTGCAGTATCCAGACTTGTAACTCTCTTTCTTTGCAACATATCACGGAGGAGGAGGAGGAGGAGGTGGAAGAGGAGGCAGGATGCTCGTGAAAAAGAGGAGAGCCAGTTTGGTTGTACCTTTTTTATTTTTATTTTATTTTCCAAATCGGTTGGGGTTTCGGGGGGGGGGGGGATTTCTTTTTCTTTTTCCTTTTGCCGCTTTGAGGCGAGAGAAAGCAAAGAAGGTGGTTGTGACGATATTGGACAAAAGGGAAAGAGGCATCGCTATTTGCCGACTCTAAACTCCATGACGGGAAGGAGCCGCTGGAGAAGACGTGTGTTTTTTTTAAGACCCCTCACGAGGAGAGGGGTAGGATTTTGCAACAGGAAAAGGTCGCAGGCACAGTGCCTGCTGGTGGGACCAGCCTCTCTCTAAAGCACTTGACCGATGCTCAAGATTTCAGAAGAGGGAGGCCAAACAGATCTAAACCAAAGCCGCTGGGTTTGGACCAGGCCTGTATGTTACACCTGGGAAACGCTTTTTGTTTTTAAAAAGGGGGAAAGAAAAAAAGGGGAACTTTTTTTTTCCGCATCCGTTTGGGAAAAGAAAAATCAGTTGCTAAGAGGATGTTGAACTTAACAGAAGATATATATATAAATAGGTCTATATATCTATATCCCGTGGATTGGGGGTGGGGGTTTCTGTCCCACTTTGTCACCAGTCCAAGGAGATTGGATTAACTTCTTTCAAAGTCATATCATTCCTTAGAGTTTAGGGACCAAAGGACTATTGCTTTTTTAATATATATATAAATTAATTAATTTAAAAAACAAAACAAAACAAAAAAAAGAAACTCAAAGAGGTTTAAAAAAACTTAAAAAAAAAAGCTTCATGTCAAAGCTGCAAGTTGTTTCCAAGAGAAGCGAGCTCAAGCAAGCAAGCAAGCAAGCAGATGTCGCCTTGTGAGCAGTGTGGCCAGTGCTGGTGGCCTTGTGACCGCATTGAACACTATGGGGTTCGGGTGAGTAGTGAAGCTGGCAGGAGGGGCCACTTTGGCCAGGGTGGGGGGTCTTGGCAGCAGCTCTCTCCTCCTCCTCTCTCCAGATAGGCACTTGGATTTCAGAAAATTGAGGGGAGGGGGGGTTGTAATCACAGTCCCTGATCTGCTTCTCCCATGCATTGAAAGCTAATGTAAACCAGAGCAAGAAGAGACACAAGACCATATTTATGTGCATGAGAAGCTGCCTTGCGCCAAGGCAGATCATCGGTGCGACTAATTCAGTATTGCCTACACCAGGGGTGGACTCCAGCTGCCGTCAGCCCCAGCCAACATGATCAGTGGCTAGGGATAATGGGAGTTGGAGTCCAGCAGAATCTGGAATGCCACCGGTTTCCCACCCATGCTTAGATGGCTGTGTAGATGAGCTGCAACATCTCTCCACACTTGGATGATGCTTTTATTAGGACCACCCAAAGTATCACAAAATGTTGGGCCAGCTCTTAGTAGGCCGAACATCTAGCAAAGCAGAGGAACGGAGAAAGTTTGGCTTATGGTAGCTTGAAAGTCTTCATGTGGTGTTAAAATAGAGGTGCATTAGGAAGTTGCAGGCATAACTGGATGAGGCTTGGCAAAGCTGTTATGCAGGTTTCACAGTGTGCCCAGGACTGATAGGACAAAGAAATGACCAAGGCTGGGTCATGGGCAAGTCTGGAGCATGACAGCAGCCAGGAACTGGGGGTGGTGTTCAATACTAGTCCCGTTCAGAGTAGATCCACCAAAGTTAATAGACATGACTAATTTAGGTTCCTTGATTCCAATGGGCCTACTCTTAGTAAGAGTTTCATAGAATCATAGAATCATAGAGTTGGAAGAGACCACAAGGGCCATCGAGTCCAACCCCCTGCCAAGCAGGAAACACCATCAGAGCACTCCTGATGAGTTTGAGCCAGATTGAAAGAGCTATCCAGATCAGGGGGCAAACCAGAGGCAGGACCAAAGAATAAGGCTGGAAATGCAAAAATCCACCAGAGGTTGGGTACACCTTGTTGCCCCACAGTGACAGGAAGTCCTCTTAAACTCCTTCCTGCCCAGGAGGAGCCAATGACCAGCCTAATGGGTGGAGTCAGCCCACAGCCTGGAAAGTTCTTTGCTGAGAGGCTGCAATTATGCATGTCACCACATGGGACAGCAGTCAGCAATTGCTGACAGAAACACAGTGGCGCAGGAGCTCATGCACGCACACACAATTTTTAAAAAAAGAACATAATAAAGGACGTAACCCTAACATTAGGCAAAACACACTGGTTCCTTCTTAGAGTGCAAAAGTAAAAGAGGAATATGGCTGGAGGTTGATTTCAGGTGGAATGCTAGGTGTTTAAAAATGTCAAAAGAAGTCAAAGTGGGTTACATTACCTGGTGGTTAGAGGGAATGTGTAACCCTTGAAAAGTAAAGTGCCATCTCCAGGTGGTAAAAAATCATATTCCTTCAGTTTTAGGGTCCCACTTCTGAATGGTTAAATTTGGTTATCCAAGTCACACATAAAGCAAGAAGAAGTCCATAAGAAAAATAATCTGAACTCCATAGTCAGGCAGCAATACCATTCTTAGCCCTTGCATATTTCCTGGTCTCAGTAATCCTGAGTTGCACCCTGCAGCCTGCATAGCACCTAGTCAAGCCTAATGGACTTGGTGCCTGCAACCTCCTCCTACATTCGATCTTAAGACTGTAAAAAAATGCAGAGTGACCACAACATGCTAGATTCCCCCCCACCTCCTCTCCCCACTTTGCTCAACATCCAGCCTGACAAAGAGCTTTAGAAAACTCAAAAGCTTACTCACTCTTTTGTGGCATTTTGGCCTGACCCAGTAGAGGTATTTCCCTGCTGTGGGTTTTTCTAATGCACCAACATGGCTTCCTTTTCTTAAAGTGTATCCTGGAGAATTCCCTCCCTGTCTGGGATAAGACCCAGAACTCTTTCAGTCAGAGAGCTCCAAGGATGGAGACAGTGGAGTCCTTCAAAACTCCCCAGGAGATATCATCCAAAGCATTGACACCAGTAGAAGCTTTCATGGAGGAAGAGCCCCATCAGACAGTGGGGCCGGCATGCCTTGCTTCAAGGGATGTAGCTCTGCTCCCCTTATCTGACTCAGATATCTGACTCCACTACCTGCAGCTCCAGAGGGGCTGTCATGGGAGCATAGGAAACTGCCTTATATTGAGTCAGACCCATTGATTCAACTAGCTCAGTATTGTCTGAGCCGACTGACAATGGCTCTCTGGGGCTTCAAACAGGGGACATTCCCAGGACATTCCTGGGGGGTGCCAGGGGTTGAACCTGGGATCATCTGCATGCAAAGCAGGTGCTCTGCCACTGAGGTACCACGCCCTTCACCCTGCCATGTCCAGAAGCCAGGGGAGGCACTCCAATCTCGCCTGAGTGCACACCTGTATATTAGAATACTTTAACTACCAAGCAGGCTGGCTCCAGGGAAGCCACGCCACACAATGAAGCTTCAGCCAGCTCCAGACCAACGATGAAGCAATATTCCTTGTTCTTGCAAGAACTATTCTGCTCCACAGGGAGCTCTCTGTGGTCCTGAAGCTCAACCATCTACTACTGAACCCCTCCTGGAGTTCTAGCCTTGAACCAGCTCACTCTGTGAGCAGGTGCTGTTTGCAGATCACATGGGATGGGCAGGTGGGTGGATTATTCCCTTTGTAGGAAATTTCTCTCTGTGTGTCTCTCATTGCCCTGGTGTAACCTTAGCCAAATTCTCTATTACTTTCAAGAATCTGCTGGGGAAGAGGAGGAGGTCAGGGGGAGGGGGTCAGGTTTAAGGAAGTGCCAAATAGAGTGAGCGAAATGTCACGGTACATGAAGGACCTGGGGTTGTCTCATTGTCCTTCGTGGTTCACATTCCCTAATGCGGTCGCTTGGCCACTGGACGACGACTTTTTCTTTCTTCTCTTCTTTATTATTTTTATTTTTTTATTCTTTCTTTCTTTTTCTTAAGAAAAAATGTGCTTCATTGTTACATTTCCTAGTGGTTTAGAACAGAATGCTTTTTGTAGAGCGGTTAGCGTTTAACATAGGAGAGCCCTCCATTTGAAACAAATGAAACCTAAAAAGAAAAAGGAAAAAAAAGACAATCGACTTTAGTGACCTTGTGAAAGTGACTTTTTTATATAAAAAAAGAAAAGAAAAAGGCAAAACAAAACCATATATATATATATGAGAGAATGACACAGAGACCTAAATTTGGGGTGGGGAAAGGGAGTTGTGAGCACTGGGACTCAAGTTGTGTTTCAAATGCTGCCTGCTGGTATGAAATGGGAGGGTGATGGGTGGTATATTGGGGCAGAGTCCAACTACATCTGCTGTAAGGAAAGCAATTGCAGAAAGCAAGGATATTGGGTGGAAGAATGGGCAGGTGTGTTCTGGGGCAACTGGTCCAAGCAGCCCCATGAACTGTTTCCCATCTGGTCAGAACCAGAACGAAGTTGATCATGTTCTCACAAGTCTCCTTTGGAACCCTGGCAGGGAGGTGTACATGAAGCTGTGGGTTGCAGCAGGATCTCAGCCGTAGTTAGCTCTTGGGACATTGGGGTGAGGAACCTGTGGCCAGTGGCTAGACTCCAACTTCCATCATTCCTGTCCATTGACCATGCTGCAAGGGGCTGATTGGAGTTGGATTCCCATGTCATTTGGAGGGCCACAGGTTCCGCATTCCTGATCTAGATCAAGGTTCTAACCGACCTGAGAGAATCACATCCCTGTGCTTGAATACAGAGGAATTTCTTGGCTTCGGTTGCCTTCGACTAACAAGCCAGCTAGCTCATTGTCTCTTTATTCAGGAGCTCTGATTTACTTTTCTGATCCTGCAGAGGTAACCATTTCTCTTCCTTGATCCCCTGACTTGGGAATTACCCTCTGCGAGAGAACATTAATTCGGGATTTGCTTTAATCATGCAGCCACCTCTGTCGTTTGCCCTTGCATGAGATGGGGAGGGCCCAGTCTACACTACAGGCTTTAAAGTGATGCCAACTGCCACGTCTCCCTCCCTGGGAAGTGCAGCTGGGCAAAGGATGCTGAGATTCCTGGTAGAAAGTTGGGGCGGATGGTGCTTATGCATGCCGTAAGCAGATACAGCTGGAGATTACATCAATGAAAGGTCCCAGACACTTTGCACTTCTTATCCTTACCTTGGAGCAAGCATGAGGCAGGTCCTCTTTTGTCAGCACCTTGAAAGGGCTCATAGCTGTCAACTTTCAGATTTGAAAATAAGGGATCAGCAGCCTCGAAAATAAGGGATCAGCAGCCTCACCTGTCCCGGGGACAGTCTACGGGATATCTAACAATCCGGGATAGCAGCGGGAGGCAGCGGGAAATGGCGCTGGAATAAGGGAATTTCCCACAAAGAAAGGGAAGGTTGACAGCTATGAAAGGGCTATGGAAGCACTGATTTGTACCATGGCCGGGGAACCTGTGCGCCAGTAGATGCTTTGCTGGGCTCCCAATGCTCATCAGCCCCAGTGAGCATGGCCAGTGGTCAGGGCTGGTGGGTAGTGGCATTCTGAGAACCTCTCTGTTAATGATACTGAGCTAGCGAGACCAATAGTGTGGCTTGATTAAAGGTGGCTCCCTGTAAGCTCCTAAAAGCCAGCGAACTGCAGGCCCATTGCTTATGATACTGTAAATCAGACAAAATCATGGGCCTACCCATGCTACTCATGACCTAAAGCATCCCAGGGCTACTCTGGGAATGCACCAGCCCTGGAGATTAAGGCTGCCAGATTACAGCCCTGCATATTACTTTAAATGGGCAACAAGGTACAAAATACAGCCATTTTGCCTCAAGCGCCATTCCTCCACCAGTTGATTTTGCTTGGCAACAGGTAGTGGGGAAGGTTGAGCAAAGAGACTGCTGATCCGTGGTGCATTTTGTGACCCCCTCCATCTGGGGCTGATGGGAATTGGGAGTCCAACAACATCTGGAGGGCCACAGGCTCCCCATCCTTGATTTTTAGATGGATGGTCTCATGGAGAGAGAGAAAGAGAGACCCTCTTTAGACATTTTCACATGTGGAAAGCCAGCTCTGCTGGGAGTGAGGCCCCTGATGGCACTGCTGCTGCTGCTGGAGCAATGTCACAAGAGGTACCAGGGTTGCACAGTTTGTGGCAGAGCTTGTAAGGGGGAGGGGGAGGCCAACCTGAGTTAGGAAGCAAAGAGGGGGGTGAGACACCTTGATGGGATGCTACCATGTGGGAGAGATGAGATCTAACCGTTCCTGCACCTGATCAAATGCTGCTGCCGCCCGTTTGCAAGCGATCCAGGTTCATGGTTACATTCCCTGCAGCTAAGGGCTAGGGGAAGCCTCTTAAGCACCACTGTGCCTTTCATTCCCTGCATTAGCTAGCCATCCCTGTGCCAACAGGTCTGCGACAGTTACAGCCACAGGGAAGGATTCCTATGTTTGAAGCAGCTGACGGTGTCCTCCTCAACCCAAGCAAAGCAAGCCAGCCCTACCAGCAACACAACTTCTGTGTCTTAATACCCGTGTTTAATTGTGAAAGTGCCAAGACATGGAGCAGATGACAGGAGGGGGCAGCAACAGCATTAGGGGTGGGGCAGCATTTGCAGTGGGGGCATTTGTTTGCGCTGGAGAGAGAGGCACCAGGGACTCTCAACTTCTCCATCTTCCCTTCTCTGGCAGTTTTTGAGCACAAAGCAGGGGAACCCTTGGCCAGGGACATTGCTAGGTGCTAAAAAGGGCAGAGGCCCATGACACGAATAATTTGCATAACATTTGCCTATGCAGTAGTTTAGCGATTTCATTCTGAACACATTGAGGTGGCAGGTGGTCTCACTGGCCCTTTGCCACATGCCCAACAGCCCTCTAAGCATAGATCAATAAAAGGGAGGCCACCCCTAACCAGACCCTTGCTGTTAGCAGGGGATGCTGCTGACACAATACTTTTGTGAATGCCCAACGTCAAAACCCAGTCTAGCCCTTTGGATTGCATCCTGGGCAGTTTCAAACCAACCCAGGCTTATAGCCATGAGCAGATGTTAATGTCCAGGGATTTCAGTTCAGAAGGGAGCTCAACCCAAACCTTTCTTGGAATGGCTATTATTATTATTATTATTATTATTATTATTATACCACAAGAAATGTAGATTTCTATTTGGAAACTCAACAAATTTCCATTGAATTGCCAGAATGTTAAATTGATCTGGCATACAGTAAAGTATTGAGCTTTTAAAAATAGTGCTCTGGTGTTAAGCTGCAGGTCATATTATCTAAGCATACATTGAAATGGAATAATTTGTAAATGAACCACACACCTTCCTCCCGGCCTGGGTGTGGTGGCAGTAGCCTTTTCAAGCCCTGGCGGTGCAGATAAAAATCCATTCTCCCCACCCCCTTCCCAAATGATAATGTATGTTGCAGGGTTGGCTCCATGCTTAAGAGAAGGCATGGCTTTAATGCCCTCTTGTGGGCTCCCTCGTCTGCCAATGGGTCTTAGAGAGCTTTGTTTGTGCTGGCCAGGGGTTAGGGGGGGTGGCACTAAGCAGCTTGATCTAATCTAATCACCATTTTAATTTCCCGACAATTCTCAAGAAGAGCATTTGCCCTGCCAATGTTTTGGAACTACAACTCCCATCATCCTCAGCCACCAAAGCAGAGGCTGGTGGGAGTTGTAGTCCAAGACATTCACAGAGTATGTACCAGATTGGTGAAGGCTGCCCCAGAGCAGAGCACTCTGCTGAGATTTAAATGGAGGCTAGTCCCAGCTGTTGGGTGCCACTTACAATGCAGGGCCAGAAAATAAGAATTAACAGGAGGTGCAGAGTAGACAACAGTGCTGGGCCCTATCAGGGAGCTGGCAGCTGCCCAAGGATACCGACCGGTTGGTGCTGCTGATCCTGCCTTTATGGTTTCAGAGAATTCCTTGCTAAACTTTCCTTAGCATTTGCAGTGGCCCAAGAAGACCCTCGGCCTGCATGGCTTGCCTTGATTCAGGGAGGACAATGGGCTGCAGCAATCCCTTTGCAACATCAGGAGACAGAGCGACTTTGCATGATACTCAAGCTACGCTCACTAGTTCTGTCTTGGCCTGCATCACACACCCCCACCCATAGCTCCATGGACCCACCCAACCCAACCATGCTTTTCACAGTGGTGAGGATTCTCTGCACATTCGCTCAGGGCAGATCTAGAAAGAGCTACGGTCAGCAGGCTCCATTGTTCACCCAGCAGTAATTCAGTTGGGTGGGAGGCTACATCTGTAAGAAGGATGAGGGTGCCTTTGAGCATGTGCACTGTAAACTGCTCTTGACAGCTCTTACTACTGTGACAGTATGCAGCTGTGCAAGTGGCAAT